CAGCAAGGAAAACATGACCCATCCGCTGGAACCTTCACATATGTCTTACCGAATATGCTAAAGCTGGGTGTCACAAGGTTGGTAGTCTGCGGTTCGTTCGCGCCACATACAATAATACCAACAGCGCCGACTTCATCAATTGTGCTTGTGCCACCCCCTAGCCAATGCAGGTACCATCTGAAGAACAGCGAGACCCCTTCTATTCTCGCATATTCGTTGGAGAACAGCCTTGTGTAATTCCTAATATAACCTATCTTGTATGAAAAAGCTCTAATATGTATGACTCCAGGACTATATACAACCAACCCAATCCCTTTCAAGAAAAATGAAATAAAGACTTGAAGAAAACATGCAATAGTCTATCACCAACTAAATGACTCTTCTATATATCTTACCCCAGTATAACCCCTTATCATCGTCGAATGTACTGCCGAACGGGCCTCGTCGGCCATGGCGGGGGGCCCACAGACCATCACCGCCGCCGAAGAATCAGACAACTGCGCCTCCTGTGCATGCGATAAAATTAGAGACTGCAGATTAGGCCTTCCTCGAAGGATATTGAGGTTCATTTGGGGTGGTGGGCTGGGCGAATCGTGGAAGAGGCCCCTGTCGCTCGCTCCATCCGGTTCTGTCCCTGATGTAACATAAAAAGAAGCCCTGAAATCACTGCGACGTATCACAGGCCCTAGATCTTGTGTCACGACATGTTGGATGAATGCCTCTTGCCGAGTGGTCCAAACCAAATGGATATCCCGAGTGAAGGGTTGAGCCGTCTCAGACATCTCAGCGCACCGCGCAAGGTGGTCCTGGATGTAAGGTACCGCAGCGGCAATGCCGGTGCCACCCACTACCAGCAGGACAGACTCGTAATTCGACAACGGGAACGGCTCTCCATACGGCCCCTCAATGAGTAGGGCTGTCTCTAATTTCCGGTCTGGCGATCGCGTGCATTGCTGTCGGAGGTGTCTCGTCCATCCATCAAAAGGTCGGATCCAGAACACAAGTTTCAATATTTTTGGATCATACTCAGCAAGGGACCCGGACGACCCAGATGAGGAATCAGAAAGCAGTGGGACTTGAGAGACATCGATATCAGGGTCTCCCTTCGCGACAAGAGATTGGGTGGCGGGAGCTGCAGCGGTCTCATATGTCCAAGACCCCAGGGTGAAGGGGTGACTCTCCCAGCCGGTCAAGCGGAAGGGTTGGTAGACGAAATAATACTGTCCTGGGGTGGGACGGAGACTCAAGGAGCCTGGGAAAATCTCCAACCGAATAACGTCCGCCACTGTGTCGTAGGTTGCTCTGCTCCGGGTGAAGGGGATCCCTTTCCCTAGATTCAAATTTACGTGGGCGTTGCAATAGATAATGCGGATCAGACGGAGGAGTCGATCGAAACCCCATATCCCGACGGCAGGCCATAGGTAGAACCAATATTCTTGGCCTTCAAAGATGATCGTATGGCTGGGCTGTTAGACGGTTGGGTCATCTTCTACTAGGGACTACTCACTAGAAACATCCGACCAGTGTTGCAACCGACAAAAGGATATGTAGGAGGAGGAAGCACTCGTATGTCCTCCGACGGAAGAAGTCCATTGCCAATGGCAGGAGAAGGACCATGGCAATCATGCCCTGTAATTTGGTAAGTTTGTAGGAAGAATACCAAGTGGGTGCTTAGACGTACAACGGTACCCCAGAAGAGATATGGTTTTTGTAATTTTCTCCAGGCATTTCCATCTAAACATAGTCAGCAAACATTCCAGTAACGATAGTGAGAGGTAACCTGCTTTGAATGAACATAACCAGATACAGCGCTGTGTGGACTAGACCCTGAATTGTCGCGATCCAGGCGATGTGGCGATGAAAGATATTGAAGGATGCAAAGCTCCAGCCTGTTGCCCACAGAAATATATTATTGCGACCAGCAAACAGCCATATCAGTGGGAAATTTGCAAATGACAAAATTCCCGTCCGGTCGGCCACGTAGCGAAGTAACTGATCAGACGTGTCGGGCCAGCTATGGAGGTTAGAATAGATAGAGGTACCTAGTAGAGAGGATGCATACTAGATGTTTCCCGAGGAAAGGCGATAGTCCACTGCGCAGAACGTGATACTGAGGATCCAAAACAACATAACAACAAGTGCCTCTGCGCGTGTAGCGAATGTCCACCAGAAGAATTGACGCCCTCGAGATGGTATTGGAGACGGCACCAGTAGATGTGTTTGCACCCATCGATATATATATCTGTATGAGAGCGGACACCAATTGCTACTCCGCCGAGGACGTGACTCAACAATGTGCTGGATGAAGCGATGGAACATCCCAATTGCAACGATCCCCATCCAGAAAGCGTATCCAGCGTAACTGATATTTATTAGATGTATTCCAAAACGCAGAGCCGAATGCATACCCATAAGCATAATGCGACCAAGTCTCGAATTGCCAAGAATCCTAAGGGTGATGATCAGCGCCCTGTGATCCCTTCTCCCGGCGGGAACTTACAATAGTGCGGAATGTGACCTCATAATATGCGGGCGAAATCAACACCGGAGATGCTATGGGTTTTCTCCGAGACAGCTCGAGATACTCTACCACGCGCATATTCCGGACAGCGTCGTCCGTAAGATTCTCGGCTAAGTGCTCCCGCGGAATGAGCCCAACCCCCGCATACTGTCGACAGAGGGCTTCCAGCTCAGAGAGACCAGCCTGACGTTCGGGTACGGAGCAGTAGCGATCTGATGCCGCGTATATGGATGTGACCTCGAGGGAGTTTTGGCAGCGGGTGTTCCAGGACCCCTTCGCGGGAGTCCCAGAAAAGCTGATGTATCCATACGCGGTGTAGACGGCCGTGACACAGCGCTGGTTTTGTGGGATGACACTGGCCGCCGCTACAAGGACATAAAGATAAAGGAAGAGCCAAAGAGGACCCCGCATGATTCCAATGACGGGGAGAGGAATGCGGGATGATGATTCTCTTGAGAACGAAAAGCAGCAGGAAAGGATCACGGCCACGTGCATGCATGCATCTTATCTAATCTGATCATTCCATCTGATAACCATTTTGTTAGGGCTTAGGGCTACAACCCCTTTAGGCTCTTCCTCTGCAAACAAACCATCCCTTCCTTGACGCGTCGCCCAACACCCCATACTATTCAGGCTTCACGATGTGAAACCCCCTAAAGTCCGGCAATACCGCCCGGATCTCCTGCAGATAAGATGCAACCCCTCCGGTATAATTCAGCTGCTCGAAAGGCTTGCCCGGAATTGTGCCCCCCATATACGTGGATCGCGTCGTCGGGAACAGTGTCTGGTCGGACAGTTCGTTGATCCGATGCTTCCATGCATGGGAAGAAGCTGCTGTAGGGTTGATTGACTTGATTCTCCGTCGTTCCATCTGCTTTATGGCATCGACTATCCATCGTCCTTGGACCTGCACGCATGTCGGGCCGTTACACAACGCGGTGGGGGCCTGTGCGCCATACATGTGGAACAGATTGGGATACCCGCTGATCGTCAGTCCAAGGTAGGTATGGACGGTGGAAGCCCATTCATCCTTGAGATAAGAGCCGTCCACACTACGCAGTCCCATCTTCACCAATGCTCCAGTCGACACGTCGAATCCGGTGGCGACGCAGATGACATCAACCTCGTGATGGGTCCCGTCGGCGAGCTGGATCCCAGTTTCCGTGAACCCGACGATCGCATTATCTTTGATATCGACCAGTTCCACTGTCGGACGATTGAACTGTTCATAGTAGTCGACTTCAAGGCTGGGCCGTTTAACGCCCCAGGGGTGCCGTGGCTCGACAGGGGCCAGCAGGTCGCGAGTAGCAGGATCATGGATGCGCTCCCTCACTTTACGAGCCCAGAAGTCGTAAACGACTCGGTTCGCACGTGGGTCAAACAGATAGTCCTTGTAAGAGGCAACCCAGTATCGAAAACCGCCTTCCTTCCAGATGTTTTCCAAGAACTCCTCCTGCTCCTTCTCATTGTCCTCAAACGCGCCTTTCTCTGAGTAATCATAGCAGAAACCGCCGAAAGTCTTCTCGCGCAGACTGAAGAGCTGAGGATACACGCGCTTGAGCTGTTCCTGTTCCTCAATTGTCAGGTCTCTCCGGCGCATGGGAATTGCCAGGTTAGGGGTGCGCTGGAAGACTTTCAGGTTCGCAGCCACCGGCCCCCAAGCCTGGGTGACTTGCACCCCCGAAGCTCCGGTACCGATCACTGCGCAGCGCTTGCCACGGACGTCAACGCCCTCCTCAGGCCAGAAGGAGGAGTGGTGAATGACACCGCGGAACTTGTCAATCCCCGGCCACTCCGGGATGTACCGCTTTGCAGCAAACCCTGTCGCAGCAATCAGGTACTTGGCCGTGGCCTGGCGACCGTCCTCTGTGGTGACGTGCCATCGGCCCGACTTGGGGTTAAAGTCGGCCCCCACGACGACAGTACCAAACGCGCAGTCTTTGCGCACATCCAGGACCTTGACAACGTGGTCAAAATAGGCCCGGATCTCGTCGTATGCCGGGTAGTTGGTGGACCAGTTCCAGTTTTCCCATGTTTCCGGCATCGAGAACTGGTATTCCGGGACCTCGGAGTCAACCCGGGCGCCCGGATAGCAGTTCCAGCGCCAGGTGCCTCCGAAATCACTTCCAGCCTCGTAGATGACGGTCTTGAGGCCCAACTTGCGCAGCTCATACAAGCAATAAACCCCGCTGAACCCAGCGCCGACGATCAAAACGTCGACTTCCAGGTTATCGACATTTGGGCCTGTGGCCCCCTGGCGGCTGGAGAATTCGCGGAGATCTGACTTCATGATGACAAGATGGTTGCAATGAGGATGGGAATCTGGGGCGGGGGAGAAGATGATTTATCTATCCTTTTGTTTGTTATGGATCGGGACTTCCGGGCCATTCGGCCAGCCCGTCACACAGGTCATGCTGCCCAGAAAACCCCCTCCCTTCAGCAAGCGGGGTTTCTCATGGCTTGCGCCGAAAAAAACGAATCAGTGCAGAAGAGCTGGATCGTGACCAGGATTATGCAGGATCCTCGAGTATTGGCAATTTCAACCGAAGGCACCGCGCCAATGCAACATACTTCACAGCCCTCATGCAGAACACTGATGGGTGGATTGCAAATCGAACGGGTTTGTACGAAATATCGACTGGGTGCCGTCGGATTGTGATCCATCTGCTGGAACTATATACATCATGCGACGCTAAATCGAGAACTGTCCCTTCAGTGGCAGATCCCGGCTTGAGCGTCCGACATACACCTGGTAGTCTCCCGACTGCAACTTCCATTGCTGTGCTTCGGTATCCCACACACTCAGGTCCCTCCGGGTCAGAGAGAATTTCACATTAACCGCCTGGCCGGCAGGAATGCCAACCTTTTCGAAGCCGCGCAATTGCCGCACGGGTGCGTTGGGGATACCCAGATACAGCTGGGCGACTTCATCTCCATCCATTGACCCGCTGTTCTGGACCTTGGCGGAAACCGTAAGGATCTCGTCCCATAGATTCGGGTTGCCTCCCTCTTGAACTGGTGCGGATGCCGGATACGGCTCGGTAGTCCGGTTAACCTTCTTGACAGCCAAGCCAGAGTAGTTGAAGGACGTGTATGACAGTCCGAATCCAAATTCGAATTGAGGCTCAATCCCCTGCTTATCAAAAGCACGGTAGTCGATAAACACGCCCTCGCTGAAGTCAGATTGCGGGAAGAGTCCGTATTTTCCCTCTGGCTGCGATGGATGCAGCAAGGAGCCGTAGTCTCCGGCGCGCTTGGCTACGGTGTATGGGAGTCGACCAGAAGGATTGGCCCGGCCGTAGAGCAGCTCAACGAGGGCTTTCCCAGTATCTTGGCCTGGGAGATGAGCGAAAATCACGGCGGTGACATTTTCGTGGTTGATCCAATCCCCAACTAGTCGGATTCCGGCGTTGTGGATCGTGACAATTGTGTTGTTGCACTTCCCGGCGACATTCGTTATGAGGGTGTCGCTCTCTTTGTTAACCAGCCCGGGTCGATCATAGCCTTCTGTAGCATAGGCGTTGATGAATACCAGGCATGCGTCCGTGGTAGCGTCAACGTCGGGATCTTCAGAGACGACGTCCCAGAGAACAGAGGTGCCGTCCTCATAGGCTTGCTGCTGCACCGCATCCAGAGGAGCAAGCACGTAAGCTGCGGAGTTAGTTCCGGAGCCTCCACCGACGTACAAGGTGTGGTTTTTTTGAACAGAAGCGTTAACAAATGAGACATCGTTTACTATCAGGCTGTCCCCTGCCTTTGCGTCGTACCCAAAGACCGAGAGAAGCCTGGGAGATTGCAGGGGGAGGGCCTGTTTAGTGTTTTTTACCAACACATGGCCTTCAATGGCGCCCTGGAGTAGTGTAGTACGTGAATCAGGAGATTTACCGATGACTGCCTGATGTGGTTCGTTCACATCTGCAGGCATGCCAATCCCCGGGGCAGGAAAGTTCTTGTTCTGGTTCACCTGATACCAGCTCGCAATGATCCTGATCGATGAGCTTTTGTCCAATCTGAACGGTTGCGTAACTCACCGAGTCGCCATGTCATCCAGACGGGATGCTTCCATTGTTCCATTTGAGATGGCATCAGTCAAGTTGGATCCCCAGAGCTCCGTGTATGGCATGACCATATCCAGACCAGCGTTTGCCGCAGCGATTCCGCCGTGCTGGCCGTACCAATCGGTCATGACGTATCCTGCAATGCACTGTCAGAATTGCAGAATATTCGTCTTGGAGTCAAGTGACATACCCTGGAATCCCAGCTCGGTCTTGAGCAATCCATTGAGCGTCTTGCTATTCTGGCATGCGTAAGAATTGTTGATCCGCTGGTAAGAGCACATCACCGAAACACTCCCGGCATGCACGGCATCCTGGAACGGCCAGAGATACAGTTCGTGCATGGCCTTGTCGTCAATGTTGGATGAGACGGAGGCGATGTCTACCCCGTCAACTGTTTCCGGGTTTCGGTTGGTCTCTTGCTCGTAGCCAGTGAAGTGCTGAACCAGGTTAGATCCTGACGACTGGAGTCTCTGAGGGAAGCGTACCTTGGTGCAGGCGCCCACGCCGGCCGACTGAATGCCTTTGACTGTCTCGTAGACCAGCGCTCCGCTGAGGTACGGGTCGTTGGAGAAACCTTCCCAGTTCCGGCCGCCTTCAACAACGCGTCCCAGGGGCGCTACCACGGGACCAAGCAGGACGTTAACGCCTTTCTTGTGGAATTCAGTACCCATGTGGTACGCCCGCTGCCGTGCAAGATTTTTATTCCAACTAATGTAATCAGTACTCCATGTGACGTATATTCGGAGGCAATGTCAACTTACCTCGCACCCGCGTGGATACCGCTCGGCCAGCTATTCACATAGTCCGTACCTCTCTGTCCGGGTCAGCAGGGTGATCATCGGGTGGTTGGTGTGCTGCGTACCAGTCCATCCCCAGCATCAGACACACACAGTCCAGGGAAATTCAATCGCGGAATCGCGGGGATCATTCCAGAACAACCCGTGTCGGAGGTGACACCGGCCGTGAGGTTGACCTTCTCTTCCGACGTGAGCTGCGCGACAAAGGCCTTTGCCTTTTGGTACGCAACAGCCCATGAGCCGGTCCCGTTACCCTCAGCTACGACGGGTCAGTCATGCTCGCCACGGGTGAATGAAACTACATACGCGATGGGTATACCGGTGGTGACTGGCCATAGAAATAGGTATCACTCGTGATATTCTGGACGGAGGGGGCAGCAGACGAGACAGAAACACCCGCCAGAAGGCCGACCAGCCCTAGAAACGAGTGCATGATGGCAGTCTCTTCGGAAGAAAGCCGACGCGTGGGGAGAACGTTCTCATGGGTTGCGGGCGGGTATTTATCCCAAGAATACTCCGAAGCTCAAAGGAGAAACTTGGTGACGTCCGATGTTACGCCGGAAGATCGACATGTCGCTTTACTGGTGTCCGGCAAAACATCGGGTCACAGCCTGAGGGGTTGAGTCCTATACTCTATATGAGCCGGACTGGAGGCTATCGGCAGACCCCTGCACGGCAGCAAAAGAGATGAAGCTGTGATGTGCGGGTGATTGAACTGACGCGGTCCCCCACATTCCGGTCGAGGCGATCTATTTGTCATTGGCGTCCGGGGCCCCCGGAATCTCCACGGTGGGGAGAGCGAAGCTTCGGTCGATAGCGGCCCGGCGTCTTGTTTGAAGATAGTATAAGGGGTAGTGTCGGGAGGTATTTCCCCGCAAGGTGAAGAGGGGGTCGTGCGTACGCTTGGTCATGGCTTAGTTCTCGTTACTATAGATGTGACGATGCTGCAATTGCCGAGGAGACGCCGATTCGTGTTTTGCTAGACTACGCTACTTTTCCTGCGTGGAGTCCGTGTTGATTTTACTTCAGCACAACACCTAGGCCGTGCCTATGCCCGCATGCATTCTTCAAGGCTTTCATTCGAACACAAGTACATAATGCAGTCACCAGCAGGCAACTATGAAACCTCGGCCAGCGGGTGCGCAAGATGTACTTTAAGTGGTGGGACCGGCTCAACGACGCATATAGTATGGCCAGTTCAATCTCAACCTGTCCAAATCCCCGGGGCTTCACAACTCCCGCAGGTACTCCATGCTCTACTGGCTCCTGAGAATGCAGTATTCTATGCCTGATTCTCCGGCCTGCCCACTTTTTCTTCCACTCTGCACAGCACCTTTTGTATACCCACCGATCTGAACGAGACCACCGCCACTTCAGGGAGTACGGCCAGGATTCATACAGCACGTAGCCGACTTGTTACTTGGGCACCTCCACACCCAAGATAAGTGGACAATTAGATGCTTCCTCGAATATTTCCGCCCAGCTCCCATCACGCAGCCTCGCCTGCTGGAGGCACATGTATCGACGCGTGCGCCTGAAATTTCGGATGGTTGGACTTCCAGGAGGCCGAATGGGTTGGGGGCTGAATCCAGAATACCGGAGTATGAGCAGCTCGCGCGTCCCGTTGGGGTGCGGCAAGGGCCATGCTCTCGGAAGCGTCGTGTTTCGCCACATATATATACGTTAAAGGGAAGGGAAAATCCAGGGGTTCTGGTTAGTTGGATTCCATTCGGGGATCCCTTTATTTGTTCGGTTCTCCGAAAGTTATGCGACGACCGGCGGACCGACGGGGCGGTCCTTTATGCGAGCCGCCGTCTCCGATGCGAACCCCGAGTGAGAAACGAGACAAATATCTATTAGAGTATGTATATATAGGACAATGTCTGCACCACAATCCGATACCGAGAAGCTCAGTGACGAACGACCTTCCGGCCAAACAATGTCTGCACCACAGTCGGATATTGAGAAGCCAGCGGCTGAGAAGCAGCCTGCGCCTGGATCGATGCCATGGCACCCCAGCCAGTACCCTGATGGTGGCCTCCAAGCGTGGCTAGTGGTAGCGGGAGCATTCTGCTGTGTATTTTGTAGCTTCGGCTGGATTAACTGTATGTTCGATTTTCCTGTTTTCTACCTGCCATTCACACGCTAACTGACAATATGGGCATCGGGGTGTTCCAAAGTTACTACGAAAGCCATCAGCTTCAGCAATACTCGGCCAGTGACATTTCGTGGATTGCATCGCTGGAACTCTTCATCATGTTCTCCGGAGTATGTATAGAGTAGATCTCCAATCATGATACACAATGAATATCTTCTGCATCAGTGCTGATTTCCAAGGGACCGATCATTGGCCGCATCTACGACCGGCAAGGGCCCCGCTACCTGCTCCTTTTCGGCTCCTTCATGCACGTCTTGGGCTTGATGATGGCCTCGCTGGGCACCGAATATTACCAGATCCTGCTGGCCCAGGGCATCTGCAGTCCCATCGGCATCAGCTGTCTCTTCACCCCGGCCACCTACTGCACCCTTACCTGGTTCCATCGCCGACGAGGCCTCGCCATGGGCATCATCTCCGCCGGATCCAGCCTGGGCGGGGTCGTCTTCCCTATTATGATCGACCACCTCATCACCGACTTGGGATTTGCCTGGGCCATCCGCATTGCCGCCTTTCTAATCTTGGCGATGCTTATCTTCAGCAACCTGACCGTCCGCTCGCGAATCCAACCGGATCCCAAGAATCTGCGGCTGGTCGACTACGTGAAACCCCTGCAGGAGCGCGTCTACCTGTTGACTTCGATCGGCTCGTTCCTCTTCTATCTGGGCATGTTCCTTCCGATCGACTACATCCAGCTACAGGCGACCGCATACGGAATGGGGCTGGATCTTGGCAATTATCTGATCCCCGTTCTAAATGCCGCGAGTCTTTTCGGCCGGATCGTCCCTGGATGGCTGGGCGACCGGATGGGCACTTACAACGTGCAGATTCTGATGAGTATCTTCTCGGGCACGTTGGCTTTGGCCCTGTGGATTCCGGCCAAGGGCAACGCCGCAATGATCGTTTTTGCAGCCCTGTACGGCTTTGTATCCGGAGCGTTTGTCTCGTTGCTGCCCGCCATGATTGCGCAGATTTCCGACATGAAGGAGATCGGGACGCGCACTGGGGTCGAGTTTGCCATCATGTCTGTTGCAGCACTAGTCAGCAACCCAATCGGCGGGAAGCTCATCAGGTATGATCCTATGGACTTTACCCACCTGCAGATCTTCTGCGGGGTGGTGCTGCTTGGGGGGGCTTGCTTCTTCGCCCTGGCTCGCATCGCTTTGGCGGGACCTGGGCTTATCCATAAAGTCTAGTTTCCGATAGAATGACAGAAAATTTAAAAGAGACATTAGCCAGCTATGGGTGGCGTTGGATAATAATTTTTGGTCCTTTTGAAAGATGGGGAAATGCAAATGTTTTACTGGCTAGCCTTGGCCTAACTGATTAGACTATATAGATTTTTAATCGCCTAGCAGGATTGAACAGCTCCATATTAAGTGATATCTGAGATCATATGCCTAGGAAACAATTGACGTTTGAACGAATACAACCAAGTCGAGTTTAAAATACTAGGAGCCAGCAGGCATACCTACCTGAACAAAGCCACCATCCTCAGGAAAGAGATCACCCAAACCGGGACTCACTTCTGAAAGGGTGTCATAAAAAAGATCAGCCAGGGGATCCAACGTCGTCATCACATTACTGTGAGAGACAACGAGGGGGGCGCTAGGGCTCGCTTCCATCACTGATGGCGAAGCCCCGACAGAGCAGCCTCCGTCCACCGACTGCATCTCGCGGACATAACGCGCCTTGGCCATCAATCGCCCGATCGGCTTCCACAGTGTCCCTTTACGCGCATGCTCCTTCAAGCGCCAGCGGTCGTAAAGGATTTCTACGGCTGCCCACCCCCTGTCGCAATCCCGGCACGGGGGCCGAGTACAGATCTCCGACAGAACGAGGGTAACCGCGTGCCATTGCATGTACGTGTCGGATCGCCAGGCCCAGTGAACGATGTTGGGATTGCACAGCAGGGAGCAGGAGAGCTCCAGGATCTCAATAGAGAGGAGAAATATTTTATCCGGTAGACTCGCTTGCGGCGAGGCAGGTGCTACTTCGTTACTGCCGTCCACCGGCCTGCAGGGGAAGTAGGCCATCAGCCATACGCGGGCGATGATCAGCTTTGCCACAGTAGCCGAGACAAAGAGGAAGGGGTCGTCAGGATTGCAGAACTGCAGATACCGGGTCTCCAGGCGGGTCTGGAGCTGCTCGGCCAGGGCCTCCCGTTCGGGCAATGACAGTTTGGGGACGGATGGACTGCTGGTGGACCTTGCCTGACGGCCGTGTGGGGGAACAAAGCTGACCCTGCGCACGATGGAGATTGCTTCCCACGCGATCAGGCTTAGCGTCATCTCTGTAGGACCCTCACGCTCGGTCGGCGGCTGAACCGTGTTCGCGGTCAGATCCAAGTCATTTATATTTAACGGCAGCCGGGTATCAAAGGACGACTCGGAGACAATCGGCTCGTAACCGTGATACTCAGACGAGCGCTGGTCGAGGCCGACAACGAACCACCATAGTCGGCGACGCAGTTCAGTCTCGAGGGGCCGCAAGTCAAAGGCCGCGCCGTCCCGATGGAGGCCCATGGCCTGTGCAATATGCACAATTAAGGCCGTCAGCGACCAGACCGTTCGGGAGTCATCTTCGTGACGAAGCGCACTGAGAAACAAGGCCGCCGCCTGAAGCAAGATCAGGTTCTGGGTATTCAGCAGATCGGCGCGGGCGAGGGCCTGCTCAACGGCAAAGCGATAGGTATGGAGGGCCTGGGGTCGACATAGGCCAAGGGGGCACTGATTCTGATCGATACTGATGATGGCGGCATAATAGATAGCGAAGAGGAGGGCCTCCGTGTTACAATCGAGGGCGTCCAGCGAGGCGACCGCGTTCCAGAAGAGCTGCTTGAGGGTCGGCATGTGGAAGATCTTCACCACAGGGGCGACATTGGTCTGGAAAATCTCGAACAGAGCGACCAGCTGAGAGAGCGACGGATGGTAGACTCGCAGCGAGTGGGCGATCGACCTGAAGCCCATGATGGCAGCATTCATCCCGATAGTGCGGAGTGGCTCCTTTTCATCTGTTTCCTCCTCGTTGTCATTCAAGGGCCGTTCATGTAGCAAATCCCTCAGTTCCTCAATCTATCGCCTCGGTCAGGTCTTATTGACATGTATATCTGGGGGTTAAAGACAGACCTCATCGCCCAGACTAGCCCAAAGCACGTTGCTCACGTAGACACTGGAGGTGTTGTCAACGGCGAGACGGCCATTCCGCTGGTCGCCTTGGGAATCTAAGGCTTGTGGCTGTGGCTGTTGTTCGGTTTGTTGGCTGTCCAGCTGGCGAATGATACCCTCCAGCCGGTCTAGTCTAGCCAGCACCGCCGAGTTGCTGGCAGATTGCTGCGGCCGCTTAGGGGCGCGCCCCGTCCCACCGGGATAGACGCAGGTGGAGGTAGCCCGAACGCAGGCCGCACATGGTTGCTGTCGGTCACATTTGATCTTCCGAGAGCGACAGAGGAGGCAGCTGCGGCGGTGGGGAGAGCGTACCGAGGTGAATGCTTCACTCATGCTGGTGGTAGATCGTAGTCGGCAGATAACAATGAAAAGGAGAGAGAGAAGTGTCAGGAAGGAGGTCGGCGGTTCCGAGTCCCATAACTTCGGTTCGGGGTCGCATAAGTTATGCGACCCCGAGTAAGCCGAGTATACTAGTTTAGTATCTTTACCTATACTATGAGTTTCCAAATGCTCTCACATATGGATCACGTTTGTATACCTGTATTGTCTTGTTTAAAGACAGGTTTGTACTATTTAATTAAACAATCAAGCATGACGAATTAGGACTGTCCGCGTATATAAAAACCACGGAATTACTCGTACTTGTGCGGAGCTCGGTGTTGCGGTATAGATGACGTTGTTCACCACCCGATACTTCATACATCACTTACTCCCATTACATAAAAGACGCCTATTGACCACGTATGTGCATGATACTGTCCTCTATATAACTACATGTCTATCTATTCATCGTTACACTGCATGTTCATCGGGGTGCTGAGGAACGCGATTCTGTCAAGCGGTGTAACTTAATATGAAGGGTTGGTCGTAAGACAGACCATTGTTAACCACCTGCCTAGCATCGATGAGCTCTTGCTGTGTGGCCTGAGTCGACCAAGGCTCCTTTTTGCAGTCTTCCTTATCAGGCCGGAGAGAAAGAAAGCGCCAATGCCTACCAGAGCGGCCGACTTAGAGATCATCTACTGGAATCCGACACGAGATTCTCCTACCTCATACTATACGTTTGCTTCAATCACCGCCTGCACGTACACACTAGCTAAAATATTCCAGATCGTCCCTTTGCTAATGATCAGCTTCCAAATATGTGGCGTGGAATTGAGGCTGGAGGGTAGCAGCCAAGAATTCATGTCCCTCGGATTTGAGCTTTTTGGTGGGCCTGATCTTTAGAGCAGCTCCTCTTCAGACGATCCTTCATTTCTCGGATATCCCTACGTAGTTGGCGATCAAACCAAGGGATCGGAACGGGTAGTGGTTGGGCCATACTCTTCTAGCGACGTTCCGACCCATGGTACGGAGTCTTGTATTCTCTGCTTCCAGACGGCTGTCCGAATGCAGGTTTGGATTCGATCTAGACAATTCATTGTCACACAGACTATTTCATTATGATCCTAGACTATGAAACTATGATTTTGCATAACAATCTGTTACATCAACATGGCGTAGGCCATTTCACGCGCTCTCTCTAATATCGCAGGTATAAAGAGTCCCGCCGTTTAGCATGAGACTATCAATTATTATCCAAGTCCGAGAATACTTGTACAAGTCTGTTCAAACCTGAAATTGTATTAGACCAATCCACTATGGCATGGCATATGAGCTCACGCCAAATTCCCGGCCAACCCTGGATTTATAACTCCTTCGGTCATACTCATCTTCAGGCCCAATGCCTAGACGAAGATGGTCAGTGGCAGAATAGTGACATTGATTTAGACAATGTTATTGGCGAGGAAAGAGGTATGAAAGAGATAGATACAATTTCTATGCTGGAGTATCTGCTGATAGTGGTACCACTAGACGAGCTTGTTTGGGGAGATCAGAACTTTACTGCAGAGTCGAAGTCTGTTAACTTTGCCTTTGAGCAAACTCCCGCACAACCTATTCTGCGTGCTACATTCTTTGACAACAACAGCGCTCCAAAGAATACAGCGGAGAGGATTGCTAATGTTGATGGCCACCTTGTTTTCCGGTAAGGCATGGTCGTTCCAAAAGTGCTTCGTATCTATCAAGGACTCCAGGATATATTTTCTGTGATTATTCTGTGTCCTTGTGAAGAACGCTCTTTAATACGTAATTCGCAGTATTCTGTCTTTTCTTCCAATCCAGGAACGAAACGGTCAATGTTCATAATATTCGAAACAATCTGAACTTATAGCGGTATAGAATAGCCAAGGGGGTAGAAACGTAGAAAGTGTCCAAGCATGTGTGGAATGGGCGAAACGAACGTCACTAGTGTCCATAATAAACTAAGCATTGTGCTATGTTTAGCGAAACAGATGGAAAGTGCCCTTGCAAGCCTGGTGAGTGACAAAGGATGATGGCACTTGAATAAGGCGATTAGATACGCCCGGAGACTGTGATATACCTGTAGTATCTGACTTCCGTCTTGATGACGGCTCACACCTCGCGACCGTATGCCTCCTTCCCATCTGGAGCAGTCTCATCCCTCGAAGTCGTGCTGGTAACAGTAACTGCCAGAACCGAGGGCACGGCGACAATCAAAGCCCCAATACAAAGCCCCCAATCCATCGCAAGCTGCGTCATAGCCGGTTTGCCCAGCGCATTAATCCGCCACGCCATAGCACCACCCGTCGCCTGGAACGTCTTATACGCGCCCACCAGAATAGCAGCGATCGCGGGTGAGTTCGACTGCGCCCCCATCAACCAGTAACAGAAAGATTGCCAGAAGGCGTCAAACGCGCCGTAGAAGATATACAGGAAGATCGGGCCGACGGAGATCTCCCCGTCTGTGTAGTCGATGTCTTGCTTGTGGCCTGTGGCCATGCGCGCACCCAGCCATTTCTGGAACGCAAACCCGCCGCCCCAGATGGCCATACCCGTCACAAACACGAATGCCCACCCGATCTTCGCGCGGACAGGCCGACTCAGCCCGGGAATGTCGAGAATCAGGCCCATGATGAGTCCGCCGATCATCTGCGCGATCCAGTAGAACGCGCCATTCAGGGATCGCGTGCGGATGTTGAAGGTCATTCCGTTGACGATGTTCTGCTGGTAGGAGTAGAAGACGTTGGCGCAGAAGAAGAGCGGGATCATGCAGAGCACGCGCCAGTCGGCGATGGTGCGTACCGTCTGCGTCATGACGCGTCGCCAGCTCTTCTCGCTTTCGGGGGTGGGCTGTAACTCCGCCAGGCGCACCGACGATGGGGGGCAGATAAGCAGGCCGAGGAACCAGCCAAAGGCCATAATGATTAAGAGGGCAATGTATGTGCCGTCAGAGACTGTCCCACTCTTGGAGTTGTAGTTGAGGCCAAAGCTGGCGAGCGAACCGACGCCTCCGCCGAGGTTGAAGATGATCCAGAAGGTGGCGATGGCCCGTCCTTTCTGGGATTCAGGGGCGTATGTAGTCATGATCGCGCCTTGAGCAACCCACAGGAAGGAAGCTCCAATACCGAGAATTGCGCCAGCGGCGATGACGAAAGCGCCGTTGCCGGTTCCTGCGGAAGTTAGACTCGAAGTTGAGATGTGCTGAGGGAATCGATATACGGTTGAAGCATAGGAGACTGCCTGAATACAAAGGATATGTCCATCCCCCGATCAGGAGACATATCCTTGGCCCGACGCGGTCGAAGATGGGGCCGACAACGAACAACGCCGTCGCCGCGGTGGCCGACAGCAAGGCAACATTTGCGTTTGCTGCCACAGTAGGGTCTACCTGACCAGAGCCTCCCATGCCACTCAGGGCGTTGTACATCTGCGTTCGTTAGGTTTGATGCAGACTCTTGTTCTCGATGGTACTAACTCCAGGGCAGCAAAAACAGATGAAGCTGATGAGCACGATCTGGAACCAGGAATTTGTGTACAGTCGCTGCACGAGGGAAGTCGGACGACCCTCGCTCGCTGCGTCGACATTTCCGACCGCAGGATCAGCCTGACTGGCATCAGCCGCCTTGTGTTCCATGGTAAATGGCAACCTTCTGTCCTTTCTGTCTACACACGATGCAATAAGAACAGAAGAAGGACAACTATAGAGCTACCCACGGTGTGTGAAGTCCCAAAAAAAGATCCGAAGGACAAGCAAATACGCCACGGCTTGTGGGCTGACGGGTCATCGCCCCTGGACGTCTGCGCATCGACATCTTTACACTATCTGGGACGCCAGTTGATAGCCGGGGCCCCAGTCGGAGGGAGCCGACAAGTCGCTGTTGACTGGAACGTGGGGGATATTAGTCTCCACTAGGCTCGTATCAAGGGCGAAGATTGGCGTCGCTAACAAGCGACAACAATGCGATGTTACACTAGCACGTAACCCCCACGCGTGATAGTGCTTAGACGGTTACTTCGCTTGTAAATGCCGGGGGCCGGACGGGCGATCACGGTCAAATGATTGGGAAGCCCGAAAGGATAGCCGAGTAAGCTGATACTCGCTGCCGCACACAGTCTCTCACATATGACCGAGTCGGTCTCATTCAGGTCGCCATTCATATTGAGGAACAGGCATAGGCGTGACAATGGATCTCCCTATGCTGGGAAGTCTGCAAACTGAAGCCGTCAATGCACGGACAGGCAATATCGATCAGATCCCAACAATAGACCTATGCAGGGTCATCAATGCAGAGGATCATCAAGTCGCCCCGAGCGTCACCCCATTTCTCCCGCAAATCGCAGAAGCCATTGATGCTCTTGCTGCCCGAGTGCGCCGAGGCGGCCGGGTGGTGTATGTCGGCGCCGGCACCAGCGGACGGTTAGCCTCCTTATCATTCGAAAGCAGCCCACATTGCTGATGGCCATTCCAGGCTTGGTATATTGGATGCATCCGAGATCCCGCCAACCTTTGCAGCGCCGCCGTCGCAGTTCATTGGACTGATCGCGGGTGGCGATGCAGCCATCCGGCGTGCGCAGGAAGGCGCCGAGGACAGTGTGTCTCAAGGCGAAACGGATCTCGCTGCACTTCAGCTTGATGCTGCGCTTGATAGTGTGATTGGTATTGCAGCATCAGGCCGCACGCCCTACGTGCTGGGTTGTATGGCGTTTGCCAAGCGCATCGGATGTCTGACAATCGGTGTTGCCTGCGCCTCGCCGTCTGCTATGAGCCGATCTGGAGATGTTGATATTATGCTGTCTCCTCTGCCTGGGCCGGAGGTGGTGACGGGGAGTACCCGGTTGAAGGCCGGGACGGCGACGAAGTTGGTGTTGAATATGTTGAGCACGGGGACGATGATTCGGATTGGTAAGACCTATGGGAATATGGTACGTCCATCTTCTTTACCGAAGCTTTCAATATACTTTACCAGGTGTTGACTGGTGGATCAGATGGTCGACTTGGTCGCTTCAAATGAAAAGCTGAAGCAACGGTCGCGGAATATTCTCAAACGGCTCAGTGAGCGATGTCATTCCATGGACGATTCCGAGCTGGATGCTCTCCTTGCGAAATGCAATCGGAGTGTCAAATTGAGCTTGTTAGTCGCCGAGACTGGTTTGACAGTGGGCGAATGCCAACGCGATTTGGATGCCGCTAAGGGTGTTCTTGCAAAGGCGCTCCAGCATAGAAATCGTACGTCGAAGTCACATAAAGAGGACTCTGGAAATAGGCGATTTATATTGTCGATCGACGGTGGCGCCACCAAGTCGGCGGCTGTGATCGTGGATGAAGCAGGAAACGTTGTTGGCCGAGGAAAGGCTGGGGCTTGCAATCTGTGAGATTACTCTTACTTCCATCACTGTTGTTATCGGAACTGACGATGGGACGACAGAACCGATGGACAGAATGTTGAACAGGCAGTGAACACTCTCGTGATTGCAGCCCAAGATGCCATGGAGAAGGCCCACATAGCACCCTCATCGTTCGCGAACTGCTTTAAGGCTGTGTGGCTTGGATTAGCGGGTATTGACCGCAGCCGGTTCCACGAGATCTTGACCCCTAAACTGCAAGATGCCTTTGGGGTGTCCGGAGAAGCTCTCCGGCTCACAAATGATGTTGACCTGCTGGCTGGGGCAATGATTCAGCATGCTAAGGTGCGATCCGCAGTAGTAGTGATTGCTGGGACTGGGAGCGTCGCAATGATATATGAATGGGACGCGCAACAACAGCACCCACGACGCGTTGCACGATCTGGCGGATGGGGACATCTTCTCGGTGACGAAGGAGGTGGTTATGCCATTGGCCTGCATGCACTGAAATCGACGATGAGCGCGCTGGAAGCGCGACGATTGGGATTGCGGTCTCTCCCTTTGGAGCCGTTACATTGCGCAGTGCTAGATCGACTTGGATTTGGTGTTTCTGACGGGAAAGAGATTGACCTGGTTGGGGAGATCCTGGTCGGTCATCAAGAGAAAGACATCAAAGTGCGCATCGCCAGTCTGGCCGAGGTCGTCTTGAATCTGTCATCGACAGACGAAATATCCAAAGGCATTGTGGAAGTGCAGGTGAAGCAGCTTGTGGAAACGACTGTCGGGCGTCTCATTCATCCTGGATGCAGTGGGTTCACGGCATCAGAACAAACTGGCCTCATTCTCTCCGGAAGTCTGCTGGGCCACGACCAGTATAGAAAGGTTTTCTTGCAACATCTGAACGCGCACTTTGCGTATGTGGAGCACATCAGGGAGGCAGCGGTGGTGGGAGCGCAGTCACTAACGATGGTGGGAGTGAAGGAGAAACACAACAGAAGGATATAAAACCCTCCCTCTCCTGCGCTGTCTCTTCCTCTGTCGACCTTGATCTCTCACCTCACCATCTTCTCTGTTACCTCAAACCAAACATCAATTCAATTTCTACAAACCTGTTACCCTTTTCCACTCTCCAAAATGCCTATGACTTGGGACTCAAACGCGAACGAGAAGGTACCGCAATATCAATATTCCTATTATACCACATCCATGCAACTGACCTGCACTTCCCACAGCTGCTGTTCGGGATCATCGCCCAGATGAAGCAGATGAACATCAAGCTTAACTACAACCAGCTGGCGGCGCACATGGGCTCCGGTAGTGTCCCTACCCCGAATGGAGAAGCCTTCTTACTCACCGAGGTCTTAGAATGTACCGCTGTTGCGGTGCAGTTGCATCTGAAGAGACTCCGTCGACAAGTTGAAGGGTCCGGCAGTACAGAGAACACTCCCAACGCGAGTCCCGCAAAGCGCAAGGCGACCGGAGAACCCAAGACCCCCACCAAGCGAGGAAAAGGAAAGAAGGCTAGTCTCAAGGAAGGCATTGAGTTGACCGTCGAGGAAGATGATGAGGAGGACAGCAAGATGGAGGTGAAGAAGGAGGCTGGGTATGACTTTGATTCCGCTGTGTGATGTCCGTCTGTCAGGTAGACGTGGTTACTCTTTGTACAAGGCCCGTTTTGCAATTCCATTTACAATTTCAACTCAATGTTGGCATGCTAAGGTCAGGATTCAGATGCTGTTGACAGTACTAACATATTCTGTCTCCCTGTTCTGTCGTCCTGTATCCTTGAAATCCCAATCTCCAATCCCCCGTAAACAAAAATCACTCATCATCCTCGTCCTCACCCACGTCCTTGACAACCTTGGCCTTCTTTACAGGAGACTCGTCCTTAGCGCTAGACTTTCTCTTTCTGGGGGTTCCGGCAGGGCTGTTGGTCTCAGCTGCCTCTTTGGCGCTGAAGGAAATGTTCAGAGAGGCTCCGGGCTTCACAGTCTTTTTGTACTTTCCCAGAAACTCCTTGATGGCTTTAGGGGTGGGGCCCTTGCAATCTTCGTCTTCATTGGTGGCTAAATCCCAAATTAGATACTGGCTAACATATAGGACTACTAGGAGACGAGACATACGCCAGTTGTTGGCGACTTTGACGACATTGATGGTCAGGTTCTGGGTCTCGCAGACGGTGCGAAAGAGCTGGATCGTCAGTCAATGTTGAGCAGGTAAGGGTATTAAAGCTCACTGTTTCGATATTCTCAGGAGTCCAACGCATCCTGACGTTGATGAGGGGGGTGGGATTGCTGTGGGTGTAGTTGAGAGTTGAATTGGTCCGAGGCGGGGAATGGATGTTGTGGTAGGAAGAGAGATGAGCGGAAGAAGAGGCAGAAGAGAGACTGAAGGTTAGAGGGAGCAGTTGATTGAAGACTGTTAAAATTCACTTGTGTTGGTGGTGGTGAGCTGGTATTCTTCTGGCATGCATACGCGCAGGATGTTGCTACTATTGTCATTCTCGCCCTCACATTCACATATACCTATCTTTGAGCTCAGACCGGCTAGTAAATTTAAAAATAATATTTTCTGAGATTTCTAATTAGTGGCCCCTAGATATACGACCACAAAGGAAAGATGGAGCGGGGGATCTGTATCTGTTGCTTTGGGACACGCACAGGCGGCGGGAGGACTACAAGGAACATAGGGTGCACCACAGCCTAGGGAATAGAGCTTGGTATACGGAATTTACTCCAGATGCGATTAGATCGGTTGCCAGTCAATTTGATATGCATCTTGCATAGAAACCCTCGAGTATTCAAATATGAATAAACCAATTAATCCTCCTCTGAACTACGACACCAGTCCATGGCTAGAACCCGAAAACTATACAACTTCTCTGGGGAATCAGGCATTGGCCCGGTCTTCGGAGGTCTCTTGGAGCCTTCTATGTGAAACGATGCTTGGATCAAACATGATTTCTGGGGATCTTAAACTGAATTCCTGAGCATTCTTTGTCAGTTGACAGCGCCAAGTTTTACTCCAGCGACATCCTCCACAATGACCTGTCAGTTTCAACTGCTCAATATGGACGTTAATCTTATTATAAATAATAATACTACTATCAAAGCAATCGCATTTCTCCTTAAAATTGAGAATAAAGGCCCTGCATTCGCACAAGCGTATGGGGAAAACCTCTGATATGTTAGAGGGGAAAACCCAGACGGAGGCTAGTTACCTAGACAATATGCCAGATTTGATATCCCGTTTGACAATCACATAGAGTACTCCGTATCTCAGGCTGAAGCTCGATATATCCCTGCAGATGGTTGCACCAGCCGGCCTATTCGCCGAGGGTCCTGAGCTGCTTCAGAGAACTTTCCACCTTTGCCGATGTCTCCCGACCAGGTGGAAAAACTTTATGAGTGCTGGTGCCGACAAAAACACTCCCCTCATCTTTCAAATTAAAATCATAGTATGGCTCATTCATGCCTGGGTAAACGGGTTGGTGCAAAGCCAAGCTGTTATACGGCAGAGTATAACCAGCATCTTTTAGAAGCGTGTCTGCCTCAGGGGCATCCATCTGAACAGGCCACGGGATAACAGCATTTCCAAGGATAGGACTGTCAATATGCACAGAAGGACCGAATTCCCCCCAGACTGTCGATTCTATTATCACTGAGCCACTGCCACCGTCGTTAAACACAACTTTCAAGTGCGAAAACCCCCGAGGAGAATCCACATATTGATCATTTGGCGTGGTAGCTAAAGCTACTAAGAGCTGGGCTTTAGGATAATCCTCTCTAACTTTCCGCACCGCGATATTGACGGCACCACCGAAGCTGAGAGGGACTGATGCCATGGTGGAGTTGCAGCTTGGACGATAGTGTGTATTCAAAGAAGTAAAACTTGTCTGGTTGCTTATTCGGTTAGAAATAAGGCTGAATTGGGAGAAGCAGGGCGGGGTATTTATACTTCATATTCTACTTAACCAACTCCATGCAGCCAGCCGCGGAAAAACAGGAGGTAGGCGCATTAATTCTTGTTAGATAGAGTTGTATTGCGGCCTGGGAGCAGCTAACATCACACTTCGTCATCTTTTGTTAATTCTGCGACTTTGGACTACGACGTACTGAGCAAGGACGAATGCGGAGAGTCCAGGTAACACAAATGACTCTATAACTGGGCCTAGGCTATCAGCTACCACCAGATTGAAAGACACATAGAGGGAAACAAGATCCTATTGCCGTATTCACCCTATTATGGTCCTGTAACCTAGCTACCGCTCATATATCTCAATAATTCGACAGTCAGAGATCTCAAATCAACTTCCATGTGATACATGAAATGGTCATCAATCTAAAGCTCTCTCTCATTAAATCTCTGCCATCGCATGACAAAGAGTTCCTGAACCGTTACACACCCTTTCATCTTAATTCTTGAGATGATGTGACCCTGGTTCTTGGAGTATCAAGGGCGTTGTACTAAAGTATGCTACCGCAGATCACCAATCAATGATCATAAATAGCCATGTAACAACGTAACTTTTCTACTGATTTCAGCAAGGTTCTGAGTTCAAAGCATTGCTATAAAAAATTGTATCGTCATAGACAGTAATACTTGCTCCGAGGGGGATTTCTCGCTCGCCGTAGTTTGGCCTATAAATATAAGGGAACAGTCCCAAGCAGTCTCTTTTCTACGGAAAAGAAAGCTGAAAGCCCTACAAATTCAAGTCTGCAACCATGGCCACTATTGATATTGAAACTCCCCCTAACACGACGAGGATTTGCATTGGCGCCTTGACGCACTCCAACACGCCTTCTGAAATCAGTGTTGAAGCGCGATGGACTTCTGGGTCTGCCACGTATGGTGCAGATTTCGTCGGGCAGGATGGGAAATATGAACTCTTCGATTATTTTAACAGGCCATTTATCCCTGATGGCATTGACCCTTCTATCAAAAAGATGACCGTTAATTTTAAATTCTCAATTGCGGGTGATCTCAAAAGAACTGAGACCCCTTTTCGTTATATTCCAGGCAAAAGCGTCCAGGTCACTGGATACGACAAAGAAAACAACCCTACTGTTGTGACAATCCAATATAACTGTCACCAGTCTGATTCACAAATGTATAAAAAGCAGTGAGCCAACGAATGAGGCAGCTATCACTGCTGTTCATGTTTCGCTTATTATGCAGTTGTGAAAATATGGCTGTCATTGTTGGAGCCCTCAGCCTTTGAAGGGTACAAGAAAAGCCCTTTATATGCATCCCTCGATATATGTGTCTTCAGCCTCCGTCTGGGTTTTTCCCTCTAACATATGAGGGTTTCCCCATACGTTTATGCGAATGCAGGGGCTTTCTTCAGTTTTAGGTTGCAAATGCAGAGTGTTCTATTAATCACTCTATAACTGATGTAGACATTTCCCTGAGCTATCCAAAGCCAACGTAATATATGGGTTCGAACGTCGGTAGGGACATCACACCAGAGGCCAGAGCTGCAGGGCACTCTTAGACACAAGACCTACTAAAGACATTCTCAAATCTTCGTCTACTACAATTGAGCATCATGAATTTCAGGGCGGGAATGGAAGACTTTGTTAATGGCTACCAAATCCAAAACCTTAACGTATTATTAATAGAGGAACCTCCGATGCTGGTAACACCCAGCAGGGACATATAGTGCAATAAACTCATTATTGCCGGAGAGCTCACCACTACCACCTAACGTAGAGCCATAATTCTATCCGTCATATCTTTGCGGAGCATGCGGAAGAGCTAATCACCTTCCCGGTACACGGGCTCTAATGTTAGGTTCCTCAAGGCACGCCGCCCACTTTTTAGTCGCGAAGCTATCAAGAAAAGCATCTACACTAGACCTCGCGCCGGCCATTGAGCTGACAAGGTTAATCAAATACGAATTTTACCACCACAATAACGGATCAGTTCACCAGCCTGCGGGTGGAGGGTGATAGACATGGCGGATATATTATCAACAACCTCATCTGCCGGAATCCCGCTATAGTCCGGCGGAAACGAGAATTCCGGCGGACAACCAGCTTAGCTGACAAGATAGATAGATACTATTGACGAATCTCCTGCTTTCCTCTTCCAGAGGTCTGTGCACTGTTGGACATCTTCTGCTGGTCTGACATACTGTACCTTTATAAGCCAGACCTCCGCACTGTTCCATATCTCACCTCCCCACTCCCTACAACCCACTATCAAACTCCCCATCATGACATCCGAGCTCTCAACCTTCTGGACCAAGGCTGACAAGTACCTGATGTCCACCGGAGTGCCATACTCCCCCGTGGTCATTACCAAAGCCAAAGGCACCCGACTCTATGCCGCCGACAACCGTCAGATCCTGGACTTCACGTCCGGCCAGATGAGCTCCCTACTGGGCCACTCGCACCCCGACATCGTCGCCGTGGTCCAAACGCACATCGCAGAGCTGGACCATCTCCTCAGCAACATGATCACCGCTCCAGTGGTCGACCTGGCCGAGCGTCTCTCCCGCATCCTCCCCCGTCCGCTGGAGAAATCCTTCTTCCTCAACACCGGCTCCGAGTCCGTCGAAGCCGCCATCAAAATGGCCAAGCTGTATACCGGCAAATTCGAGATCGTCGCCTTCAGCGCCAGCTTCCACGGTCTCACCCAGGGTGCCGGCGCGGCTACCTATACCGCCGGCCGCAAGAATGCAGGCCCCACGGTACCCGGTCAGTTGGCGTTTCCTGCCCCATATGCCTATCGCTCGCCGTTCCGCACGCCGGATGGTGCATATGATTGGGAGACCGAGATGGACTTTGCCTGGTCGATGATCGATCGGCAGAGCGTCGGGTCATTGGCCGCCTTCGTGCTCGAGCCCATCCTCTCCACCGGCGGGATCCTCGACCTTCCCGCCGGGTATCTGTCCCGCCTTAGTGCCGAATGCAAGAAACGCGGTATGCTGTTGATTGTGGACGAGGCGCAAACCGGCATCGCTCGCACTGGAGACATGTTTGCTTTCCAGAAAGAAGGCGTCGTGCCTGATATTCTGGCCCTGTCTAAGACTCTGGGGTGTGGTCTGCCGCTGGCGTCGGTCAGCACTACGGGGGAGATTGAGCGTGGATGTCGAGAGGCAGGTTTTCTTCTGATCACGACGCATCTTAATGACCCGCTCACGGCTGCGGTGGGTAGTAAAGTGCTGGAGGTGGTGGAGCGCGATAATCTCTGCCAGCATGCGGCTCAGCGAGGGGCCCAGCTACGCGCAGGCCTACTTAAACTCCAGCAGAAATACTGGTGTATCGGGGATGTCCGTGGTCGTGGCCTGCTCCAGGGCATTGAGATCATTTCCGATGAGCAGACCAAGGCCCCAGGACCGGACCTGGGACAGGCGGTCTGTAACAGGGCTATGGAGCTGGGTCTTTCGTGTAATGTGGTCAATCTTCCTGGTATGGGGGGAGTGTTCCGACTGGCACCTCCTGTTACTGTGACGGCAGAGGAGATTGAGGAGGGTCTACAGATTCTTGACCAGGCGTTTGCGGATGTTCTTGCAAAAACGTGATGTGTCAAACTTAGGTATAGAGTAGCCTAGTGTTGAGGCTATAATCACATATTGTTGTTGTGTTGTATAGCATCTAGTTTGTCGCTCCGAACTGTTGTACAATGCTCTAGCGACAATATCAGTACCCATTTCCGACTTCTGGATGGTTATACAAAACATGAGCAGCTGGTAATATCACAATATTCCACCAATAACCCTGGTGGTTACTGCTATAACCTCCCCATCTTTGGCCATATTCCTGTCCAATGTATCAACTGACCCCATCTAGGACAAACCCCACCTTTGACATCAAGGGACATACACTCTTCCATATTATAGTCAACTACACCCTCCCCCTCACTCAATTGTACCAACAACCGAATCATGCCTATCAAGAAAGAAACGAACGCAAGCCCTAAACGCCGTGATGCAAACTCAACCCTAAAAGTACGCCATCCACCACAACCCCAATCACCCATCTAACACCCTCAGATAATCATAGTCGGCGCCGGCCTAGGAGGCCTCGGCGCCGCCATCGCCCTCCGTCTGTCCGGCCACGAAGTAATCATCCTCGAAGCAGCCCGCGAGATCGGCGAGGTCGGCGCCGGCATCCAATGCCTCCCCAACAGCACGCGCATCCTACATAAATGGGACGTGCGTGGTACCCTCCGTGCGAAGGCTTCCACTACGCAGACATGCAATATCATCGGATGGAAGGGCAATACGATCTCCAGTATGGATTTCCAGGCTGCGGGGGCGGAGCACGGCTCGCCGTTTAATGATTTCCATCGTGCGGATTTACACCGCGCGCTGCTTGATCGGGCTGTTGAGCTTGGTGCGACTGTTCATACGAAGTGTGAGGTGGTCGATATGCGGTTTGACGAGATGACGAGTACGGCGACTGTCTCGATCAAGGATCAACCGGATCAGGTCGCGGACCTGGTTATCGGTGCGGATGGGATCAATTCGCGGTGCCGTGAGATCCGTCTGGGGAGGAAAGAACCGCCCCATCGCACGGGGGACATGGCGTATCGGATATTGTTGGACGCGGCGGAGATCAGAAAGGATCCGGAATTGAGGACGATTGTAGATGATAAAGCGGTGAATTACTGGTATGGGCCTGGAGCGCATGTTGGTAAGCTTTCGCTGTCGGATGCTGAGTGCTGGTGGAACTGAAGCGCAGTGCAGTTACATACCCTCTCCGCGACGCATCACTCTTGAACATGGTGCTGCTTGTGCCGGATAATATGCCAGAAGAAGGTCCCTCAACGCTGCAGGGGTACGTGGACGAGATGCAGGGGCTGTTCAAAGACTGGGATGCGAGGTAGAGTCAATCAATGTTTTGCTTGAGGTAGCGAAAGACAGTTCTGACAGCACAGGATCGGAAAACTCCTGGCCATGTGTCCGTCCGTCCTCCGCTGGAGACTCTGCATTCGAAAGAGTATCGATTCGTGGGTGCATCCCAGCGGATGCTTTGCTCTTCTTGGTGATGCTGCGCATGCAACTCTGCCGTATCTCGCGAGCGGGGCGGGTATTACGTTCGAAGATGCCGCCGTTCTCGGTGAATGTCTGGACAGGATCCAGTCCAAGACTCCTGGAGAGAAGAAAAGGGCACTGGAAGTCTACGAGCTCTGTCGAAAGCGGCGGACGGAGACTGTCGTTGAACGAGGCACCATTCAGCAGGACTTGAATCACTTGGACGACGGGGTAGAACAGGAAGAGCGCGATCGCAAGATGCGGGCTTTCGAGGCGGTGGAGCGCGACTGGCAAGCTGGGAAACGAGGGCCTTTGCCTAGCGGTCTAAAGCCAGGAGAAGATCCTTTGGTCTGGCGGAGGTATGGTGTTGGCGAATGGCTGTTCAAATATGATGCAGTTCAGGATGTTGAGGAGAGGTGGAGGGAGGTCCATGTGCGTGATGGCACTGTGGCTACATGAGTACCGTACATGGTCCACGGACTTCGTACTTTCTACATAGCTAGTGCTGGTGGAATCAGCGCCCTCTGCTCCTTGCATATGCCTTGCATAGCCATACCCTCTCCCTTCCTCTACAATCTGTCTCTTGGTTCTTCGAAGAACATCTTCCACTTATTCAAAGCGATATGTTTCGTCTCAGCGCCAAGGAGACTTCAAACCAGACAGCATGCGAGAAACCCACCTGGACCCAGCTGCTGAACGGTCCTATGTCCGCAAAGTCGATCTAATACTACTCCCCTTGTTATCTATAATGTAAGACCCGCGGCCAGCCACTTGCCAGCTAACTGATCTCCAGGTACTTTTGCCGGTTCATGACCGGGGGCAATATTGGAAATGCAAAGACGGACGGCATCGAGCACGATCTAGGCATGGCTGGGGAGGAGTATAGCTTGATGATGACCCTCATAAACATCCCATTTGTGGTCGTTGAGCCTTTCGTGACCCTGGTGGTGAAGAAATATGGCGGCCATCTAGTAATTCCCAGCCTCATTTTCGTCTCTGGAGTCATCTCTCTATGCCAGGTCGCTGTCAAGAAATATGCCGGTCTCCTGACTTGCCGTATGCTCATTGCCTGCGCTCAGTCGGGGTTCTTTAGTAGGTAGGAACGAGCACAATGGATGGCGGGAGTGCTGGAACTTGCTGATGAGCTGCAGTGTTGTGTTTTATATGACGCTCTTCTATAAACGTGACGAGATGGCATTCCGTATTGCCATCTTCTACGGGTCAGCTACCATCGCCGCCGCGTTCACTGGGCTGATGGCATATGGGGTATTTGGTTTGGACAATTCCGCACTGAAAGGATGGCAGATCCTCTTCATCATCGAAGGAGCGATCAATATCATCTTCGGCGCCGTTGGTACGTCCGCATAAACTCATATATAGCGCACACTAACCACTCGTAGCCTTGTGAAACACCCTCCCATCTCTTCGATATACTCAAACTGATTAGTCTCAGCTTGATTGTCCCCAGAACGCCCCAAACCTGCTGGTGGCTCACCCCAGAAGAGCGCACTGCGGCCCTTGTTCGACTCATGCGAGACTCCACCGCTGAAGTGGACGTCAAGTTTGCCCTGACACCAGCCGTGAGAGCCCTCCTCGACCCAGCAATGTGGCCATTCATGCTCCTTTGCATTTCATACGGAGTTGCCACAACCTCGACAGGCCAATTTCTGCCACAAATCGTTCACCGACTGGTACGTCACTCACAAAAGCCAGGGAACACTGCTAAGCCGATTCTCCAAGCAGGGCTACAACGCTGTCCAGACAAACCTCCACCTCGTGGCCCCGAACTTGACCGGATGCGTTATCACGCTCGTTGTGGCCTGGCTGAGCGATCATTACAAGGAGCGAGGCGCGTTCCTGTGTCTGGGCTTGGGTCTCACCATGATCGGATACATCATGACCAGCGCGCTGGATCCGCTCACGCAGACCGGAGCGTGCTATGCGGGTATGTATAGTATCTTGCCAGATAGTGAACGTCCGCAGCTACCGTGCTACCCCTCTAGGTGCGTTCTTCCTTTCGTCGGGGACATACATCCCATCCTGTCTCGTGCACGCCTGGCACAACAACATCAAGGTGGATGAAAATGCCCGAGCGCTGGTCACGGGGGTGATGCTGGCGTGCTCTGCGATGGGTGGCATTATCTCTGCGCAACTCTTCCGCAATGAATGGGCGCCGTTGTACCTGCAGGCACTGGGTGCTACGGCCGGATTTCAAGGACTCGCAATCATCGTCTCCGCTGGCCTAGGTGTCTACTTCCGATGGCAGAATGCAAAGCGTGACAAGGCTATGGGACAGAAGCTGCGTGCGGAGGATACACCTCAGAACGAGTTGGTGGACGGCGAGAGAGATCCCCGGTTTCGATACTGGACCTAGAAATGGACGGGAAATCAACAGGTTCTGTCGTCTATAGGCATAGAGCAATCGAGAGATCGGTATTAAGTATGATTGTCATTTCATCCATTGGCATTATCGTAATGGGAGCAACCCAAAAATCCACCCGCTCAAAATCTATTTAAGCACAGACCGAAAGCACCTAATACGTGAATCCAAACAATACTCCGTAATCGAAAACACACTTCTTTTATTCACAGCTGCACCATGTTGTTCAAGATCTTGACCTCCTCTCCGGGCTTGAACGGCGGCAGTCCGATGTAGGGGCAACTCGAGCAGCGGAAGGCATCGCCGAGAGAGCAGCTGTTGCAGGAGCTCGTCTTGCCCTGGACGGTGAAATCGACCTCATCGCTGAGATCGGTGGACTGGAGCTTGAGAACGTTGAGATCTTTGTCGGCCTTTTCCTGGCGTGCCTTGTCTTCGGCCTCCATCTCAGCGGCCAGGCCACACGTGCAGTCCTTGCAAGGGCGCCGACGCTTCTTGGCTTTCTCCGGCTGGCAGTTTGCGGCTGCATCCAACGGGTCAGTATTCGGAAATCGGGAAGGAAATGTGGTGATAATGGACTCACGTTGTTGCATTGGACGCTTTAGATCGTCATCGGACAAAAGATCATCCTCGTCGATCAACTCATCATTGCCGTCCACAAACCCCACCCCAGTGGCGACCGGAGGTTGCTCCGTCGGGGCTGGAGCCTTCTTCTTCTTCCCTCCCAGCCGTAGAGGCACAGCAGCCTCCTGGTATGCAGGTTTCTCAAATGCACCATCCTTCTCCACCAGGCCAGCCAGAATCGCCTCCAAACCCTCTGCGCTGTTCCAGGTGCCATCCTGGAGCTGGAGCTTGGCCCCTCCCTTCATGGACGGGACCAATGCGGAGTATACATCGCGGGAAAGGAGTTGAAGAGCTTCGGCGCGGCGGGCGCTGTCGGTGTCTGTGAGCACGAGGACCAGGTCGTATGTGGCGGCGGGGAGGGAGACGAAACCGGCCGACAGGCGGTCGAGCATTTGAAGATCGGTGGAAGCACGGTCGAAGGTCGCAAAGATGTCTCGCAGTTTCTCTTCATGAGCGGCGATCGAAGGGGGCGCCAACAGGAGGGTCCGCGTGCTGGTGGAGGGGGCTGTCTTGGTGGGAGGGGCAGCGAAATCGGCCGTGGTGTCCACGGAGACGGGGACTGGCGTCATGGTGTCTGCTTTCTTCACACTTTTCGCTACTGTCTGGGTGATCTAAAGGACAAGAGAGAGAGAAAGAGAGAGAGAGAGATGCGATGGAGGAAAAAACGAAGAGAAGATGAGGAGAAGAAGAAGAAACGATAATTGGTAATCCGATCGCGCTCCACGGAGAAACCTTGAAAGATTTCCTTATCGGTGGCGGATGAGGTAATCATCTGGCCGAATCGGGCACTCCCCGTCTGACTAACATTACCCCGCTTCCCATTGGTTCGTAGTTTTATGCTTGATCTGTCGGGCATCATATTTGCCACTGCGAAATCTGCTGCAACAACACATAAGGTATCGATAGTTATCAAGGCAACTTGTACAGGTCTGGGTAAAGCTGGGTTGGGTTGGATTATGTTCTGTCAGTACTAGAGTACTAGGTAGTGGGAGACTTAGCGGTTTCAGTCGTCAAGTTGATGTATATATATCCGTCAATCCTAGGCGATCTCTGACCTATGCAAACAATGGAAAGCTCAGTATAAACAAGGTCTCACGCATGTCAGATGATTAGATGCAGTTGTCTAATCTCACACGTATCTGCATCTAGTTCCATATGGTCTAAAGTCCAGTGTGCTTTAGCAAAAATAAGAGCCAGCAAGCCATATACCCATTTGGGGTAGAGATGGTAAGAGTCTCCTGGTAAAACAGTGGAGACTACAAATCGATGCAGTTATCGGAATATTTGGGACTCACTTCGTACACGGGAACCGGTAATCAACAATGCATCTGGTAGTATACCCTTAGATCTATTCATGTACTTGACAATCTATCGAAAACTCACACCTGCTACCACATGAGCTACTATACAGCCCACGTTCACAAAGCGCAATCATAGCCATGCATTGCAGTTTGTCGGGTGATCAAAGACAAGGACATTCATCCCTATGTCTGACTTGTTGACCCTGGCTATGTAGTCGATTTAGCGAGCACCATCTGCAGGCCGCGACTCGACCATTCGTTCTCGACAATAACTAACCAGTCTCGCTCCAAATATCACTCAACTACATTGAGACCCACATAATCCACCGTTCGTAGTCTTATATCATAACCTTTGCCGAAAATCGCTGGCCGAAGTGTCCACGGAACATGACATCCCGCGGATCTCAACCGGTTAGGAGGACTCCCCGGGAGTACCCAGCAACACGAACAAACATCTTACCCGCAACTGGACCAAACATTCGGAAATTCGATGTGGCGATGACCTCGGAATCGCCGATTAAAGGCCAATGACTTGTACTCCTTAGCTGTTGTGGAGAACGTTGGTACTGGGTTTACTGTCCACCATCCGATTACATAGTAGGGCTTTGGATCGCTTTTGCTGTCTATTCTATGCCCCAAAACAGTGTTATCAGCCAGCACGTGGTGATATAACCAACCTGCGTTTTTGAGGTAATGGCTTGATATAGACGACTATCCAAGATGGCGATTGTTATTATACTAGTGCATAATTAGAAGATCTCTTGGTCCTGCTTCATCCGTAGATGTTAGCATACGGAGTTGGTTCATCCGAAATTCGGAGGATTCCAAAGATTTATACCGCATCTCTATAGAGGAGAATCGTACTCAGCGATACTATAACCTTCCATTCAATTTCATTGACAGCCAATATTGTCAAAATGGCAGTCTCAACATCAGCGAAAGACATCGGCCAGAAAAAAGATGTCAACGTCGGAAATCTGCTGCGTGAGTCCCATTTGGCTCATAAAGATTACTGTTCTCTAACTGTTCTCAATAGTTGGCGCAGCTCTAAACATGTTTGAGTATGACTATATAATCAAGCAGATACGAACCCAGAGTATTGACATTCGTATAGAGTCACATCTTTGGGGCAGGTATAGAGTGCCTGAGCCTACTCCATGCCATCTACTGCGTGCTAAGCAATGATGCAGCCGTTAGAGGTCGTTAAGACGACGATGGCGGCAAATAGATCGGATTCATTTCCGGCTGCAATGAGACGAATCTGGGCCCGAGGAGGCATCTTCGGCTGTGAGACCTGCCTACAATATTCCCAAGCAAAGCTAACGGAGACATGCAGTTTATCAGGGTCTCATACCGTGGGCCTGGATCGAAGCGTCTTCTAAAGGCGCAGTCTTGCTATTTGTAGCCTCCGAAGCTGAGTACAATGCACAAAGACTAGGTGCCTCCGCATTTGTTGCCGGTATCGCCGGCGGCATGCTCGGGGGCGTCGCGCAGGCCTACGCCACCGTCGGATTCTGCACCTGTATGAAGACAGCCGAGATTACTCGGTCGAAAATGGCCGCAGCTGGCACAAAGCCACCCAGCACATTTGAGATGTTTGCAAACATATACCGTGCGCAGGGCATCCGGGGAATCAACAAAGGGGTCAATGCTGTGGCGATTCGCCAGGTGACTAACTGGGGTTCCCGATTTGGGCTGTCGCGACTGGCGGAGAATACCATCCGCAGGGTTACCGGCAAGGATGACGCGCAGAAGCTGAGCTCATGGGAGAAGATCCTAGCTTCGTCCCTGGGTGGTGGGCTGTCGGCATGGAATCAGCCGATTGAGGTGATCCGTGTGGAGCTTCAGAGTATGAAGAACGATCCCCAGCGTCCAGGGAACTTGACCATTGGTAAAACTGCCAAGTTTATCTATGAGCAAAATGGGATCCGGGGGCTATACCGTGGCGCTACTCCTAGGATCGGACTGGGGATCTGGCAAACTGTCTGCATGGTTGCATTGGGAGATATGTATGTGATATTATGCCTTGAGGTTATGAGTACGGACTGACAAAAATAGGGCGAAGGAGGCCGTCGAAAAGGTGACTGGGCAAAAGGCAAGCGGACATTAGTTCCCTCCTAGATTTATTTGTCTTTGGTCGACATTTGAATATTGAACGAAAGTCTATCCTTGATGTGAAATTGGCAGCAAATGGTGCAGGCAGCCAGTCACCTTGTGCTGCGACGGAACAAGTTGAGATGACCAAGTTGTCTAAAAGCCTTGATATAATTCTGACAATAGGATCTTCAAATATCGATACCCGTGGGCAAATTAAACGATTCTCTATCCATAGAAGGTAGATTTACCCTTGAAGATGTTGGTGGTGGATCAGCACCTGGAGGACCTTGGTGCTTCCGAGCTAGATTCTTACCCTGCTGTGCTTTACGCTCTCTAGTGGCAGCGTTAGGTCAGTTCCTTAGTCTCGACCTCTCCGAATATTCTGGGGCCGGTCTTTCCGGTGCCGCTTCTCTTTTTGCTTGCTGGGAGGATATGGGATTACAGGGCGATGGTAGGCTATGATGCTATGGCCCAGTCACAAAAGGTTTGCGTATACCTGGCCAGCAAGGTCGTATTCCGGTCAGGGATGATCCTTCCATGGCATGTAATATAGTCGGTCACCTGAAGGCCCGGTCAACGCTCGGTCGAGGCTGTAAGCGATGGTCACATCACAGACTGTCACGGGTATTTTAGATTAGCCGGACTTATGTAGTGCAGAGAGTAGGCGATACAGTCGCTTAGGATAGACTTTAGACGGCCACTGGATAGTGGCGACAATTAATTCGCTGTGGAATCCATAGTTGCAGTATTTAAACGACAGTGAAGGTCTCCTAAAGAGTAGGTTAAACAGCTACGATGATGTTTAACAGTTACCATCTCATAGCTCGACGTAAGGGAACTTAGATTAATTCATAACAATCTTATCTTGTGGTGAGTTACTGATCTAGTTTCCCGATATGTGCATCTGATGGTGTGGCATGGATAATGTACTTTTCAGGGGTGATCGGCTGGTTGCGAACGACATTATAATCTTCCTGATCCACAAAACAAGCGATCTGCAAAGCGGGGAGATTCGAGAATAATTTATGAGCAGATAATTTTGAAAAGGTCCGCAGCTTTGATAAGGTATATTGTCTATGCCGAAATACACCCCTTATCTGAAATTGTTCCACGGGGGAATAGTTTGTATTGCGATATGGTATACTTAGTTGTCGGTTCCTGCATCCTACGGACCCACTTTCGTTGCATTCCTATTAAATTTATTAGGAGAACAGTTCAATTCCATACTTATGTGCCTCAAGCAGCAGTTCTCTTAGTGACGTGCATCCTTCCGGAAGGCCTGGAGACTGGCAAGGAGGTACGGGTTGTCTAGAGCGCTCTTACGAAGGCTGAATTCACAAAACAGCGTCTGGCAAGGAAAGTGAGGTAAAATCTGTCCAAGTTACGCGCAATTCAGGACACTGAAAAGTCGCAGGTGAAAACCTCTCTGGTTGATTGCGATCTTGAAGACAAATTTACGCCTTTCATAACAACCGTCTTCTGGTCACTTTCGGTAAGTTTTATTTGTCAATGTTTATACCTTTGGGTTGGCCTTCGGGTTGGAGATTGCCGACTGAAAGACAATTACCGAAGGCATGATACAAATGCAAGGGCTTTGGCTGTTGGCGGCAGGGATTTCGGGCTTTCTATTGGGATTGCTTTGCTGTTTGGCCTTCAGAGCATATAGCAAGTCTCGCAGAGCAAGATTGGTCACCATAAGCCAGCAGCGCCATGAATCGCTTGCGGCTGACAGAGGGCGCCAGCTACGAAACCTTCATCAGCGGGACGCAAGTCACAGTAGCATACAAGGAGATCTCTGGCCACGTGGAGTTTTGGTTGTCACAAATCCGGATAGGAACTCCCTCGCTTAAGAGTGTTCCCTCCCAACCTTTTTCGAAAGGATCTCAGCTTCGAAACCGACTCGAATGCATTGTTTGAGGTGGTCACGAGACTTAAGCAATGAATCACTCAGTATATCAAATACCATTTCGCTGCTGCGAAAGCAATTATATATCGTTGCTCCATGTTCTGCCTATTTGACCAATGGACATATCCTCGATGAGTCCTTAGTCTCCAAATTTGGCACCTCCTACTACTACCACTAGGTGAAATCCAGGAGCCACGGGTACCATACGCAGACTCAAAATCTGAGAAGTTTGTCCATATAGATATAGGAATTTGATCAGATGTTGACGGAGATTCTCTCCTTCTGGCGGTCGTCTGCGCGAATGTTGCCAGGACCAGCGTTTGTAGAATACTTCCTTCCTGTGGCCAATACAAGCCTTGTTTCTTGCTTTCCTCTTCTTCGTGCTTCCATAGATGTCAGAGCTCGGAAGGTGATGTCTGTCCGCTTCTTCTGTGTAGAGATGTGTGACGCCTTCAGATTTTGGTGTTACCCGTTTAAAATGGTCCTTTTATGTCGAGACATCGAGTGGTACCCTACCGCCAGACAGGTTCATATTGAGTGATCCCCTTCCCTCTGTTTTATATATTAATTTGGTAACTTTGGCGTTACGGCTGTCGTTAACACTATTTACCTGGTCCCAAGCAGATCATTCTTGCCGCCGAAAAACAAATGTATAGATTCTATTCGACAAATCTATATACAAAGACTGCGGTCTCATATTTGCCACCTCCTGTGACGACGATTCTTCTTTTCAGGCACTTTTGAGAACCTATATAGTCAAGACCCCACACCTACACATTTTTAGAAGTCAGTTGTATAATTCAATAATAAGGCGACTCAACATATACCTGCTCTGCGGTCCATCCCGCGCTCTCATTCCTCACGAAATCGTGCAGGAAACTGTCCTTCCTCCCCTCTTTTTCTTGCGCAGGGACCACAGAGGATGTAAAATTCTTGAGAAACTCTTCAGCTTCAATCCTATCCGGCTCTCGGTAAAAAGTCGATTGCATGTCGAACTGTGGCCACTTATTGCCCCCGGCATCCAATTCGCCGGGGACGAAACGGCAACGAACAAGGACATCACCAAATATGTTATCCTTGTGGAGTCTTTCAACCCAATCCGGGATTCGAGTTTCAGAAGATCCAGTGAGACCGCCTGTCAGCATGGTGTGCATGACAAATTCCATTGACTCGGATCGGAACGTCACGGTGAGCTTCATGCTCGCCGCTCGAATAGCCTTCCGAACCAACCAACTCACCCCTTGCTGATGGAAAAAATAATTGTCAGTCCGGAAATGTCCGTAAGGGCGGTCCGAATCCTGGCTCATGGAAACGGATAAATGGTCAAGGGGATTGTCAGCTCCGAACCAGAGGCCAGCGTACCAGGTTGAGAATTGCATCAGGATCATCGGATATGTTTTTGTCCTAGTCTGGATCAGCAACATCCTCTAGGCATAGCTTTGGGTTTTGCGAGAGTAGGTTTGGATGGAAAATTCCCCGGTATGTATAGCATCGAATCCTGACTTACCAGGCACCAAGTACCATGAAGCTTTAAGTGAGACATGGAGCTTACAACACCGGTGGTTGCCGTTTTATGCGCTTCGAACTAGAGTAACAGATCTTGGACGCACATTCAGCAACGGCATCTTGGATACCTCTGCTTTTTTTATACATGATTTAGTTCGGGACGATGCTGTGGGCCCCAAGTGCCCCACGATGATTGGGTTATGGCTGACTGTCATCGACAACCTAGGTTCTTCCGCGGAAGAACTTTTCTATGCGTCAGTAGTCACATTATTGTGTCCGAAATCAATGATAAGTTCCACAAAGAGCTATTTTGGAAGGTTGGAGAACAGAGTCTCGCATTAGGGTAGTTTGAGACTCGAATAGAAAGCACAATTTTGTGCATTTAATGATCTCCTATACACCTGAAGATTGGGGGAAGGTGCCGGCTATACTCCCTGATCGCAGCGAACTAGGCGGAAGGCCGAGCTACAGCTTTAGGGTTTGAGAAAGTCTGGCCATGACTGGGTGAATTACGTATCTAGACTCTATGACTAAGGTTTGATATCTGCCTTTATGGACAGCGACAGCAACTGTACGCCTAAGATTAACGACGGCTAGTTAGGAAACGAAATAGTGCAAGGTGATCTTCAATAACGTCGCCGCCGCCCAATGCCTGGAATCAAGTACTTAATCCTCACATTCTAAGTAGGGTGACCTCTGAGCCAGAAACCACGCAGGGGCCATATTGGCGCCTCCAACCTGAACGGCTGTGTGCCAGGCCAGGAATGAACGTTGTTAGAGCCATGAAGTATATATCACTTGGAGCTGGAAATCGACAAAGTCGACGCACTAGGGCGGTCGGAACACCCACCTCACCCATGAACAAAATCTCCCATATCCAGAAGACGTGTGTCCGGCAGGCGGCAGGCTGAGGTCGGAACAAGCCGTTGGATCCGATGCTACTAGCTCCGGAGGAACTTCTGAAGAGACAGACGCCGAGAGCCAATGTTGCCCAACCTCTAGGGGTCACACCGAACCGGAACCCTGGACAGGGGGCGTCTACTGCACACGAAGCTGAACTGACATACCGCCTCGAATCATTGGCCACGTGGACAGATACAGGTCCTTCGCAGGTACGGCAGGCTTACGCGTGGATCCCGGATTGAACTTTGAGAGCTAATCCGTCCGACTCAAGTCCACTATTAATCGTTCTGTTCTCGCCCTGGACCAGCCCCTCGGCATCTTGCCGTGTATAGGTGGGCCCTGGATATCTACTCCGAATGGTTATAGCGTAGTCTAGAAGGTCACTGGGTTGGACAGACTTTCAGGAACGGGTGAATCTCTACCCCGATTGACACGAAACGGATGCCATATATAAATGCCCTCTTTTCCAACCTATCAGCGCGATACTCCCTCAACCATCCAAAAGGCGATAGCAGAAGCAGCTCATATTGATCGTCTCCATTACTTCCCTACATATACATCACCCACCATGACTCCCGTCTTTCTCGCTATCTCCATCATGGCGCAACTTGCCATCGCAGCCGGTCAGTCACCAGATACATTCTCACTCATCCTGCGTACCCGAGCCTCTTGAAAATAACCCTAACAATAAGACAACAGGTGCTACCCAAAGTTTCGAATGCAACCTTTGCCAGGCCGCTGTGAACGTCGTTATCAGTCAAGTGAAAGCGAACGCAACAGAAGACGTTATTGCCGGCGAAGCAGAGGCCATCTGCGCTAACGCAACGAAGAACAGCCAGGATGAGAATTGCAAGGAGTTTGCGGACAAGCTAGTTCCGGTCCTGGTTAGCTTCCTTGAGGAGACAGTTAACGCGGAGGATGTGTGTGCCTTGGCCGAATTTTGTTAGAGAAGACAGCGCGGCATCTATCTCAGATCAAAAGCTCTGTGAGATGGTTTACAGGGCGAGATTTTGGATACCTAATAGGTTTTCTATTCTTTAAGGTGGGAAGTGGAGAGCTTTCTCTGCCATTGCGGATGGAGTACGACGGATGGTTGTGTACTTTATTACCAACTCTGCCGCTGCTTGGTATGATTAGAGGAGAAGCCTACTACCCGTGTCGAGTGTCCAGTATAGTACAATATTGCTGGTAACAGCGTTTTTCCAGAGATATTTCATGTTCTCTAGCGGCAGTATACCTATACCTTGCACAAACATTCTTTAACGAGCAGATGCTGAGTATTGTCAGGCTGTCCGGGTGCCTTGCGTACATGACACACTCGTGGCGCCATTGTTCCTCATGCTGCAATTTCTTCCGAGCAGCCTTGCGCGAGGTCCTGGATATTACGCAATGAGGGCCCAGCAAGACGAAGATAACTCCTTTCACAGACTATACTAAGAATCACAATTTGGAAACACGATGCTGAGAAAGACTGAAAATTTTCTCCCTTCGGGGTCTTGTAGAGCTCACAAAGCCTTGGCAGATAGAGGATAGAAGCCATTGAACGACAAAATGAATAACGAAGGTGCCACGACAAATTCTAGAAGTTATACCAGAAATACAAATGATGCTGCAATAGCTTGGCCCAAGCCCAATTAGTACCCACATGGCCACCAAGGACGTCTGAGTGGCTGGACTACAACATCCAGGTAAAGAGGGCGATGACGCTTGGGCTCGGTCTTCCGCAGGTCAAGGAGGGAGCGGAGTTAGGCGTTGTAGTCACGGCGCTGCGGTATTTAAACTGCTGGCCGTGGACGACACAGAGACATACTCGGAGGGTGATGCTGAGCTAGCGATCACAGTTGCCGGAGCCGTTGTTTCCGTCGTGGCTACCTCGGTCTCGGTGGATGCTGTCGTTCTCGCGGCATGAAGGTCAAATATTCAAAGTTAGGTATTTTTCCAGGTGAGGAGGAGCGTTTAACTTAATCTTCTACCAACAAGAGAATGGTTCTGCGATCGTGTGACGGGATAGAGAGTACTATGGGACGTGCTGTCCGGAGTTCTCTCGGCTAGGCTCTAGAAATACGCTACGCATTTTCGGATCTACGGCGATATCCGGGCGTGGTACTTTTTTATTCCAGAGACTCTGCCTTCGAAATCCATTTGTGTTCTATAGCAAGGATACCAGATCGCTCAATATGATACTTAGCTGCCCCCACAGAACTGTTTTTGTGTAGCAACGGCGCCTATAAGCGAGTTAACATCAGAACATGATTCCAGGACCACATTTCTTGCTTGGCTTACTGCTCGCCTCTTCCTTGTTGCAACGTCGGCTGATACAGCCTTCCATGACATGCTGAAAATCGTGATTGCTACAGTAGCAATTAAGTTGTCCATAGGCACATTTAGCTTTGGAAGGCCCTTCTTTGAGACAGTCATCCTAGGTTAAACTAGTTAACAAGCGCAAGTCCTTCCGTTATTTGGAGTAGCAAACACGAAGACCTTACATAACATTGAGGTATCGCTCCGACAGATGATATGCCCACAGTAAAAAGAATGGCGAAGGCAAAAAGCTTCATTTTCATGTATTCTCAGAAGTCTTGTTGTTAATGAGTCAATACGTTGTTTTTGTTGGCAACGACTTCCAAAACGCACAGGTTGCACTTGCGTTTAAATAATGTCCACAGATAGGGATCGCCACATGATATTTCACCGACATTTTATTGATGGAAACGCTGAGATTGTCTCCTTGCAGATAAGGCATGCGCGCGTTAAAAGGGTTATTGGGGCTGTAAGAGCTTGAAAAGGGTTGAGCGGAATCAAGTCTTTTAGTGATAACCAAATAGGGAAAGATGCATGTTTGTCATTGCATGCGACGGGCGTTAGGTGGTCTGAAGGCACTGCAGTTTCTGATCGTCTGAATGCTCGAATTTGTCGCAACATCCCCCCAAAGAGGTGTAGACTGATCTCAAGGGTGGCAAGCCCAGCCACACCAGGTGCCAACTTGGATCCCACGAAGAGGCGTGGTATAATCAGCTTCCTGTTACTACAAGGTGCGAAGCGGCTGGGCGGACAGCCACCATGTAACCAAAGATGCAAGGGCCACTAGAGAATCATTTGAGTCAACGGGCCTATGAGCGATGGAAGGCAACCGCAAAAACAGTCTCCTGCCCTCGTCCGGGCATCTGAGACATAGTATGGTAAAACTCCAAGCTCATCTATCAGTAATAGCTTGAAACACCAGAAGGGAAAGCGCATTTACTCGCGAGGGACAAATAAGTCCTTGTGCATTAAACGGTACCATTCAGTGTTCCATATACAGAGTTTGCACACGTTCATCCGCTCCACAGATATTCAAAATACGATTCTCACTATCAGAGTAGAACTTGTCTCGCTATCTCGCTAGTGAAATAATATGTATTTCACTAGATTGGAATCTCCTCCTGACGCCTTCTAACGAACATTCTTGCCCTCGGATCCAAGAACACAAACATCCCACTCTTGCATAGCCCTGCTCCTTCTCCATCGATCGCCTTGATATCATACTTCATTAGTATATGACTTAAAATCACTTTTACCTCATTACAAACTAAAAATCTACCCGGACAAGCGTGCTTTCCATGTCCGAAGGCCAAATGGCTATATGTTGTTTTAGTGAACGGGACCTGCTTCGATTGCGCTGGATCATCGCGCATCCGCAGAAATCGGTACGCGTCGAAAGTTTCGGGATCTGGATATGTCGAGCGATCAAGCCGGAGGTCGTTCGCGAATGCAAGCTGTGCTCCTTTCGGAATTTGGGTCCCGTCCTGCAGTGTGACTGTTTCCTTCGCCATCCGAAACATAGATACTGAAATGAGAAGCTCCGTTAGAAGATACATCCTTACCCGAGATGTGAAAGGAGTGGGTTACGGACTTAGGGCTGGAGGTTCCAGGCGCTGAGTCTCCTTCATGATACTCTCCATCAAGGGCATCTTCAGTAATGAGCTGTGTTGTAATCCGCAATTTTCGGCAGCAGAGATTATTTCAGCTCGTAGGGCTGGAATCAGCTCGGAGTGCTCGCATATTCTCGCGATCACCTTTTTTACCAAGTCCGACGTTGAATGGATAGATACTCCCGTCAGTCTCAACTGGGCCATAGTAGGATCGTATGGCCGGCCATTTGCGTATTCGTCGATAAAAGAAAGCGTTGAAAAGACATTGTTCGACTCTCTACCACTCTTTCTGTTGCACCTTTCGAGCTCGAATATCGGCAGTAAGATGCTTTTTGCACGCCGGATTAGCTTCCGAACATCGTGGCAAACCGGTAAGAACCAGTGTATGACGGGATGAATTAGCGACGGCCACGCATGGATTGCCTGGATCGCAATCACTCTCTTCGTGCTGAAGTCTTTCGCAATATCTTGCCACTCAGGGTCGCGACAGATCTCCTGTCCGATAAAGAGTCGAGACGTAATCTGAGCGACCAGGCGTAATACGGTATCGTGGATTGAGACAGAATGCCAGGCTATAGTATTGTTAGCAGCAGAAACCATCTAATTGTCGAACGGCTACATACCAGGATTGTCAGTCCACTGGACTTTCAAGCAGTGTGCAGCCTCTTCGGACATTGGCTGAACCAAACGAGCTAAATTGTACTTATCAGCAGAGCGGTAGAAGGGCACCATTTATTCCAATTCTTACTTATGTTTCGATTCAGGGCGTGTACCACGGGAGTAGACACATGGTTGTGGAACCCCCCCGGGACCCATGTCTCGAATCCAAGCAGCTCCACCAGGGCGACCTGCAAGTCGATCATATCAGCTAGGGTCCATAGGGGTGAGCAGCTAAAGAAAAGTACATCTTTGAAGGCTTCGTAGACAGCAAAGCGATCATCATTTCGCAACTCTTCAGCGTACTGATCACGCATGACTAGTTTGGTTCCCATGCTCGTTATTACCTGGAATCCTGGGTATCCCTAATTTTGCAATCAGGTTCCTAAGTCCTTGCAATACAAGTGGCTCTTGCCGACCTTTTGTAATCCGGCTCTCAGGATGCTTTCCGCACTCTCCTCCCAGTTTTTCTTGGCTTTTCTGCGAAAAATGTCCCATTCATGATCATTTAGGGTGGGGACCAGCTTCGGTGTGTTTTTGCGTGACCCAAACATCACGAAAGTCCCAATGATGAGCAGCCCGAATATACATTCAGTCACAGCACTGGGGAAGGACAGTTTGATGTATTGCTCCATTGTGAGCTTCTTGGGATCTATGCTGACTCGTTGAAGGATGGATCGATTCTCGGAGGATCATGGGCGATTGTAAGGTCTCGATAATCTACCGGAGTTGGACGACTTTCTAGTCCCTATAACTCTTGTTGTTAAACTTAGTGACCATGCCCTTGTAACGTTAATCCGATATACTGAGTACCTTGCTGCCGTATGCTGAGCCTCTCCCCAGAAGAATAGAGGGAGATCAGAGATAAATGAAGGCGAAAGAAGCGACTTCCAAAATATTGAGAAGAATTTGAAAGTCGTGAATGATGCGCTTGCTACAGCTTTTCCAAAGCTGTGGGTTAATTTACCTCTGCGCAGTTCGGTTACAGTTCGTATTAAATCATTCGGAACAGGAGGCAAACGAAACCAGGCCGTTCATGAAATGTAGGAATGTCCAACGTAGTGCACACACCCCTTCGACGTGATATACCTGGATCCTACCATGCCGTGGAAGTAAAGAGGCAAGGGGGGCTGTAGGTAGTGAAATGAGTGCACATCTTACGCCCTCTTCTAGCGGATACTTGCCTCTCTCACTAGTTGGCCACTGGTTTCTACTGATATCCCCACCCGCCTAGCTTTATTATATCTCACAAGTGGACACCGGGGGGGATAGTATAACATGCAGGACCGGATATTCACTTCCTGCAGTAGTAGGAAAGCCACTAGCAAACACACTAAGAAATGCAATATTTGCAATTTTCCAGCATCACCAGGTAGGTCAAACAATCAACTTGTGCAGGCCAATCACTGAAAACAAGATGGCCAATGTAGGTAGAAGCCAATCTTAATGACTAGGGCTTACAATGGATGCTAGACAAGGTCCCAGCATGCCAAGGACGTGAAGATCACTTTGGCTGTCCCACATCTACCAAGGGTCTTTAACACCAGCGAGGGATACAGCCTTCCGGAATGTGTTGTCCGGGGCATGTCCAACTTAATCCGATGTCTTTCCGTGCCGACCGCACACATACTCCCTTACCTACAAGGAACGCGTGGGGGAGAATGCAACTTTGAAACCCCCTCTCCTTTGCCATTTTTGGTGCAAAAAGGCCCTTCTTAGGATTTGCATGCCCAGACAGACTTGCGCACCAACGATGAGTTTTTTCTTGGTCTTTTAAGCATAGAGGACGCAAGTACAATATCTCCCTGCCTGGGAACTAGCTATAAGTCCAGCCTTTACTAGTCTTTCTGGAATTTAATGAAGCACCCCCATGCTGATTTCAAGGGCCCTGCTGAGGCTTACAGATCCAGAAACCTTGCTGTAACCCGTAGCCTTACGGGCTAAGGGTTTATTTTGCTTTCATACACCTCTTTCTCCCTACACGTTGGCAGCTGACCGTTGCCCGATTTCCTGTTCCTTAGCTATTCCTTTTTGTGTGTACTGTACGCTTAAACTGGAAGATCCATATCCATCCATCCCGTAACTGTTCCCTGGAACTCTCCAGCGAAATGTACTCAGTCAGGATATCACCGTCCTAGCCGTCGTATGATCAATCACCTGAGAATCCTCATCTATATCATGTTGACATGCTCTGTAATGTTGCAGTAAATATAAGGTAGTAGATATTCAAGTTTCAAATTACGCTAGTAAACGAGTAGTTCCATATATTTAGTTAGCCAAATCCACTAGCGACGGCAGTAAATGATTTCGAAGACTCGCAGACATCCTAGAAACTCGCCAACTCGGTGGTTGAAACAACGGACGACGAATGAAAAGATCTGCTGGACGACCACCGGGCATCTCCATAATTGCATTGCCCCTCTTCAGATACATTGCAGTTCTAGTACACTGCCACGATTCATCTTCCCGCCCCATCTGGGTGTGACAATAACATTCCCATTGCTAAAGCACCGACGGTTCACTCATAAAGGTTGCCCTGAATACCACCCACTGCATGGAAGTAAACAGTTAAATATACGCCAGCGGACTCCGTGTAAGAGAAGGCTACCCAGCGCTGGACTTTTGTGCTCTCTGAGAGATTCCGACACGGGCTGGGTTGAGGTTAGCACGGCATTTACAGGGGCCTCCATACGCATATCCGATTCCGGAAACATACTTATTTGCATAAAGTTCCTTCTTGTACCGTGCAGCCACCCCTTTCCAGCCCAAGTATTCCCAAAATTTGGTGAGCGCATTGGCCACGGACTCATCGTTCCTTCCATGCAAAGGAAGATAGAGCTGTGGTGTGGGCGTTGCACTACTCGACGATAGCTCATAATTGACCACAAGTGGTAGCTGATCAACGTCGGTATGTGAGCGGGTCTCTCCACCAACCTGGAGAATGTTCCATAGCTCCTCGGCGATCTCCAAGCCTCTCAAAGTGGTAGGGTCGGCGACGGATCCACCCAAGGTCCAGAGATGCCGCATCGTCGCCAAATTCAGTTGAACATCAGCAACATATAGCTTGATACGCGATTGTTCCGGAAGAATGCAATCGATCGCGATAATGAAAACGTCACTGGTGATAGTAGATTTTGCAAAGAGCTCGGCGACAAACGTTTTCAGGATGGAGAGTGGTGACTCGATTTGTTGCCTCGCGGCTATCGGTTCAATAGTTCGGAAAGCGATATCATGGACGGATTTCCCCGTTGCCAGTGACTTGGGCTTGAGAAAAAAGTAGGCTTTTGGAACTATACCCCCGTTTTTGAGATCAAAAGCGATGACTTTGCTCTGCCGCCTAGGTTTTATCAAATGCGCTGCCGCAGAGTTTGCTTCGCTTATGGTCAAACTAAGCTGCGAGTCGAAATAATCAAACAAGCGCAAGTCAACTGTAGGGACTGAAAGTGCAAGATTACCCAGGACCTCCCTTGTTATGGTCTGGTTCAGCGGATCCGTCGAGGTACCCGCGAAGTGGCTTACAGGTTCGCAGCCCAGTCGAACTGTCGCCTTGGATGCTTGATAGTTCACGCTCAGTTCCATGGAGTATCCCTCGATTGAAAAGCCACTCAGGTATCTGGCTTCCGCAGCAGGACGAATGAACGGCCCGAGGACAGGAATAATGTGCCGATGATAGAAAGACAGGTACTGATATTGCTGGTGCACATCGTAGCCATTTTGAATCAAGAGAGAATTGAAGAAAGGAGCAGTATTGAGCCAATACTCTTGTTGGTCAATCGTCGAAAATCCAAGCGCTCTTCCCAGCACCTTCCATGGCAGATTTTGGTCACATGACGGCAGATCCGCCTCCCAAGGCTTGCTGTTCGTTGATTGAGCTTCTTGCTCAGCAGTGCATTGAACGGAACCAATTTTCACGGTCAAAGGGGACATATTGGCTGCGATACTGTAATAATTCTGATCGGAGGGAAACACCAGTTGCAAGAGTGGAAGGGGAAATGGTTATAACGAAATGGCCCCCTATGTAATCGTGCTATGTGAGCAAATAATGGGTCATCAGAAAGGGAGCGCTGAACTGTCTATGTTTAATCCTGCATCGGTTGCCGTTCAAATCCTAATAGCTTGTGTTCACACCGCCTATTGACGCATGGGAGACAGTCTCCAGAACAATGTCAGGCTGGTTAGGTTCCTTGCCTGTTCCACGCAGTGATTACATGCGACGGTTAATTGGAGGTCGGAAATCCCTAGCTGACGCTTGGGTTGTCTATATACCACTTATGCATCAGTCCTATGTAAGGGTTCTCAGCAAGATGCATTGCTTGGCCTCACAAGCTAGGTTAAACATGGAGCCATCGTTTTCTTGTTCCTGATGAGCTTTCGTGGCACACAAGGCTAAATCGTGTCCCCTTGCAGTTGCGACACCTAGTTAAGATTACCTTCTTACCTAAGGAATATACATGGTATTCACATTATATTTATGTGGGAATGAATTGTTTCACTTCCGATGCTAACTCGCAGATCTATTAGGCCTGTTCTAGATCTCCGAGCTAGGATCCTCCCAACAGCAAAAACAGCATAAATTACATGAAGATTGACTGCAGATATGCAAGGTATATTTTCACCGCCAAACTAGCGGTAGGGCGACCCTCTACCGCTATTTCTGACCTTGACAGACAAACCAATTTTGTAAGACACGTCGGCAGTGAGATGGGTGATGACGTGGGGAAAATTGATTGAAGGTGGATAGTTTCGATCCTTTCAGTTACACATCAAGCGTCTATTCTTTTTGGGCCTACGTGTCGCATGCTTCACTATGATTGCTTGCATAAATATTACCTTAAAAGGCTGACTATGTTGTGAAGACTAACCGGCCGGTGCTACTCCGACTACGACTCCTTACTCATAGCTAGCCGGCCTTGTACTCAGAGTATCACCCAAGGAACATTAACGCGTCATGTTTAACACAACGGCAAACGACCCTTGCCTGCGAAGCTCGTCTAGAACAATGTTCGTTAAACCTGCACGAGCCATAATGCGCATAGTAGTTGACCCATACAGTTATAGCTCCATGTTAGCTGGGCCCGTCTGTTCGCTTTAAGAATGTTGCCAAAGGAAGTCGATACTGTTCAACATTGTTCTTAAGATTCGCCTTAGTCCAGCGGCTCAACATTCTGGCACCTTGCTTGGCAAAGCAGTTTTTCAATCTATAGTTACAGCCCCTACAATGACTGTTCAGCATCGTACTACAACGCAAGTGGATGGAGACGCCATCTGTTTCTTTCCAACAATGCTAAGCCTCGGAATACGGAGTATCGCGTTCGATGACCATGTCATCCAGGCGCTAAATGCCTTTCTCCATGCTAGCGATACGAGTATTGATTTTCTACTGGCTGGTCTGTGGGCATTAGTGCTGCGCCAGTATTCTGAGGTTGACACGGCTCGGTTTGAGGTCTCGAAGAGCACATGTGACAAGGGACAGATTTCTGGGACAACAAAACGTATTTTCAGTATCGCCTTGAACCATTCTCATCCTATATCGTCATTGTTTGATGTCAGGAACTGGGATATCCGATGCGACGAGCAGAAGAGCTCGGATTCCTTCAATACGGGCATTTTCGTGGTCGACAGGCAGGAAACTGGAATACTACTCCCAGATATAGAGGTATATCTACATCCCACTTCATGCTGAGATATACTGTATTGACATTTGCATTAGTATCACGATGTCAACCTGCTCCTACAGTCCGATAGCACACTTCCAAAACTGTGCATGGTCTATCGTGCAAGCACAATCGCTACGACATACGCGCAGCATCTGGCAAATGGAATTGCCCATGCAATTGTATTCATATCGGAAAATCCGACCCTGTCCATTCGCGAAGTAGACTTTTGCTGCTCAATCCAGAAGGCACAAGTCTTTAGCTGGCAAAGGGAGAGAATTATTCCGCCGGCTCGGTCATTTCTATTCGAATACATAAGTGAAAACGCGGCGGTACAAAGAAATACAGTTGCCGTGGACTCATGGGATGGACGATTCACTTATGCAGAATTAGACGAGCTTTCCACACATATGGCCACCCTGTTCCAAGGCCGAGGCATCGGAGCTGGCGATCTGGTACCGATTTGTTTTGAGAAGACAAAATGGGCCATTGCGGCTATACTGGCCATTAATAAGTCTGGGGCTGCCTTTGTCCCAGTCGACGCGGCGTATCCTCAAAGCAGACTGGAGACGATCATTCGGAGGATAGGAGCCCGTGTGGCTATCGTTTCCCCAAGAACTGAATCCATATTCCGTCTACTGGGGCTGCCAGTTATCGTGGTTTCCAACGCAATGCGTGCCTGCTGTCTCCCGCGTAGCAAGCAATATACGGTTCCGGACAACGCTCTGGCTCCAGCCTACTGCCTTTTTACTTCGGGGAGCACGGGAGACCCGAAAGGTTGCGAAGTGAGTCATGTGGCTTTTGCCAGTATTGCGACTCATACACGCTCGCTACATCTCAGTCAGCAAAGCCGCAGTTTGCAGTTTGCGTCCTTTTGTTTCGGTGCCTCTTTGCTGGAAATTTGGTGCACCTTGGTTGCTGGAGGAACCCTATGTATTCCATCAGACCATGATCGTCTTAATGACCTCGGGGGGTTCATGACAAAGATGAAGATCACTTGGGCTTTTATTACACCTACAGTGCTTGCATCTATATCTCCTGAGAACCTGGAAAATCTGTGCCTCTTCGTTGCAGGCGAACCTATTGGAGAACGCGACATCGGAACATGGGCGCGGAAGGTACAGCTCTATCAGGCGTACGGCCTGACGGAATGGGCCGGGGTCTTTGCTGTCTCGAGGCAAATACGCACACCTGAGGATAGGAAATCAATCGGTTATCCAGTAAATGCCAGGGCCTGGATAGTGGACCCGTCAGATCACCGAAAGCTGGCACCCATAGGAGCGGTAGGTGAACTCGTGATTGAAGGGCCAAGCCTTGCACAGGGCTACTGGGGCGATCCAGAAAAGACGACATCACTGTTCCTCCAGCGCCCGCCGTGGCTGGTGTTGCCGGATTCGACAAAGGGGGATGGCAGCGAACCTCAAGTATACAAAACAGGGGATCTGGTCCGATATGGCGAGGACGGATCACTGCTATACGTGCGGCGGAAGGACAATCAAGTAAAGATTCACGGTCAGCGACTGGAGATCGGTGAGGTTGAGTATCATATCAGACAACTCTTCCCCGGGGCCAAGACGGCGATAGTCATGGTTCACGAACCCTCCGACGCAGGCAGTCACCAGCGAAATCTCATTGCTCTCACTGTCCATCCGGGTAAGAACGGCCACGCTGGCTTTTCGCAAGGAGAAATAGGGTTCATGGCGATAGACCAAGAGTACCAATCGCAGGTGGAAGATGTCAAGGGCGGCCTACGATCTCGCTTACCTGCCTTCATGATTCCGCAGCTCTTTCTTCCGCTCAGTCAGATCCCTACCACGATTACAGGCAAAGCTGACCGCCGGTCTTTATCCCACTACGTGAACAAGCTGTCTTACGCTCAGCTTAATGCCCTCACTACTCAGGAGGAAAGGACAAGAGCAGCACAGGACAAGGTCGAAGACGCAATTCATACAGCCGTGTGTGATGTTTTGGGTCTGGCTCCGGGGCGCTTCGGCATGCTCGACAATTTCTTTCATCTTGGTGGCAATTCGGCGTCTGCCATGAGGCTTACCATGTCCCTTAAACGGCGAGGGCTTCGGTTGACAATTCGCGACGTCTTCGATTACCCAGTGTTAGCTGAGCTTGCGTCTGCTGCAAGCCTAAGCAATGGGTGCGAAGGCCCAGAGGTCCGGACCATGCAATTGCTGGAGCCAGGATCGGTCTCTGAGTTAAAGCAACTGGCAGTCTCGCAGTGCCGTATTGATGAAGACGTCGTCGAAGACATTTATCCGCCCACAGCCCTTCAAGAAGGGCTTATCGCCATGACTGCACGGGACCCTTCACTTTACAAGGCGAGGGTAATTTGCAAGCTGCGCCCCAATGTAAAAATTAGCACACTTAGCACAGCCTGGGAGCGTGTGGTACAGCTCAACGACATACTGCGCACTCGATTCATCGTGTCGCCCTCGCATGGGACATTTCAAGTGGTTTGCAAGACGTCCTCCACATGCTCACATGTCCATAACCTGGAGGACTGCATACGACAATCAGATGATCTTACGCACAGCACTGGAGACAATCTCGTGCATGCGTACATCATTCCCGACAAGGAAGACAGAGAATCAGCATCAGCCTTTGTGTTTGTCGTTCATCATGCTCTCTGTGATCAATGGTCCATTCGCTTGTTCCTGGACCAGCTGACCGCTGCATATGCACAGTGCAAGCTTCCGAGGAACCGATTCAGCGCGTTCATCAGATACCTCTCGAATAGGAAGCCTGGATTCAAAGAATACTGGATTAGGCAGTTCCAAGGCCTCGAGGCGGTTACGTTTCCTCCTCTGCCCTCACCCTCCTATACTCCTGTGGCTAGCGAGCAGCTAGAGTACGTAGTGAGCCTTTTCGAAAAATCTCACCCGCGGATTACTACAGCAAGCTACGTTAAGCTCGCATGGGCTGTCGTTCTCTCCTGCAATACTGGTGTCAACGATACTGTTTTTGGCATGACAGTCAACGGCCGAGGTGCTGCTGTCGACGCGGTCGGTGAAATGACCGGTCCAACGATCGCTACTATTCCACAGCGTATCAAATTGTTGCCGGAGCAGACTGTCATGGGTACATTGGTGGAGATCCAGGCTCACTCTTTGGATGTCATTCCTTATGAGCAAGCCGGCCTACTGAATATTCAAAAGTACTCGCACGAGGCAAGGTCGGCCTGTATGTTCCAAAGCCAGCTGATCATCCAATCTTGTCCTCCAAGCCTTCCAGATCTCTTCGAGGCCTGTGAGTGTTCGGCAACTCAAATAGGAGGATTCTCTGCTTACGGTCTCTCACTCGAATGTCAGATGACGGGCGACGATCGGCATTGCGAAGTGACTGCCACCTTTGATCCGGGCATGATCAGTCGAGAGCGTGTGCAGAGGCTGCTTCAACATCTAGAATTAGTCTTGCAAGAAGCCATGTCAGATCCTACACGGGCAGTGGGCGACTTGCCACGGATGAGTCGCCAAGATTGGGATCAAATACACCGATGGAATGGCCGCTTACCCCCAACCTCGATGCAGTGCGTGCATGATGTTGTCTATGAACGTTATCTAGAGTATCCCAATGCCTGTGCTGTAACTGCTCCAGATGGAGACCTCTCCTACGCCGAGCTGATGCAGTCTGCAAACAACCTGGCGGCCCAATTGGTGACTCGCGGCGTCAAACCTGGGAGTTTCATTCCAATGTTCTTCGAGAAGTGCAAGTGGTCGCCAGTGGCCATGTTGGGTATTTTGAAAGCAGGCGCCGCATTCGTCCTCCTTGACCCCACATACCCTCTTCAGCGCCTCCATGCAATATGCGATGGCTTGAGGAGTGAGATCGTACTGTGCTCAAAGAATATGCGCGAGAGGGCGACCTCGCTCACTTCCTCGGCTATAGCAATTCACGATCATGCCGAATGCCTGGCAAATGTTGCCAGCGCCACCCTCCCGGTTGTCAGTCCTGGGGACCCAGCATATGTTGTGTTTACATCTGGGTCAACAGGTACTCCCAAAGGAGCGACTATAGACCATCAATGCTATTGTTCCAGCGCTGTAGCCCACAACCGCCAGCACTGCCTTGATCGCGACTCGAGAGTGCTGCAGTATGCTTCTTATGCGTTCGATGTGAGTATCATGGAAACGCTCAGTACTCTAATGGCCGGTGGATGTGTCTGCATACTATCTGACTCGGAGCGCCATGATCACTTCGCCGACTCCATTCAGAGATTAGCTGTTACACATGCGTTTTTGACTCCTTCTGCGGCCCGACTGCTCATGCATCGAGAGCTTCCGTCACTACGCGTGCTCGTCATGGGTGGCGAGGCAATGTCACCGGCTGACTGCAGCTATTGGATGAAACGCGTTCGGTTAATGAATGAATACGGCCTTGCTGAATGCGCTGTCGCGTCTACTATCAGGGAGGTCTTAGATGTGGACCAGAGAAACATTGGCTTCCCGATGGGCGTCGCCACCTGGATCGTGGATCAGAACGATCACAGAAATCTAGTCGCCATCGGAGCCATTGGAGAGCTCTTGATCGAAGGCCCGTGTGTCGGTCGAGGATACTTGGATAACCCGGAAGCCAACCGACGGGCATTCATCGATCAGCCGGATTGGCTGCGATCTGTGCGCCATGGAAATCCAAGTCGGGTGTACAAGACTGGGGATCTAGTCCAGTACAACGAGGATGGCTCGTTGAATTTCGTAGGTCGGAAGGACTCTCAGATCAAGATCCGAGGGCAGAGGTTCGAGTTGGAGGAGGTTGAACACCACCTTCGCCGGATCGACCAGATTGAGGGAGCAACGGCAGTGGTTGCAGCGCCTTCGGATAGGCAACAACAGTCATATCTGATCGCATTCGTTGTCCCGAGTCGCCGCGAAACCTTCTGTGTCCACTCGACAAACGGACTGATTACGCATCCTACAGAAGAATTCTGCCGCCTGGCAACAAGCGTTCAGTCGAAACTCCACTCGATCCTTCCAACTTACATGGTGCCGTCGATATATCTTCCAGTCACCCAATTGCCAAAGACAAGCAGCGATAAAGTCGACCGCTGCAGACTGAAGACGGAGGTCAGGAAAATGACTTGGTCACGTCTGCAGGTGTACAGTGTGTCGAGCACTCCCCACAGAGCTCCGTCCACCGGTGTCGAGCAATATTTACAGCAGGTGTGGGCGCAAACCCTCGGAGTTCCTCTGAATAGCATTGGTGTGGAGCATAGCTTCTTCCACCTGGGAGGCGACTCCATCACTGCCATGCAAGTTGTTACAGAAGCACGGTCTCGTGGCCTGGGACACACTATCCAGGACATAATGGAACTCAAGACCATCGAAGCAATTGCCAAAAAGATTGGAGCGCTTCCTTCGATCATCGCCCAGCCCGCTGTACAGGACGAGGTGACGGATAAGCTGTTTGGCTTAACACCCATTCAAGAGTACTTTTTCGAAAAGTACCCTGACGGAACACATCGATTTAATCAGAACATCCTTGTCCATTTACAAAAGCAAGTTGCAGAGAGGGACGTGGAGAGAGCGGCGACGATGTTGGTCAGAAACCATGCGATGCTACGGGCTCGCTATGCGCGGCAGGAGGACGGGTCATGGAAGCAACGCATCGAACGCTACAGTGACCAATGCTTTCGTTTCAAAGCGCACAAGGTAAATTCTGTGGAGGAGATCCGCCATATAATCGGCCAGAGTCAGAGATCGATGGACCTGGAACGTGGGCCCGTCTTTACGGTAGATCTGTTCAACCGCCATGGTCATCAATCTCTTTTCATAATTGGGCATCACCTGGTCCTCGACCTCGTCTCCTGGCGCATTATCTTATCTGATCTGGAGGCGACGATTCTGGACACTCAGCACCAGCCCCAGCTCACAATGCCCTTCCAAACGTGGGCTCGCCTGCAGGCTGAGTATGGCGCACGACATCTTGAGCCAATCCCTATCTCCCAGGTTTACAGTATAGACGAGCCGTCCATGAGAAATTTCTGGGGAGCGGAGAACAATGCAAACGCATGGTGTGACTCCAAGACTACGCTGATCCGCCTGAGTGAACAAATGACAAATATGCTCTTTGGGCCTTGCATTCAAGCTCTGGACGTCGAACCGGTAGAGCTCCTGCACGCTGCTATCCTCTTCTCTTTCGTACGCACCTTCCCGCAGCGCCCTGCTCCGTTCATTTTCGGTAAAGGCCACGGCCGGGAGAGCTGGGATTCGTCAATTGACGTTACCCGGACGATTGGCTGGTTCAACACCATGTGGCCCGTGGTAGCGCAGGTCAGCCCGTCTGAAAATTTTGAGACGACTTTGCATACCGTGCGGCAGGCTATACGGGCAATGGACATGCACGGATGGAAATATTTTACCTCTATATACCACAACACCAAACGGGAGAGATGCAGGGCCGGGGTGTGCCCAATGGAGATTACCTTCAACTACGCGGGCAGGAGGTTCCAGCAGATTGAGTGTGACGGGTCCCTCTTCCGCATGGAGCCCATGGCACAGCAGAGCCTCTTTGATGGCGCGAACGAGCTCGGCAGGTGGGCCATGGTCGAGGTTAATTCGATCATCCTTAACGGCATGTTGGAGTTTCATGTCTCCTATAATCGGGGAACTGATGAGGATCACGTATTGACTCCGTGGATGGATAGTCTCTTCAAGTGCCTTGAAGATCTTGCGAGCGGGTTTGTTTAGATGGTTGATTTTAAGAGCTTACCATAGAACTTCTCTTGCGGGGTGGCATCTAAGAAGGCAACTTACTGGGATAGCTTATAGAGGAGTCGTTTTGATCACATAGAAATAAAGAATGAGGTGACAAACAGAAAACAGCATGATGTCAGGTCGGTTCTCTCCCACTACATGTGTCAGGTCTTTTAACTTACGAGTCACTTCTCTTATAAATTCATCACTAGCGAGGAACCTGGACAACCTGTCCGATATTGATGTCTAAAAACGAGGCACCAGACATTCAGTGGCTGGACCGTACTGTGAATAGACCTCGCCAAAACGCGGGAAGCTGTGCTGCCACTTTTACAAGCATACCTGGTGTAAGTGCTGCTTGACTATGAACGTAGAAGAGGGGAATATTCCCGCAGTTTGCTCTCGAAGAATGCCGGGGCAACACCGCTACGACTGTCAGACTCCATATCCCGGGGCCTGCATAGTTGAAACTATATGAACAAAAGGACAGTTGATTTCTCCGGGAGGAAGTGAGAGATGGAGCTACCTCTTCAATCTCAGGGCGTGCTGTGCCCTCATGCCACATCACAGTCTCACATCACCCTTTCTAGTTCAGGAAGGAAAAGAACTGCTAAGGACGAAAAGGCAAAGGTTGAGAAGAAACAAACTCAATGGCGTACAAGATCAGACTATACTGAATGATAGAAACTAGGGCTACTGATTAATATGTCAATGGAGTGCATCGTAATATTACCTAGCTTGGTCCGCCAGGAGGTCCAGGAATTAAGCGGTTTGCTGTTACACTTTTATGAAAGTTGACAAATTTCAAAGAAAGCCCATGCTCTAAACAACCGGAGAAAGCTGCTAATGCCAGAGAGGTCATGATGCTCCATGCCAGAACCCATCCAGCTCAACATACTTGCACCAGAGCGGATCATTCACAATGCGCTTCATTGTAGACGACTCCAGAGACATGCTAAACTCCCACGGTGCAGTCTTATCGTCACTCCGCTGCGCCATCACAAATATTAGACCGTCGGTGTACCCGTCTGGAGCTCTCATCCGGAGCGGCTTGCCCAGCGCGCCTCCAAAGTCAGCATCGTACACACCGATCTCGCGCCAATTACTCAGGTAGAGGTTCTCTGTATCGAGGGTCACTGAAAGATGACACGGAGACTTTTGTACGTATGAGATATAGTCGCGGACGTAGTCGTAATCAATTGTGTTCAGCTTTGCCCTGAGTTCGTACGCGACGCGGCAGAAGGCCATGGCCCATTCGTCGCCTTCGGAATAGTCAGAGGGAAAGTGAGCACTGGCCTTCATGTTGGCGACGTTGTCATGTCCAGGCAAAGCAAATAGATGTAGTGGGACCTTCTCTCGCAGAAGACATACGGCGTTACCTAAAGACGATTTGGGTAATGGTGGTGACATTCGAGAGCGAATGTTCACTGGCAGACCCAGGCTGGATGTCGCGTTCAGGAGGTCTGGTGGAAGCTGTTGAAGGCTGCGCTCCCGTAATTCGGGATATCGGGCTCGATTGATGCAAGCCCATAAAAGAGCAGCAACCACATCGTTGCTCGAGACCCAGGCGCTTTCAGTGTCATTCTGCGTTGAAAGCCCATACTTCTTCTTCATTTCCGGAATCAATCCATTGCAGCGCTTTTTGAGCGCATTGATCTTATCGGCAGCTATTGTGAAACATCGATTGACGATGGTGGTTTGGCGGCTCTGAAGAGCTGACCGGGCACCTTTATAATAGGACAGCAGACTGTCCAGGGGTCTGTACTCGGGGAACATCTTTGGATCAAAGGGTGTCTCGCGAATTTGCGAGAGAACTTTTCTTGCTTTTGCCTCCTCACCTGGAGACGTGGTTAAGTCAGGCTCGTGGCGGCAGCAGGCTGCGAGGTTTCGGACGATTGATCCCATCCCTGTTGCGTCAAAGGCACAGTGATGCGTAGCCACGGAGAGAATTACGCCATCCCTGTGCACGTTGACTTGGAATCCCACGATGGGTTGAGGGCGTGAAGGGTCCGGGAACCTTGGGTAAGGCATATATGGCTCATGCGGAAGGTCACCACCCTGGCTGCTTGGCTCGTCCATCTGGTCGAATACATCTTGTAGGGATGTCCCATGACGCTCAATCTTGAATATACAGCCGAGCTCGAAATTTGGCGCAGGGCGAACGAGAAGAACATCTTTCCCATCGTCCGATGCGGGCACGGTTGTGAACTCACCGGAGAGGAACGGTAACGCCTGTATAAGACGCTTGACTCCAGACTCAAGCAGAGGCACGACAGTAAGAGGTTTAGAAAGCTTGAAAACGAGTTGACATCGAAGATAGAGAGGGATGCTTAGAGCATCGACAGATGAGCCGACATATGGTTCAAACTCAATGGTCAAGGTCATGGCGAGAGTGTATTAACAGTCTGAGCTCTGACCCTCCCTTGGAGCGCTACGGACTACCTCGATATTAGTGCTTAAGTATTATCATTCGGCTGACTGCTTCAGCCTATCGCTCCAGCACAGGAGTGTGATTTGTCACACCGACACTAGCTTTTTTCCAGGGCCTATATCAAAAGAACCAATTTTTGATTAGATCCGGGAATAAGAAACTTGGACTATGCCAGCCTCATTCCATCCCAGTGTGTGTTCTGCCATGCTAATCCGAGGTTACCATTGAGCTGGAATGCATGCATCATGTAAGGCTAGTCACACTCACCGCTATTTGTATTCCACGACGGGCGAAATCTGTTGCGGTAGTGGCGATTCACTGGAGAGCATTTGGAACTCCTTGCTTCAGCTCTCCTTGCTTCAGCCCCCCCTGCTCCAGCCAACGCATATCAATCACCTTTACAATCACCAAATAGGCCTGCATTACAGCAGACTGTTCTCTGCTAGCGTTGCACCTTGACGTTATGCATACGGCAACGGGAGGGTTTAAATTAAATTAATTAATTTTACCAACTCATGCTCTGCAACAGAAGAAGTTAAGATGACCAATTGTCTAGAAGCCTTGATATAATTCTATTCTTAGTAGAGTCTAGCACATACGACCACAGGATGTGGAAAACAGGGCTTCCCGTCCGCTCAGCCGTACTTAAGCCACATTAGAACCGCGCGATTAATTCAAAAAAGCCCTAGGCTCTGATTTTCTCTAAAACTAAGGTATAGGCTAGGTGCGGGTGATAGGGATATAATTTCTATACAAGCGTTGGCGAGGTGATCGAATTGACGCCACAATCCCTTGATGCCTCAATTGGAGATCCTATCTGGTTCAACACAGTGAATGCGACCTTTGGATCCTTCACGATATACACCATATTAAACGGCCCCTGCAGCCCCCTAACACGATCTGGGCATGGCAAGCATCTATATGTATGACGACGATATATTCCTTCCCGCTTACATCCTAATCTGTCCAACAGGTAGACTAGAGGGTCAAATAACTTGCCATTCCCCCACAGACATCCACACTTTCGTAGTTCGTGCCGAAGCGTTGAGTTTCCGGAATAATGCGCCAATAGAAGTTCGCTTTGCTGTCGGTCTTCACGAAGCCTATAAGTTCGTTGATGTTGGCGTCGGCCTCTCTTGCCCAATTCTGCGCGATAGCATTGGAAATTGCCGCTTCAGTGGTTCGGTCCGGGGTCGAACTGGCTCGAGACGTGAATGCAATCTTGAAACCTTCGCCGTCGAATCGCTTCAGCAAGTCATCCGAGCCACCCATGCTCTGGCCATCGAATGGCAGATGGATCTGCCCAACTCCATCTTCATAGTGGTGGATCGCCACATCGTGGCCCCTCTGATTCTTAGGGGATGTGAGATTCCGCAGAACGATCCGATTGACCAAGGCCAGCTCATCGTCTCGTGCCTTGAGCCTGCTGGCCGGTAGAGTAACATTTCATACGAAGTATATCTGAAGCCATACTCGCTGAGGCCCTCGAGAATTCGTGAGGTGTAGTCTTCGTTCACGACTGAGCGGCGTGCTCCAGGAACGCTGTTAATGCGCTCCTGCGCAGTGGACACTCCCGCTGCGCCGTGCTTGATGGCTTGGCCACCCACCCAGATCAAGTTGAAGCCATCGGCGACAAGATCCGCATATTCCTCGCATTTTTCGGAGCCTTCTATCTTGCAAACTCGCTTGGCGATGCCCGCCGCACCATTGACGAAAACGACACTAGTACCAGGCAAGTCAACGAGTTAGCTCATCATATGAAACCAGGTCAAGAAGGGTCGGGAGGGTTGGCAGTCACTTACAACCCTGCACTGGAGGCCTTGGCGAAGACTGAAGCCAGAATGGCTCGGCATTCAACTCGCTTCTCCAAACTGGCCATAGCCAGACCAGCCTCATGAGGGCTCGTGTCAACAACTTCCAATTCGAAATTCTGGTGGAGGGGAGCGGCAGTGGCCACATGTTGGAGAAGAACCAAAGGGAGAAAGGTTGAGAGAATCTTCATTTTCAAGTTTCCAGCTAAAGCGAATTATACAGAAGCGATGCCAATAGACAATATAGATGGCGTAGCAGAGGGTATTTATACGTGAGAAGAAGCCAGCAATACTGGTGTCCCGGGCTCTCCGAGACAAAGGAAAATTCGAATGAAAGAGACGTTCCAACGCCTCGACACCTTCCAAAGGAGGTGAATCATTGTAGAACTCACTGACTGAGAGCTAGAGCCTAGTCGATGTTACTCTACCATCCTCGTAACATGAAGGAGCCGGCATTATTGTTCCGGAACCCCCACTATGTCCGGAGCAATTTCCTTTGGGAATGGGATATCGACCGAGCTAAGGCACCTCGATCCTGTGAGAAGAGTGGCTCTCTCTCTCTAATCACCAGCAGTGTGGGGTGCAGCTGAGGGGTTATGGAGAATCGAATCGTTTCAATCCCGATGTCCAGCCAGCACCTGATGAACTGACCGAGGAGCAGTTGGAGGTGAACAGCCAAGTTAATTGCTCAAGACTCTACACGACAAGTAGAACATGTTGAGTATCAGCTTCGGACACGCTGTCGGGGAGGACATCACCGCTATGCTCCACCTGCCCCTAGGCGAAGCTCTTTTTCTTATTTCGGTAATTGTCCTGAATGTGGGAACTGCGCATGGGTCTCTGATTCTCAAGCACTTCTGAAACATCAATTTAGCCATAGACACCGGGGCGAATGACAGGGCGGCACGAAATTCCATATCCCCAGGAGATATTATTAAGTGAGATGGATTCCACCCTATAGGGATGGTAGTCATGTGGATAGTAAATCTTAGCTCTGCGGTAGTCTCTGCCGAGAGCCACACGATGAACGCTTAGTAAAGGCTTATGGCGCTTTCAATTTCACCTCGGTTAATTTAGGCAGATGGTCATCTACCAAAAATATCCCTAGTATATAGTGCCCCAGTGACCAAACGAACCGGTCAAATCTGTCTTTTTACGTATTCCCTCCATGCTTGGAACCTTCCTTCACTTTGTCAACGCAGAAAATGGACGGTACCAAACCAGCAGCCGAACCCTTGGCCCAACAACCTCCCCCGACGCCATCGCTGCAGGAAATCGAAACACAGGTCTCCGCCTACGTGGGCTGGCCCGAAGAACTGCTGCAGAAATCAGGCATCTACAAGCATCCCTTTCTGCCAGCTAGTTCTTTTTTTTATCTTCAAACTATTGGGTGTGTGCCTTTAATTAACCTATCCCATAGAGTTCTCGCCTCTCTCGTCGGAAGCCACTGGCTGTCCTACCGGGCCTGTCTGCTGGTTTGTGCGGCGAATACGTGCTATCTACACATCTTATTTCTGGTGTTTCTCTGGTACTGCTTTTTCTCTCTTGTGATCTACCGTGGAGAACAACGCCAGAAGATTGTTGTGAATTCTGGATTGAGAGCCTTACGCAACTCAATTGAGTAGGAGTGACACAGGAGGATCTTCAAGGAGCACCTCATCTATAGAGAATGCTCAAATGTCCTTGAACGCCAGCTTCTGTTGACTTTGGTGCACTAAATAACGGAATCTGTACGAACACTTAACACTTAATCATAATCTTTGATAATGAGTTAGTGCAGTTCATTATCCCATTCGCAGGGATTACTGTACATATCCTAATATAATTGTGAATAAATTTATCTGTGTTGAGAGTATATTTCCATTATTAGGGAGAAATAAGACAGCCAGTCAACTCTATCAGAAATAGATGATATTAATACAAGTCATGTAGAATTCTTAGTTTATACAAATATTAACAGGGAAACAATATAAACAAGTCAGGCTAGCTGGATATCTGAGGCCTAATAAAAGTAATATATTACTCTCTTTTTGAACAATAATGACTGTCTCTATGTATCGAGTTATTAAACTAACTAGTGTGTTGTTGTTATAAAGATTATGGCTTACTTCTATTTCTCGTTTTCAGATAGATCCAGCCTGAGGGAGAAAGTAGTCCAGTAAAAGCCAGATCATATTAATCCTTAGCCGCCGCGTCTCTCCTCTCGTATTGAACGACAGAATTTGCCCAGGGTCTTGAGAACAATGACTATAAGGGTGTATATTAGCACAGAGTATATAATTGTAATTGTTGATAAGACTTACAGAGTAATTAGTGGCCGGAACATCTTCGACATTTGGCAATTTCTTGAACTTGAGCTCTCTGACCAATGCCACACAGATGGCACACAATTGAACATAGGCAAATTGCTCACCAATGCAACGATGGCGCCCAGCTCCAGAAGGCAGGTAGGGGCTTCCAGCTCCTTTGCTGACAAGACCATAACCATAGTCAACTTGCTCGTCATCCCCCGTGGCGTTGACACCATTCCATCGGTGGGGTTCCCAATCCAATGGCTTGGAGAAGTACTCGGGGGATCATGCAGTGAATCCGGGGGATGAAAGAACGTTGTGAGAGTTAGGGATGACATAGGAAGTACCTTCAACTTGAAGAGGGTACTTGACAGTACGGAGCATAGAATGGATAGGCGCATGCAAGCGGAGAGTCTCTTTGATGACGTTGGTCTGCAGTTCGAGTTTTTGCAAGTTCTCATATGTAAGCGGGGGAAGATCGGCTCCCAGAACTCGGATCTGTTCCTGATACAGCTGTTCGGTAATCTCGGGTTGTGAGGCTAGCCGAAGAATAATCCAAGAGATAGTGGAAGACGAAGAGTGTTGACCGGCCATCAACAGAGCAATCATTATATGGGCAACCTCAATATCAGGGACTGGGGTTCCATCTTTGTAGACGCATGACATCAAGTTCCAAACCATATCCTCAGAATTTTTCTCTCCCCCAGATTAACGACGCTTCTGTATGATTTCCATATAAGTCTGTGCCATTTTCTTCTGGGCGGCGTCACGCTTGCAGTTATGCGGGAGAGGAGCCCACGGAAGTATAAAGTTGATAGGGGCGAAGCCCATGTCTAAGTCGTGATACAACTCAGCGAATGTCGAGTCGAACTTCTCTCGGACCTCCTTGCCTTGTAGCAATCGAGAAGCGGTATAGATTGTGATATCTGCAATGACTTTACCGACATCAATGGTTCCGCGAGGTTGTTTGAATGCATTGGCATTCGTGATATATTCGTCGACTTCCTTGGTGATCAACTCAACGTAAGAACGTAGCGCGTCTGATGCCAGACCGAACTTGACAAACTACATCATCATCATCGGCTAATTAGTTTTTGCTTTTAAGCAGGCGGCTCGATCTTTTATATTTTCGTACCTTCTTCTGTTTCATGGGCTTGAAATTAGGGCAGTCGTATACAACATGGTTGCCAAAGACAGGTGTCGTGAGAGATGAGTAAACTTACTCAGCGCAAAGATCGTGCAATTTCGCGTTCAAGACGAAGTCGTTGCCTTTGGTTCCCAAGAAGACTGTGGTCTTTTTGCCGAGCAGGATGAACGTGAAGATGTCGCCGTACTATTGCCCGACAGTAAATTAGCCATTTACATCCGGGTGCGATTCCAGGTATCAGGAGCTCTGCCTTACCTTCCTGCGACATTCGAAAAAGAACTTGTATGGGTCGGTCCCGTAGCTGATCGTGCTGCCAATTAACGGAAACCAGTGAAACACGACAGGAGGTTCATTTGGATTCTTGAACGACAACTGAATCAACACGTTGATCACGACGCTCAGGACAAGCGTTGTGATGACGCCCACTCCACTGAGCATATAGATTGCCTGCGTCGAGCATTGTTTGCAGATCTTATCGAGGGCAGCGGCGAAAAGCCCCATGGTGTATGACGGTCCTGGGCACGGACTGAAGAGCAATCGTGTTGGATGTTGAATAACAATAGAATTTTTTGAAATCTCCGAGGCAGGCGAGCGCGGATTTAGAGGGGGCTGAGACGGCGCTTGATAGCACGCTGATTGGTAAGGCCAAATACGCTGTTCGGCGGGATTTCTAATGTAGGTTTCTCTGAGACCTTGCGCAGTTGTATGTAGCCTCCAAGAGTGGCCATGGAATGTCTGCAGATTATTCCGCTACCCATTGAGGCTAAATGAGGGTTAACCTTACCATCCATGAGCTCAACTTTGATGGTCTTCATCGGCCTTTCTCGCTGGATAATTCTCTCAATGCCCTCTTTTAGGGCTTTTCAAGCGATGGGATCGGACTTTTGCGCTATAACAAATGCAACTGGCTGTTTAGCTATGTCGTTGTACGGAAAGCCTGGGCGTCGACAATAGCAGAGGTCCAGCATCGACCACTGAACTTGATGCTCATTGAGGTAATTCATAATCGCTGGCTCGATCCTGTTCCAATCTATCCAAGCCATATGTGATTTCTCTAATGGGTGAGAGATCAACGGAAGGTTGAAATCAATATCGTCGTTTCTGTCGACGCTGTCGGGGGGAAAGTCGGAATGGTTCTTGTGAGCCGTCCTTTCTTCGAATGACTTCCTCTCCCTGGGCTTTTTTGGCTGTCTCAACGTTTCATAGTGAGATACCAAAGGGTTCTGAAAATATTGCGTAGGACATACTTGCTAATCAAGGCATTAAGTTCTCGCAAACTTCCCATGGTCTGAGATACATCGACATCAACTATGCTGTGGGTATTGAAACGTTTTACCAATGCCTACGAAGATAGAAAACATTACTGGTAGAATAATGAACTGCAATTTATCTTCCTTGAATCATCACAGCCAACATCGACTATGCGATCATCGACTCCCCGACTTCGTACCTGTCGGTGTGCGGAATCCCATCGCGCTGATGCGCCTCCGCCGCGATGGTATATATCTCTGCATCCCAACCCATCACGGCCATCCGATCAACACCCGCAAATGATCCTACTTCTCGTCTAAGCTTATCCGTATGGCATCCGACTACTCAGTCTCCTAATCTCAGAGATTGCGTGCGTGCTTGTATGGCCATGTGGGGTTCAGTGGCGGGTCTAAGTCACTGCATTGTACGTAACTGGCTCTTTCTGCGCTATACCTCGAGCCCCGCTGCTCTTGAAGCCACGCCCCTTGGGATCCAAGACATACTTTATGATGTCGTTGGTCACAGTTCAGAACGAATGGGTCAGATGACTCCGCTACCAAATCCTTCCAAAACACTTCGTGGTAGGTAAGGCGTATTATATGGCTTGTCACCGCGGTTTGACAGTATGTATGGGGCATACTGCGTATATGCCCGTCATGCGTAAAGGCCAACAGAGTTCAAACAAGTTCTTACCCCTGTTCACTAAACCTTGAACCAGAGCAATAACCTTCGGTTCAATTAACCGAAATAGAGACTTAGCGATATGTGTATGCGAACGCGGGAACTCATCGGAGTTCAAGCCTAACCAGTAGTTCACTGGGCAGTAGTCCTTAGCACTGCTACTCTATATATTGATATATACAACCGAGGGAGCGGATTCGCTACTAAGCCAAGTAGCCGCTGCCCTAGCCAACTCAGCCACGGCGACCCCGATGCCCTAAGCCAGGAGGATTGCCCAAGTTTAGCTAGTGGTAGCGCCCCTTCGGGATCCTACCCTATACACCGACTAGATTGTACTAATAATCTTAGTAGGCGTTAGCGTAGGCCTAGTGCCGGCCACATCGCTACTTGTTGTAATGTTTGTATGTTTGTGAATCAAAACGGGAGAATACTTGAACGATCCATGTTTCCTGTCTTCGCTTCTCCCACAACTGCCTAAGTTCTTCCCCATACCCGGCCACCGAAGGGCACAGAACAGCCACCTTCTAGTTACTTGGAATCTCAACACTGCTATTGTATATTTCTTCCAGAAGTCCAGTCCAGCCTATTTTTCTGGTAGAAATTAACATGCAGTCCTAGATAATCCGCCGATATGGAACCTCACAACAGTACCCAGGATCAAATACGATGCGCCGGTCATGGCGGGACGCCTGAACTCCAATATCCGCATTTTTGTGCCATCAACATCTGGCAAGCAGGACTGAATCTCACGGAGGATCCTCTTGATGTCTTGAAGGACTGCTGCCCTACCCATCAATACACCTACTTTGGCCCGGATAGCTGTTTTGCTTACTGCAACGCAACCCAGGAGACCCAGCCAGCCCTGCAGCAATGTCTGATGTCCCCTCAGCGAGTCCGGGCCGTCATGTGCAGCGGTGCGACAGGACTCGGAAGTCTGACATCTTATCTTGTGTTGGCGATGGTTTTTACTAGTCTTTGGCAAATGTGATGCACGCTTGTACAACACTGAGTTGTGTTGTACTAACCCACCTCCTGAGTGGTTTTCGGTTTGCTATGAGATACAGCGTTTTTGTTTGAAGTAATTTTGGTTTCATCATAAGAATTTATTCCCTACGAATTCGTTCAATTCGCACTATCATCACAATAACAGCGCCAGACTGACGCGTCTCCATACCACACATCTACCAAAGTACAAATGCCCGCCTTTGCTTCCATGGAAGTATCTTCTCTCCATGGCCGGAATCGGAAGCCCAGAGTGCAGTCAAAATAAGGACTCTGAAATGGTCTAGAGAGTTGGTCTGCCTCCATGTCGATGATGACATGGATTTTGGGGTCGGCTTGCGGGGATATGGGGGTTGGGAGGCTGGATACGAATAAAGTGCCAATTGGGCTCTATTTCTGGTGAAGAGTGCCTGTCTTTTTCAAGATATAAACGAACGTGCTCGTAAAGGTCATGATTGTTGATATGAGCTTCACAAAGGCGTAGGACCACTCGCTTCACCGGAGCCATTCAGGAGGTGACTTTGCGACGAAGAAATATGACCACTACGGTTGCTGAGCAACACCGAGCAGTTAACGGAATTCTAATGTAAGGATCTGTGTAGAACTTATCGACCGTGCGGGTGTCTAATATACTGCGTCGTCTACCGCTGTTGGAAGGCAATGGCAAGGACTTGAATTCAGCTACGTAGTAAAACGGGGGCCAAATGATGGCTCTCTTTAGAGCTTCCCTTGGGTGCTATCATTCATAAAAACATCCGCTTCCATCCCACGCTTTAATCGCTTCTGTAGTGATTTCGATATGACATATCTCAAGGTCTTACAGACTAGACAAGATGTACATGAGCAGTTTATATCTTGCCATCCTAACGTATCCTGATAAGGGCTGAGGCCTTTGAAAGTAAGCGAAGACGATGTTCTATGAATAAGAAAAACTGAGCCCACTGATAACGGTAAGATGCATGAGTTGGTAAGATACCAAGTAGAAGTAATTGGTGCTGCTTTGATTAGTTTTATTCATAAATCGATTGTCGCTTGTTACTTGTTCTGTATGGCATTTTCTCTCGTTATTGCCCTAATCGGGTAATTTCCACCATAAAACCGACACTCGGACCGACCACTCTCCACCACGGCCGGCCACGAGAAATCTCCCTCGTTTGCCCTTTTCGAGTAGTCCCATTCCACGCTCTTCGCGAACGGTCCCATAATGTCACATCTGGTAACAAACCTCACGAGGCCCAAAGCATGCCTATAAAATGAGAATCCCTAAACCTAAAGTCATCTTGGGCTTCTATGCTCAAGGATCCTCTTCAGATCAACGGCTCAATCACATCCCAACATGATGAGCTCTCGTGACGGCTTCCAGTGGACTCCCGAGACGGGCCTCGTTCAAGGCGTCCCGTCGATTGGAGTGATTTCTCCCTCAACCAATGTCACCACTAACCAGTCATGGGATGTAATCGTGGTGGGAGGAGGATATTCCGGTCTTACATCCTTGCGTGATGCTACTGTTGCAGGTGAGAGGCTGATCGTGGGCCATAGTTAACGGACAATGCTGATACTTGGATAGGACTTCGGGTCCTTTTAGTGGAAGCCCGGGATCGTATTGGAGGGCGCTCTTGGTCTTCCAACATCGAGGGATACCCCTTTGAGATGGGCGGCACATGGGTTCATATGTTTCAGCCCCATGTGTGGAGAGAAATCTCTCGCTATCAGATGAGAAACGAACTCGAGTCGTCCTTCGATTTCTCTCATGGAGTGAATCACTTCCAACTGCGATCCAGCCAGGGCGAGAGCATCATGAGCCACGATGAAGAGGTTGGTACTTTCCATATGGTCAAGATACATTGATGATAATCGGTTTAGGATGCTCTACTAGCTGGGGCACTTGCGAAGTTCGTCAACGTGGATGGCCAGTTGGGCCGCAAGATCATGCCCCTTTCGCACGACACCTTCCACATCCCGGAAGCGCGTAAATACGACAACATGTCCGCGCAAGACCGTCTGGATGAGATTTCCCTGTCTCTCACCCCGAACGAAAGGGTAGCCCTGGAAAGCTTCATCCTTCTCTGCAGCTGTGGAACGTTGCAGACAACCAGTTTTCTGGAATTTCTTCACTGGTGGGCCTTGTGCGGATATACGTATCAAGGGTGTCTGGACTGTCTGATCACATACAAATTCAAGGGCGGACAATCCAGCTTTGCCATCAAATTTTTCAAGGAAGCTCTGTCTACCGGGAGACTATCCTACGTCTTTAACAGTCCCGTCAGCTCTATACACGATAATGGGAAGAAGGTTACCTTAACTACCCGCGATGGCCGCCAGTACAGCGCGCCCCGCCTGATCTCGACCGTCCCGTTGAATGTTCTCAACACTATCAAGTTTGAGCCTCCTCTCGATCCCCAGCGTGTGGCAGCCATGAACATCGGCCACGTCAACCAGTGCGTGAAAGTACACGCGGAAATCTCAAGCAAAGGTATGCGGTCGTGGACGGGTATTTCCTATCCGTTCAACAAACTCGCCTATGCGATTGGGGACGGTACGACGCCGCAGGGTAACACTCACGTTGTCTGTTTCGGCGGAAATTTCAATCATATCCAACCAGAAGAAGACGTGGCTGCGACAAAGAAGGCCGTGGACAACTTGTCTCCCGGAAACATGGACATTAAGCGTCTCGTATGTCACACTATTCTGGAATGAGCACGAAGAGGCTAATCATGTCACAGGTCTTCCACAACTGGTCCAGGGATGAGTTCGCCAAGGGAGCATGGTTCTTCTCGCCTCCGCAACTTTTGTCTACGTCGTTGGAGGCGCTTCGGGCACGCCACGGGAATGTGCTTTTCGCTAACTCTGACTGGGCTGTCGGCTGGCGTAGCTTCATTGATGGTGCAATTGAGGAGGGGACGCGGGCCGCTATGACGGTGAAGGAGGAGCTGGGACCGAGAACGACATTCCGGTCTAATCTGTAACCACCACTGAGTAGGTTAGTGCATGAGTGCAATCTATTACATGGAGCCGTTCTCGAAAGCAGTTTCTGGCTTCTGATTGGCATATTTGGAGTGTGTAGTGCATCTAGTCAGGGTTCCCCGGATTTTACCAGCAAGCTGGCAACTAGCGGTATTCACACTATCCAATGACGAGAGTTTGCTATCTTGCAAGATGGCCCGATGAATACTAGTAAACTTCTTGGCGATTGGTGGTAGTACCGGACCGCCTTTTCTCTCATTTTTGACCCTTTTGGGTAATGTCGGATAGGCTTATCCCCGCTACTCTCATATCACTTCCTGCAGCACTGATACGCAGAGATACGCCGCAATAAGGTTGCTAATGCGATGAGTAGCTTTGATATCCGAGTGTTGTTAAGAGGTGAGGAGAAGGGAGAGTTCAGGCAGGGGTTCAAGTAGTATATAAGCCTGTACTTGGACAGTTGGTACAGATTAGGATCATCTATCTATACTACAACTTTCGATCTTCTAAACTATGGGGACACAAGAGGCCATGGAAAAACCTACTGGTTAGATGATCTCTCCATAATTACTCCTATCTAGACTTTGAACAGTTACGCTGATACATTATTTGGACAGAGTATTCAGACATCGAACGACGTAAGCTTTCTCGGTCTCCAACTTCATACCGCAACAACGAAACTAAACGATCTTAGAAACAACCCAAAATGAGGGACAGATACAGGCAGGGACAATTCAAGGGCTTAGGCTGCAGACAGGCACGCGAAAGATGACCTATCTGGAGACAATATCTGCCAGTTGGGTCATCTGCGACAGTTGGGCTGGCGTCTCCGCAACTGTTGCTTTAGCTATTGCACAGGGAGGACCTGTTACTTTGATCTACGGCCCCGTTGCCATATTCTTGCTTGTGGGGGCGTGTGCACTAACAATGGCCGAGCTGGCGAGTGCATATCCTACGGTAGGTGGTCAATATCACTGGTGTAGCATCTTGAGCCCGAAGGCGTGGAGTCGTGGTCTGGTAAGTCAGCCCTTCACATCTTGCATACCATAGGCTAACCGCATCTAAGAGTTACTGCTGCGGAGTTGCGAATGTGTTTGCATGGATTGCCATCTGCACGGGAATCGCCATCATTCCAGCTCAGTTGATACTGGGTATGGTTGTTTTCTGGAATCCGGATTACGTCCCACAGCCGTGGCATTACTTCCTGATCTACCAGGCAATTAACGGGTTGGTGTTGATATACAACATCCTTCTACTGAAACGATCCTTATGGATTCATGATGTCTCCTGTGAGTATACGTATGCTCCATCTGATTGGAATGCTAGACGCACTGATACACGCAGTCTTCATCACTCTTGGCACCTTCCTACTCATCACAATTACCTGTGTAGCTCGGTCGGTCCCTCACTATGAGACATCGCGCAGTGTATGGTCCAACTTTCTCAATGACAGCGGATGGAGCTCCGGAGGAGTTGCCTTCCTTACAGGACTAGTATCGCCTCACTATGCCTACGCAGGCATTGATGGCGCTATTCATCTTGCGGAGGAGTGCAAAGATGCTGCAATAGTGGTTCCACGAGCTCTGTTGAGCACGTTAAGTATTGGATTTGTGACCACTTTTGGGTTCATGATTGCCATGCTGTATTGTACTAATGACCTGGCTGCCGTCGTTGCATCCCCGACAGGGTAAGCTATCCGACATGACGATTAAGGACAAGCGCTGACTTTAGCCTGCAGTGTTCCAATTTACGAGATGTGGCATCAGGCAACGAGATCCAGTACTGCAGCCACAGTCTTCATCGTCCTTCTCGTGTTTGCCGCAATCTTCGCTTTGAATGGAGCTCAACAAACAGCCTCGCGTCTCACTTGGTCATTTGCTCGAGACCACGCCCTTCTCGGTAGTCGATGGCTTGGAGCAATGCATCCATACCTTGAAGTTCCTGTATGGTCGCTCATCTTTAACTTCACCGCGATGTTCGTCATCGGGTGTATCTACTTGGGCTCATCTTCGGCCTTCAACGCTTTCATCGGTAGCGGCCTTGTGCTGCAGCATATCTCGTATGCATTCCCGGCAGTGCTTCTGATGTACCGCGGTCGTTCTGAGAAGTGGCTACCCAAGAATATCCCGTTCCGACTAAGGAGTGCTGTGGGATGGGCTGCGAATGTTGTTACTGTCGGATTTGCGATACTCGTGCTCATTTTCTATGACTTTCCTACCGTGATCCCAGTCACCGGAAGCAACATGAGTAAGTTAGTTATCTTACATCATTCTCAACAATTGGCGTGGGGTTATTGACTATTATCGCAGACTATACGGCGGCAGTGCTGGCGGTGATGGCAATATTTGCAGCTGGAAATTGGGCAGTGTATGCACGGAAACAATACCATGGTCCAAGACTGGGAGGAGAATCCTAATGAAACAGAGCTTTATCATGTGTAGCTTATGAGATTCATGAACAATGCAAGAATAACACCTAGCGAACCTAAGCAATGATACCAAACTGGCAGCCAAGAACTTACCTATACGTGACACCGTAACGGAAAAGCTTTTAAAGCAGGACGAGTCGCCTGCAACTCAGCCAAATGTACTTTATTTCTACCCCTCTCTGAAATGTCTCAGCCCAAGCGTGTGATTCTACGTTTACGTGAGACTGATCTACCTAGACTACAACGATCCTGACGAAGCCGTTCGCTTGTACCTCGAAAACAACGGTCGTTCATCCAAAGAACTTGAAATTGAACGTCATTTTATTCACATCTAACATCCGAATCCGGATATACTCCAAGAGGACCCAAGGGTCCATCTGGTTATTGGCCTTGAAAAAGATGCATTTTCCGGGGATCTTCATGACAACTTCCCCCATGAAATATACCGGGTCCGCCGTATCGACTGCAAAACGTGAGCCCCATGGGATCTCGGCTGTTCCTATCATATTGATGATGGTCTAGAACACTACATGCCTTCCGGAATTGCAACTGGTATAGGAATTTTGTCGCGAAGATCCGTAAATTGACAGACGAATTTTATCCACGGGGAAGGACGAGACATGATAGCAAGTCTTATGCCAGTACTGAGCAGCTCGCGACGAGAGTGGGTTGTCTGAATCGTCCCTTTAGGAATACGCTCTGGTCCTCTTTTCTTCTTTTCATGTTGCCTACCACAGACTTAATCGATTCTGCTCCACTGCATGCGATGTACTTCCACAGAAGCCATGTCCCATACTGTTTGAGATCGTGTGTTCTAATCATGATTGGTCATCATGAGTAGGCTTATTGGTGCAATGATGCTCTTTGAAAAGGTTTTTGGTGAGTGTATCAGGCTTGGTGAGCACGATGAAGCATAGAGCTACATATACTAGAAGTGATACTGCTACTTTGTTCCCTTATCACACCGATGCAAACCCAAAGGAACCCAGTCCAGGAAACCCCTCAACGCTTCTCAAACGGCCGACAAAATACAAGAATAGCGCTGGACTGGCTAAAATGGAATTGATGATCTACAACAAGAGTCGTCAACATTTGAGCTCATAAAGGCCTACAGATGAGAGGCCCCTTGATCCATCGCGACTAGACATTATTATTCCTTCGCGCCGAGACTGGCGCTCTTGAACCGGATTATTCAAACTGCAATACAGATGAGACTCGCCAGGAGCATACAAAGATTGCGAAGGAGGCCTAGAGCGTAGGTAGGTGTAGAAGTGAGAATGCGTGGCGATAAGATTAGATAACCAACTGCCGTGTCTCCGCAATTTCTCCATTCATTCCGCCACTTCCCCTTCTCCCCCCTCCAACATCATCGCATCGCCTCCGCACATTGATCCCCCACGTCTAACCCCTCCATGAGCTCCAAGCCCCGAGGTGAGTTGAATATTGTATTCCCCGAAGATAGACTCATGTTCTTGCCCCTCAGGTTGCTTCCAGTGCTCCAAACGCCGAATTATCTGCGACGGAGCCGAACCCGTCTGCAAGAAGTGCCAGAAGAAAAATTTAGAATGCTCCGGCCTCGGACGGTTTAGATTCTCAGACGGGCTCGCTAGGCGAGGCAAGCTGAAAGGATGCATCGTCCCCGTTGCCAACCTTCCTCCATCCGAGGCCTTCCCAGCCCAGCCCACGAATGCGGACCGATCCCGGCCACAAAAACTTCAGTGGAAGAATGAGCAGGGCGGTCGTACACGGCGAAAGGTGAAGAAGGCGAAAGATATCCGAGGAAGCACCGAGGTAGTCATTGAACAGCAGGGGGATGGTACTAGTGAGCAAGCCTTGGTGCCCACAACAGTTGGTCAATGGATCGCTCCGCTGAACTCCAGGACACGAATGCTCTTTTCTCATTGTGGGTTACCCTCTCGTCTTGTATAAGCGTTAAAGTGTTCAGGCTGACCCATCGCTGGCTAGTTGCAAATGAGGTCGCCCCTGTTATGGTGATCCTGGATAATGTCTCCAATGGTTATCGAGAGCTCCTTCTCCCCATGGCCTGCCACGATGAAGTCCTACAACACGCTATCGCTGCAGTCGCCTCCCAACATATCGCTGGCCGATATCCTGCAATGCAGCCTGCCGCTGAGTCTGAACGTGCTGCCGTTATTTCGCGTCTCCGACGGGACTCGCTACAGCCATCGCCAGACCGCGTATTCAACGCGTCAACCTGGGCCACCTTGATTGTCCTGTTGGTCGGGGAGACGATTACTGGAAGTTCGGAATACAAGTATTTATTACATACCCTAATGTGCCTGGCCCAGAATATCAGCCAGGTGGAGCACACAGCGGCAAATTCCTTCCTCATGCAACAGACTCATATGTATATTCAGGATGCCCTGGCTGAGAGGATGTATCTGACATCATGCAGGTTCAAATTACTCGGCCGACCAATGTTGGGAGAGACTCAAGGAATTCACGCTTTACAACTTCCAATCGAGCGTTACCTTGATTGGACCGTATATGACCTCCCGCCGGAATCGAAACATCATCGGGTGCTCGCCTTGTCGCGACTAGCATTCATGAAAGCCTCGCAAATATACCTCGGTAGGGCGATGGTGGATCAAGACCAATGGGGCCTGTTGGAAAGCCTGAAGCAGGTCGTCAGCCAGATCGACCCAGACGAGCCCGGATCCCACGCCCTCGTGTGGGTTTGTTTCATTGCCGCAGCTGATAGCAGAGACCCAGAGCATCGCGAATTCTTCACCGATCGTATGAACAAGGTATACGCAAAGACACAGTTTCGCAATATATCGGCTGCAATTGAATCCCTACCGGGAATTTGGTCTGCCCAGGGCTCAGGCCGCTGGACAAAAGAGCTAATTCCGACATTAGTCATGTGATTTCCATACGACATGTTGCTCAGGATGATACCTTGTACGAATATATTGATTTTCAGCGTATGATATTCTGAGGTGCCGGAAGCAGCATTGACAAACACAACGACAACATTCGAAGATGCCTACGACAGCCACTAGCCGTGAATGCCTTTATCCTTTGTGGGTTGGCCAGGCTGTACACTGCCTGCATCACCGAGCGAGTGGCTTTGCGTAGCGCCATATTGCTGTAGTCATAGAAGACAATTCTGTGCTGGACTGCTGTTTAGGAAGTATTCTACTTCATTCAGCCTCGCGGCCGTGGATTGGCTGTCGAAGAGGTCCGCATCCGGCAGGCTTACCGGCACAGCTCCAACCCCCCATGACCCGGGGGAGGGTAGATCTGACAAGCCTGCTTCGAGAAACAGAGGCTTCTTCCGTGGGTCTGCCCCGAGTGTACCGTAGTCGATTATTGACCATAGTGCTGTTTCGGAAGCAGGGTCCAAGTCGTCCTTCAAAGACGCCGTGTCCAACAGACCAGCGAACCTGTGCGACTGAGCGTGGAATTCCCGTAAGTGGATCGCCTGGATGTGATCGTTAACCTAAATACGACATGACCATCATCAACCGGAGGGGCGGTACCATATTTCCAGCATGAACCCAAAAGAGACCTAGTCTATCCAGCCAGTCCAGAGTCTGCTGGAAGTAATACGCCGAGTCCTGGGTGCGCGTCTCTGAACCAGGGCTACCGGGCGATACTAGCAGCGATGCTCCCAGCGAGTGTATTCCACCGGCCACTGCAATGCAATATGCGTAGAATGACGACTCCACCAGACATCCGGCCTCCCTGGCGTCATGGATGAGGTCCAATAGTTGCTTAGCATGATCCCAACTGGCTCGGAGGGCCCTGACGGGGAAGCTTGTGGGTGTCTTGGATCCAAAAGGCTTCAGTCCCAATCGGACCAGAAATGGATGGTTCAGGAGACAATGGCACAAATGAAAAAGCGTATGTGCAAATACCAAATAGCCGATTTCCTGCGGACCCTGTTCGCCGTTTTGAATGACCTCGGATATGGGGCGACTTCCGAGGGTGGAATAAGATTCTAGCAACAACAAGGAAGACGAAATTGCCGAGAATTCGGATGTTGTATCCCATGGAGGGATTTCATCTGCGCGACATCTTTGGTGGACGTATCGTGTACATCGCCCGAAGATGGAAGCCATCAGGATGGCCAAGGCGAAGGGGCTAGGGCGTTCCACCATCTGCGTATTCCAGCTGAGAAGCTCTCCGAGCGTCTGTGTCTTCTTCCACTCCCCTTTCTGGAACGTGTCTTCGTCACATGGTAGTTGAAGATGGCAGTCCTCGTCGAGGATGGCGAGTGGCCGTGACTTTCCACAGGATATAAGCTTATCCACGAGGTATGCGGACCAGAATGACCGCCTTCTTTCCTCCTGCTCTGCATATGACAGCCACGCATCGGGTTCCTTCATGAGGTGCAGGTCCTGGGATATTCGCGCCGCGAGGCCGATCTTCAGCCATCCAGCGCTTACTCGACCAGCTGCTGGAGCGTTAGCAAGGGCCGTCGGTATTTTCAAATAGGCTGTGACCGCACCTGTATAGTCAACCACGGCCAGCAAATTGACTGTTTGGACGACATGGATGTTCATGTTCTCTTCTGCTGCCATGTAGTCTGTCAGCACAGACATCCATGACTCCCGCGCATACTTTTCTGTCGCTTCACGAGCCCTGCCTGCATAATACTCGTGGGTAGAGAACTTGACTGCCGATGCTAGGACGGCCAACACCAAACACCGAGGCAGAAGGTTGCTTTCCAATCTCTGTCGAAATGAGGATTCTTGGAAGTAGGAATACGGTTGGTTATGGACATGGATGAAATATGTATCGATTACTGATCGCAAAACCGGTCGGGGAGGAAGGGAACTAGGACGGACTTCAAGTCAGTATGGATCTTGGAGTGCGTTGAATGAGTCAAGGTCCATGGTCGAATTGTCAGTACGCACAAATGGTCGGGCTGAAGGCTCGAAATCGACACCAGAGGCGGCTGACGATGAAGCTCAACGTTATGGATCGGGGATCTTGCTCCTTGGCTCGGGTCCGTTGGCGACGAATTACTAAATGACACAGTCAGATATGAGGCCCATTGGAACGACACTGAACGAGACTACCCTTCAGAATGCTGAGATCGGCCACTCAATTCAGCCAAACGAGATTCGATTGAGCTTATTCGCTCCAACAGGGCCGCCTGGCGATTTGTTAGCGTGCGAGCCTAGTATTCAGACGACCAGCTGACATTATCGTTGTTACTAGCGACTGCTGAAGCTAGTACGGCTGGGTTAATATCTCCCACGGTGGCAGAATAGGGCTCATAGACACAGGTCGCTCGAACGCGGCGGCAAGGAAAACAAATCGGCCGTTCACCGGAGCATTTCGTCTTCTTTCGTCTAAAAAGGGCGATGTTATTGTGACGTTTAGTTCCAAGAGGATTGAGTATAGTACCTGCAATTGGCACATGCTTGTCGAATGCGTTTGATACTCCCGCTATGTAACGCGTCCATCGAGCCATCCATTGCAAACAGAGAGTCGAAGGAGGCTCAGACCCGTCCAGGAAGAAATGGGTCAATCAGGCCACACACTAATGTATCCAATGTCGGGGTTGGACAGCCTCTCATCGGCCGGAGCAATCTCGGGGAGGTCTTAATTAATGACGAACGACTCCCACCGGATATTTCGTCTACGCACACGGGGTCAAAGAGAGAAAGAGGTGAAGAAAACTGCGGCCAAGCAAGAAATGCGGGGGGTGAGACGGATTCCACGCCATGTGGGGATCGTGGATAACCTCGGATATGGCGGATTAGCCACTAGTCTAGACCCCAGCCTAAGACAGACATCGCTAGTCTGGACATGCCATCCCTCTCTGGCCCAGTGATCGGCTCGGTGTGCTGTTCTCGGTGGAACGAATGCATCATGACATGCCACCCAAACAGGTTCAATTCTCCATCTCACACTCTACTACAGCTTGGCCTTGGATTGCTGCAATATATACGCATCCCAGTCAACCTTCTTTCCCCGTTGGAATTCTCTCACCCCATGAGCCCCATCAGCATCTTCCCTCATCATAGCAGCGAAGAGCTCCCGGATCCCCGCGGCCTGCTTCTCTCCTCCACTGTGAGCCCAGGCCAGCCGAACCAGTTCCTTGGACATCCGAGATGCATTAGGAGAAGCAACCCGTAGGCGTGAAAGTAACTGATCCAACAGTACAGTGAGGCGATTTTGGTCCTCGGAGATCTCGCTGAGCAGCCCCCGAGACTTCAGTTCCTCTGCCGTGATGGTCCGCGCAGAAAGCATCGCCTCGCGCGCAAATGGGACTCCCCACTCACGAATCACATATTTTGAGATGGTGGCCGCGCAGATCCCCAGCTTCACCTCACTAAGAGTCACCGTTGTCTGCTTCGTAGAAATGCGGATATCACAGGCAAACGCTAGACCGACGCCTCCCCCAAAGGCCGGACCGTTGAGACATGCGATGGTGACTTTTGGGGACTGGTCGATGGCCTCGAACAAATTTGTAAGACGGTCAAATTGTGAATCACTGCTGGAGCCGCCTTGGCCAACCGGGGTACTGTCCTTCCCCAGATCCATGCCTGTGCAAAAGTATTTTCCATTGCCCATAATGGCAATTCGAGAGATTGATGAGTCTTTGCTGGCCTCGATGATGGTCTGCGTCAGGGAAGAAAGCATCGAGGCCGTGAGAGCGTTTCCATTCTTCGGTCTGTTCAAGATGATTTTCAAATTGGCACCCGATCGATAGAGCTGTAGTCCCTCTGTATCTTGGAAGATTGCCCATGACAGAGGCTGTCCATTCTCTGCCGAAGTCCTGTGAGGAGCGTTAATCCTGTGCTTCACGGCCAACGCGGTTCCTGCACGGCTAGAGTTCGCTTTAGCCAGGCGATTCGAAATCCACGCTCCCGTTTCGACGAGCTTCAGTAGGTCTATGCCCGTCTCGACTCCTGCATTATGAAACATGTATATCAGGTCTTCTGAGGCCACATTTCCCTTAGCACCGGGGGCGAAAGGGCATCCGCCGAGACCTGCAACGCTGCTGTCGAATGTCCGTAGGCCACACCGATACGCCTCCCAGGCATTGGCTACTGCGGTACCATACGTATCATGGAAATGGCCAGCCAACTGATCCAAAGGTATGCCGTTTTCCACCAGATAATGCAGGAGCTGTCGCACATTGGCAGGTGATCCAACCCCTAAGGTGTCACCAAGGCTGACCTCGTAGCAACCCATGTCGAGGAGGGCCCTGACACACCGAAGGACAGCGGATGGGGCGGTAGGGCCATCGTATGGGTCAGCGAAAATGCAGGAGACGTAACTATTTATGTTAGCGCGAAGGCCATCGAAACCCATTGCGTGAGGCTCACCCTCGAACCGTCATATTGGCATGGACTGCTTTTGCGGCCACGTGTCTGGCACGGGCGATACCTTCGTCCACCGTGCAGTTGATATTGGCTCTGCTAAATCCTTCTGTTGCACTGATGAAGACCGCAACTTCTTTGACTCCATGTTCTTGCGCAATGTCAAACCCTTTAACATTGGGAACCAGCACAGGAAGACGCAAGAGGCTGTTTTGCAGTGACTGCTGTATTGCAGGATCCTGAAGAAGCTGGCGGCAGTCGGACAACTGTGGAATGGCCTTGGACGACACAACGGATGTCAGTTCGATACTCTGGAGGCCTGTCTCTTGAAGCCGGCGTATCAACTCCAACTTGGTGGCGGTGGGAATCCGTTCGGCGATATTCTGTAGGCCATCGCGGGGCCCGACTTCAACAATTCGCACAGCTGGGGAGGATGTCTGCATGGTTATGATTATATTATGGCAGGAAACTTTTTTTATGCGCCATAGATACGAGATACATGCAGCATATATTCGATCGTCTGAGTCTATCCCCATTTCGGCTCTCTTCCGACGCGGACCGATCATCTACACTACCGCAAGCGTACCCCGCTCTACGGACCGCTATTGATCTACACAGCAGAAGGAGAGATCTATTGCAGCATTTGGAAAGTCTATAGAACATGCTATCACAGGCGTGCTTTTATCCTCTCCTTCACTAGCCGACATCCCGTCTCTCTCATAACATGTTTCTGATGCTTTCCACTGCCAGTCTTGGGGAAATCCTCTCCTACCCCAGGCTGACCCAACCAGAAGATGTACTGGGGAGCCTTATGCCGGCCCAGTTGTATTTCCACGAAACTTCGAACGTCGGCCTCGGAAGGTCGTGGTAATTCAGCGTTGCCCTTCAGAAAGCAACCAACCACTTCTCCATATTTTTCGTCCGTGATTCCAACGACACTGGCTTCATCAATAGCTGGATGGCAGGCCAGACGTTCCTCAATCTCACGGGGGAAGATATTCTCGCCTCCTAGTAGATGCATTAGACATTATTCCGCTGCGAAAGAGACATTGACTTACCTCGGATGATGATATCCTTGATTCGACCAGTAATGTGCGCGTAGCCCTCGTCATCAATGACCCCCTCGTCGCCTGTATGCATCCAAAGAATTCCATTACCATCCCTTTTCATCACCTCTTGAGTTTTTGCGTCGTTTTTCCAGTAACCCTTCTGCAATGCGTAACCACTGGTGCATATCTCGCCTCGCTCCCCCCGAGAAAGGATGTTGCCGTTGGGGTCAATAATCTTTGCAGCCGTGTGTGGCATCGGCCGACCAACCGTCGTGGTACGCTTCTCATCAGAATCTTCCATAGCAGTGATGAACGTCACCGGACTGGTCTCGGTCATCCCGTAGGCAATCAGAAGCTTCCTCACACCCATTTTCTCTTGCAGCTGGTTCATCAATTGCATTGAAACGGCCGAGCCAGATGCCAGTCCCGTCCGGAGACGACGAGGCTTCTGTCCCGTCTTTGCCATGTATTCGAGTTCAGCCACGTACATCGTGGGCACGCCCAAGAGAACGGTAGCATCGTAGCGGACGACTGCCTCGACCACTCTCCTGGCATCGAAATTGTCGGATGGGAACACGATCCCGCTTCCGTGGCAAAAGGAGGCAAGAAACCCCATCACCAGGCCGAAGCAGTGGAACAGCGGTGGTGGACAGCAGACGATGTCGTCTGGGGTGAGATGCATCGCCCGTCCAACGAAACGAGCGTTGTTCACGATGTTGCTGTCGGTTATTAGCTGCAGGGCATTGCATGGACGTCCACATCACCTACTTGTGGGTAAGAGTGGCTGCCTTTGGAGAGCCTGTAGTACCTGCAAAAGTCAATTGCCGGTGGACTTTGTCTATGGATCTAAGGCCTCACCAGATGTGAACTGCAGGTTAAGAACATCCTCGGGACGCACGGCAGATTCGGCACGTTCCAACGCCATGCTGTCAACGGGGCCACTTGTTCCTTCTGATAGAAAATCCGCATACGATTGTGTATGAACAATCCGCCGCTTGAATGGCCCATCTCCGATGATGACAACTTGCTGCAGCTGAGGGAGGGAGGTATGCGCCAAGTCGTTTCCTTGCAACGTTTGGATGTGGGTGGAGAGATTCCGCGAGCCAATCTTGGAGGCAATGAAGACGACTTTGCAGTCTTTGAAGTGTCAGCAAATACACACACGCAATGTATCAGGAGTATGGCAGAGACTTGCCGCTTGTCTGAACGGCGTTGCACAGTTCCTTGGGAGTATACGTGTTGTTCAACACAACAACTGGGCATCCAATGCGAGCAGCACCCAGAAATACCTCGATATACTGGGAACAATTCCCCGCCATGATTCCAACACACTCGCCGTGGCGCAGTCCCATGGCGAGCATGGCTCTGGCCATGATCCGGCTCCGCTCCTGGAGTTGCCGATAGGACAAGCTCACGGACTGCCATGGCACAATCACTGCTGGATGGTCGCGAAAACGCGCTACCTGATCGTCAATCAGCCTTCCCAGAGTTATTGACCACAGTGCTGGTTCGTTTGGTCCTTGGACAAACGCTAGCTTGTGGTTTATGTTTGTAGCCATCGCGAATAGAAAGTAAAAGTAAAGGCCGATGAGGATAGATTCTCAGCCTATAACTTAATCCTTACTACCTATTTATCACAATGTTTACCATTCCTATTGTGGTTGTATACAGATCATAACTCCGCAATTGGGGCATCGGTCCCTTCCCGACGGCCTCTCCGATATCCGGACCGGCCTCGTCCTAGTCCTCCGGCCCACGTATTCTATACCTAACGCCCGAAAGAAGGCATGCAACAACCGGCTTGCAAATTGACAGATTGCACAGACAAAATTCCTACCTGCCGTACTGCACAATGGCTACTGTATCCTCATATCCGCCCCTGCGTTCACAGTTGGACCTTCGCGGCCCCCAGTTCCAGCAAAACAAAGATAGCTGGGTCCCGGTTCTCGACAAATTCGAAGACCGTCTTAGGCAGGTATGCGCAGAGGGAAACCAAGTTTCTCTAGAGAGACACCAGTCGAGAGGCCAGTTATTGGGTACGTTGGCTGAGCGAAACGCTTGGGACTACTGTTGACAAAGGGGACATAGCAAGAGACCGGATTGCCCTGCTTTTGGACCAAGACTCGCCATTCCTCGAACTTTGCGCATTTGCGGGCTATGGTAATGAGGATTCGACGCCGTGCGCGAATCTCATTTCAGGTATTGGGACTGTCAGGTTAGTCGATTCATCGTCCAAGACACTGTAGTGGTCCAGACCCTAATTCTATCGCAGTGGCCGGCCATGTCTGCTTATGTCGCATATCCCAACGCAAAGTGGAGGAGCCTGGAATGAAATGACTGGTATGTGGTTTTTGTATTGTCTTCCTCATGTCTAACCCTGCGCTAGTCCTGAAGGTGAACCGGATGATGGAAGTTGCCTTTGAGAATGACCTCCCTCTTATCTCCTTGGTCCAGTCGGTAAGTGACATCCAGCATACATCGGTTGCTCTATACTGATAACTGCAGGCTGGGGTCTTCCTCCCCCAACAGTTCCGTGTATTCCACAAAGGTGGACAGCTCTTTCGGGACCTTGCGGTGCGCACACAACATGGCAAGCCGTCGTGCGCCATTGTGTTCGGGTCATCCACCGCAGGCGGCGCATATCATCCCGCATTATCTGACTACACGATCTTCGTAGAGAACCAAGCGCAGGCGTTTCTCGGCGGTCCTCCGTTGGTGAAGATGGCTACTGGAGAGGATATTGAAGCAGAAGAACTGGGCGGCGCCAAGGTCCATGCGATGACTACTGGACTGGCCGACCAGATCGCGGTTGACGAGTTTGACGCTATCCAAAAGGCCCGGGAATGGATGGCTTCTCTTGAGGCCCGTGAGCCGCGAGTGCCAGGCCTGATTGAACCTGCAGCTCCACGGTACCCAGTGGATGATTTGCTCGCCCTTGTCAATCCAGATATTCGGAAGCCATTCGATATGCGCGAGGTGCTTCTTCGAATCCTCGACGATTCTCGCCTGTCGCTCTTTAAGCCTAAGTATGGGACGAATATGATTACTGGGTGGGCGCACATCTTGGGTATGCCCTCGATTCCATCAGAGAGCTGCCAATGTTAACAGCGATGTCTAGGATTCCCAGTAGGCATCGTCGCTAATCAGCTGTCGGTAATCAACCCCCATGAGGCGGCCAAGACAGCTCAATTCATTCGTCTTTGCAATCAACAGTAAGCCAGGCGCACTGCATCGCCACTCCGCATACTAACGAGCTCAGAAACACACCGATTATATTCCTCCATAACGTGACAGGCTTCATGGTCGGGGCCAAAGCCGAACACAACGGCATCATCAAGATCGGAGCCCAGCTAGTCTCGGCCGTGAGCTGTTCCACAGTGCCCCATATTTCTATCATTCTGGGAGCTTCCTACGGCGCCGGTAACTACGCGATGTGCGGGAGGGCGTACCGGCCGCGGTTCCTATTTACTTGGCCTACCGGACGATGCAGCGTCATGGGGCCGGACCAGTTGTCTGGCGTGATGGAAAGAGTCCAGATCGCCAGCGCAAAGTCAAAGGGGCAAACCCTGTCCCCGGAGAAATTGCAAAAGCAGGTCAAATCGTTCCGTGATGCCGTACAGGCGGATGCAGCATGCTATGCTACCAGCTCCATGCTCATTGATGACGGGATCATTGATCCTAGAGACACGCGGGATGTGCTTGGGATGTGCCTAGAGGTGGTTTCTTTGGAAGAGGTGAAGGGGACTGAGACGCATAATTTGTTGGCTAGAATTTAGTTTATATCCGTACATTTTGCATCATTACCATTGAAACAAATACATATCTTTTATCAAGTACTCCGATCAAATGTCCTGTTGGGTGACTGTGTTCGTAGTATCACTGATGAACAAGGCCACAGTACACTGATCCCAAAGCACACATGGTGCTAAGACGACAGTATGGCAGACAATACTCTAGAATTGTCATGCCTCAAGGAGATTACGCGGGCATTATGGCGCTCGCCGGCCTTTGACGGTCGGTCCGATCCTTCCTCTGTCCCTACGGCAGAGGCCGGACCGAACAATATCGGCGGTGCCAGGGATGGATGAGACATAATGAACGTGTAATAGTTTATCTTCAGTGGGTATCTATTTGCTACTAGATCCACAGATTTTAGTTGTGTTAATCTGTTTACACCACCAATTTTGACGATGCAAGCCACGAATCTGAATATGTCCTTTAATCCAGGGGCTTTGAATGCAGCTCCCCTTCGACCTCCCTTGTTTGTTGCACCATCGCCTTTTGCAGAGAATGGTCGACCTGTGATACAAAGGCTGCTCATTGCCAACCGTGGCGAGATCGCCTGCCGCATCGCTCAGACTTGTCGAAAGTTAAACATCACTTCGGTCGCAGTCTACGCTGATGAGTATGTGCTCCTACCTGGGCACAAGCCCGAACCTTGCTGAACCACCTTCTGATACAAAAATAGAGATGCTTCTTCACGCCATATCAAGGATGCAGATGAAGCTATCTGCATCGGCAGCATAGAAGGGAGCAGCATTAACCCCTTTCTCAACGCAGACCTCCTTGTTCAGACTGCAGTCTCTGCTGGTGTACAGGCAATCCATCCCGGATATGGCTATCTCAGCGAAAACGCAGAATTTGCCGACCGCGTTCGCGAGGCAGGGCTCATTTTCATCGGACCATCAGCCCGTGCTATGTCAACTCTTGGAGACAAGCGCTCGTCGAAGGACTACTTGCGCGAGCACGCCCCTGACGTTCCTCTAGTCCCGGGTTTTGCGGGGTCAACGCAAGATGCTGAGAGTCTTGCGTCCGCCGCAGCAGAGATCGGCTTTCCTGTTATGCTAAAGGCATCTGCCGGGGGCGGTGGAAAAGGAATGCGGATTGTGCGCGAGGCAGGCCAGTTGAAAGAGGAGCTTGAGCGCGCAAAATCCGAGGCACAGCGCTCCTTTGGCTCTAGCGACCTGATCTTGGAGAAATACCTCGAAAGCAGCAAGCATGTGGAAATTCAGATCGTTGGTGACAGCCATGGGGAGGTCCTGTCTTTTGGGGACCGCGACTGCTCTGTCCAGCGGCGACATCAAAAGGTCATTGAAGAGACGCCGTGTACATTTCTCGCGGAGCAGGTCAGACAGAAGATGGCAGCAACGGCAGTGCGTATTGCGAAACTCATCGGATACGAGAATGCCGGCACGGTCGAGTTTATTGTCGATGTGCAGACGGGCAGGTTCTACTTTCTCGAGGTCAACGCGCGGCTCCAGGTCGAGCATCCGATCACGGAGGAGGTCACTGGTGTGGATCTTGTTTCATTGCAGCTGTTTGTGGCTGCTGGAGGTCGGCTGCGTGGCCTGCCCGTTGCGCAGGATTTGAAATTGCGCGGCCATGCAATCGAGTGTCGTCTTTGCGCTGAGGATCCGCAGAGAAACTTCTTCCCGGAGCATGGAGTGGTTCGTCTTTGGCGGCCGTCACCCACCACCGTGGGTGACCGAGACGTTCGTTTCGAAACGGCTATCCAAACCCGCTCAACCGTGTCCATCTATTTCGACTCCATGATCGCAAAGGTTGTTGTATGGGCACCGACGCGGGCAGCGGCTATCGAAAAGATGATCAAGGTGCTTGCCAGTACAGCATGCGTCGGTATCAGGACCAACCAGCTGTTCCTTCAGCGGTGTTTGACCAACCCAGCTTTTGCAGACCCTGGCTACACCACTGCATTCATTCCGTCGAACCTCCAGCAACTGCTCCTCGGGGCTCTGGGCGAAGGGGAAAGTGGTCCTGGAATACAAAACGCCATGTATGCTATTCCGGCGCTTATATTGCGTCGCCTTGCGCAGTACCGCGGCCATGCGGTAACTCGGAAACCATTTCAAAACGTTCGGAAACAGTTCCGCAATCAGCGATTTGACCCAGTCAATGTGCACTGCGATATCAGCACACTAGTCGGGGAGGACGATGCTCAGGCTTCGCGTATGTGTCTGTGGTGCACAGATGATGGATCTTCCCCTCAGATGACACAAACTGTGCATGTTATACCACTCCCAGAGCCAGTGAAGCTGTCCGAGAGGAGCGAGACATCTGCTGGCAAAGTTACGGCGCGCTACAATGCAATCAGTCAGGCGCTGCGTCGCGGCGAAGTTGTTTCTGGGCCGTCTTACCAGGTTTGTATCAAATCGCACCTTTCCATCGAGCACGAGGCTCCGGACTATAGTTTCCTCAGTCTCGACCTGGAGATCATGATCAACGGATCCAAGATTCTTACCAACGTGGTCTTCCCCTCGGTAGCATCCTCTCTGGGCCGTCTGTCGTCCACCCCGCAGCAGGTACTCTGTCACTTCCCTCATCTCGGAACATGGGTGGAGTTCCGATGCTGCAGCCTGCTGTCGTTCATGGAAAGCATACGCTCGGTCGAGCAGAGTCAAGATGCCGAACAGAAAAGCATCACCGCTCCCATGCCCTGTCGTGTTCTGTCGGTGGCGAAGAAGAACGGCGATGATGTTAAAGTCGGCGAAAGTGTCATGGTGGTTGAAAGCATGAAGATGGAGATGAGTATTACAGCGAGTGCAAGCGGACGATTCCGAACAAGTTGGAAGCAGGGCGATGCAGTGGAGGAGGGAAAGGTCCTGTGTACAGTGGAATAGAATATAGTTAGATATCCAATCGATCAGTGTTATGAATTTAAATTTTCTTCACATTCCCATAGTCTTACCTGTATCCCACGAAGTACCTCAGTAACTGTGAAGGCGATTATTATCTTTTCTAACAACACTGTTTCCCGGCCTAATGCAGATAATTCAAGGATTCTCAGCCAGCATGTCCTTCTCCACTTCAATCTTGTCATTTGTGTTTATGCTAAACAGATGCTATAACGTGATTTGAGGGTGAATGCCATCGCTCTAGAGCTTACTTCTCTCCATCGCCTTCATGGCCTTAATCTCTTGGTTGATACTGAGATCGGTCAAGATCTCCTCGCTTCCTCCTCCAACCACCATCACGCGTACATCGCGGCTGACCTGTTCGATTCTTGCGCCGCGGCCGTTCTTGGAATATCCCAAGCCCCCCATCACCTGCTGAGCCTCGCGGTTGACCATCTCAAGCGTCCGTCCCGCTAGAACCTTCAGGTTGGCGAATAGCCCGCCCATTGCTGCATCTCGTCCATCCTTCTGCGCCATCTGGGCCATGTATACCAACTGTTCCATCCAGGCGTATGTAGAATCCAGGCTGCGACCCATTACGCTGAACTTCGCCCGGATCACTTGGTTTTCAATCAGCTTCTTGCCGAATGTTTCCCGGTTGATGGCGTGTCGATAGGCATCCTCTGCGCAGACCCGGGCCATACGCAGCGACGTGCAGGCGAGCCACAGGCGTTCATGGTTGAAATCTGTTTCTCATTAAGGAGGAGTTCTTTTAAGGCATGCTGCGCGTATCTTACTGCTCATGATGATCGGGAAGCCTTTGTTCTCCTGGCCTAGGAGATTGGAAACCGGCACCTCTACCTGGTCAAATTCGATGTATGTCGATCCTGGGGGGATTAGTATTCTGCCTGCTTGGAACATAGAAAGCACTGTTGTACAAACCACTTGCGTTAACGCCAGAGTTCTCGATCTTTCTGCGCATCACGCCTTTGGCGTTCAATGGAATGACAAGCGCAGAGACGCCTTGGATGCCTGGTCCTCCCGTTCGGACAGCCGCAGTGCAATAATCAGCGAAGATACCGTTCGTGATCCACTTCTTTGCGCCGTTGACAATATACACATCTCCGCGCCTCTCCGCAGTGGTGCAGATTCCCGCCACATCAGAGCCCGCTGTATCCACGTTAGCTCGTGGGCCGCGAGTTCAAGTGGTTGAAAGTCTTCTCATACCATCGGGCTCAGTAACCCCAAGACAAAACCTCGTGCGTCCCTGCAACATGTCTGGCAGGAACCGGCGTTTCTGTTCTTCGGATCCAAAGTTGATTACCGGGGGCGCGCCGATGGAGTTTCCACACCCCAGTGCCCAGATGATACCAAGGTATCCGCAGCGGGCCAGTTCGTCAATGACGACGAGGTCATGGAATGCATCCCATTCGTGGGGTGGGATGCTCGCCGGGAGGCGTTGTCCTTCTAGGCAGTCCACTGCCAGTGGAAATGCGCTGACGGCGGTGTATCCCAGCTCGGCATGTCTTTCATGAACCTACATGTTCATTGGATTTGCGGTCAGACTTGTGTTGATTGTTGGGCGTCGTTTCATACCTCCGGTGGCACAACGCCGGCCTTCTCCCATTCTTCGCAGAATGGTGCAATATGTGTGTCTACATAGGCGCGGACCTCTGCCTGTAGGCGACGATGGGAGTCCTTGTAGTAAGGGCTGTAGACGCGATTCAACCACAAGGGGTCGCCGAAAGGGACGTTTGAAACGGACATTGTCGGATTGAATGAGATTGCTGAATGCAGTAGTAAACAGTCTATGGACTCCACTCCTCGGATCAAATGATATAGATCTAGTTCTCTACGGTACGCCGGGCGATTATCCGACTTCGGACCGCGTGGAAACTCGGCAGGAGGAACACATCTATTCTTGAATGGTGTAAGAGGTCAAAAATCTCGATTATTCTTCTTTAATAATAACTGTGCTGTGATTGTACTTTTTCTCGCTATAATACTGTATCTTTGGTTGTTGTTGTTTGCTTGGTTGCTTCGTTTCTCTACATATTGTGTTGATCGGTCCGCTCGGACCGAGAATTGTTTGGCGGCATCGCATCGACAGCCAAAGGTACAAGCAGCTGGATGTGGTCCATGTCTACTATTAATTATCTAGATGAAGTGCGAGAAGTCAAGTGCATTTGAGTTGTTTCGAAATTTGGCGGTCGTTGACAAAATTGAGTAGTACATATATCGCTAGTTCAACTTGGGCCGCTCGACGTTGTCGGTCGTAACGGAGAGGAGGGTCAACAGGCCCATGTACATGCCACAGCCAGCGGCGCCTGCGATGGCGCGGCCGACGATGAAGCTGTCAAAGCGCCCAGATAACCAACCGTCACCAATGAGAGTGGCTTCATAGCGAGTAAGAATCAAGTTAAGCCCCTCAGGTCGATGCTCTTGATGCCGTCTCATACATCCTCACTCTGCAACGCTACATACTTGATCACACCTGTATGAGGCTGGCAATTCACATACTCAAAATGCGCTTCCCCCCTTTTCAATATAGATACTTCATGCCACGTCCTCATCTTGCGATTCTCTCCAAACACCCGCGCATGTTTCAGAGCACCCTTGAAAATTGCGATATGTGACGGGTGTTGCTTCGCCCATTGCTCAAGATCGTCGAGGTTTCGAAAGAAGCCTGCGGCGCAGGTCTCTTTTGCCTCCTCAGCCCCCCATTCGTTGCGAAGAAAGCGCAGCCCAATTGCTCCCGACTCATCTCGGGTGTCCCACAGATATTTCAACCCTGTTTTCAATGTTGGCTCCAGCATCGTTTCATACGCCTCGGCTTCCGCTGCGTCACAGCGTTGCCAATACTGACCGGAACGGATGTGCACCAGGTTATCGTACGGGTTGCAACCGAACAGTCTCTGGCCAAGTCCGCGGGGTATCTGAGGCGGATAAGTTGCGCTCTCCGGGTGGTCGCGAGGGAAAGCATCGTGTCCAGAGCTGGGGATGCGATCCCGGGCAGCGCCCCAGTACGCCGTCAGGGTATGTTCCGTTGGCTGTCCCTGGGATAGTTGGGCGAGTCCTGGCAGGTAATCGATCCCGGAGTAGTTGGTTTCCAGTCGCGATATTGGCGTGGTGAACCGTTCGCACCAGATGCCGATACCCGGTGCCCGCTGGACCCGAGTGTATATGTCCATTGGCCGGAGTCGGCTGAGGTCTTCCTCGTAGGAACGGGCATCTTCCCAGTAACAAACGTGGATGATTGCATTTTTGCAGTCATCGCCATCCAGGAAGCGGAAGGTTTCCGTGACGCGAGACTGGTCCTGACAAGACATGGATTTGACGAATTCTCGCACCACATCTGCTGCAGTACGGAAGGCATCCTGCCCGGCCGCGGAATCATCATGTTGTTGGATGCCGATATACGCGGTATGGACTGGGGTCGCTGCATCTGGGTAGACTAATCGCCACCGCTGCACAGGGGGTTTGTGGCCCTCCGGCCGAGCCAAGGGGTAGATTCGACCTGTCGGCATGGAGTAACGTCGTTGTTGAACGTTGGGAATTGCCGGGGAATGTCTCCCGCTGCGGATGCTTCGACAGGCGAAAGTACAAGCTCGCGATATCATGCCTTTCTTGCTGGCACAGTCTGCTGGAGGTCGATTCTATAGAGCTATAGACAATGATGCCGCCAGACCAACCTCCCCTCCTTGTTCACCCCGCAATTATCGTGTTGGATGCGGGGACGACTTGGCATTGCCCGAGAAGCGAATTCAGCCAGATCTGGCATGACCCGACCTTGAAGGATATGTATACAATTCTGTGTGACTTATCGTAGTGGCGAATTACTCAAGCGTGCGCTGCAGGAAATACACGCACGCATACACGTATACCAGGTGGGTTCAAACCCTTCTGGGCCAGAGCCCTGCGAAACTCACTCATCAACTTCCTTTCCTTTCTCTTCTCCCCGCCAAGATAATGGGGAAGTAATATGGCTAAGAAGAATTTTGAAGGGCTCATGTGTCTATGAAGGTGAAATTCCCCAATGCCACTACTGTGGGTCACCGGGAGTCGTCACTTGAATATTACTCCCAGCGAGGGTATTAGGAAGCAGATGGAAAACAAGACCAAATTCATAGGCTATATATGAATTATTTAGGAGAAATTGTGACAGATATGTCGATGGCGGTCTTATTGCCAGCAGATGTGAACAGCGCCAAGGTCCGCTTGTCCGGTACATACTGCAGCAAGCTGCCTTCAGGCGACACCTGGACTTCATAGCCGTTGGGGAACGTGGAGGTGGGCAGAATAATTTCAGTAGGCGCTTGGATACTTGGATCCGACGTGAACTGCAGCTTGAAGGTGGCCGAGCTCTCATCAAAGCTGAAGCTCGTGGGAGTGCCAGCGACCGCGGCAGGGTATGCACGGCTGTAGTGCTTTGCCAGTTCAGGGTATGGCTGACCAGATGTGCCATTGTACAGGTTCTCGTACGCCCAGCCGATCCAGGACACCATGCTTGCGTCGGTCGCCGACATGGCATCAGCGAGGTTTTGCATCTGCTTATCGTCGCCCATCCAGAACGTGAGCTCCGTCAGCACACCGGCAGTCTTCAGGCGCTCGCTGTCCTTGCGGCGGTTGCCTAATGTGGTAGAAATGGACCCCAGCTGCGGCGGACTGTAGTAATGGAATGAATGTACCGACTTCGAGCCGTCTCCAAGAGGGACGTTGTTGAAACCCGACAAGATATCAAGAGTGGCGCCTTCGAACCAAATGAGCGTGTCATTGTCCACGGTACGGATCTGCTTGGCTGAACGGTTCCAGAGCCCTTCTAGGACCTTGTGGTCAGCAACGCCTGGCACTAGCAGAGTCGGATCGGCCACCGAGTCGCCCACCCACGGCTCATTCAGCAGGTTATATCCGACCACGTTGGGCGTCCTGACATACTCGGACGCCAGCTTTTTCCAGTACGCCGCAAACGCATCGCCCAGCCCGTCATTGTTGTTGTATAGCCGCCCAAATGCATTGCACACCGCCACCGAGGTGTAGCTTAGAGACCAATCGACGGTGTTGCAAAGCGACTCCGGCGATGGGAACCCATCATCATCCACATCGAACGGCGTCAGCTTGAGAGGAAAGGGATACCTCTTCCAACTTGGTACCCAGTCCTGCTGAACAAACCACTGCGAATGCGGGTCAGTATCAGCTTGCGCCAACATAGCCGTGGACTACTTACGTCAGGTACGCCGTGACCGCAAAACTGCCGCGCCAGGACGTCTTGGTGCACGTCCACCAGAACATAGAGGCCATGGTCCTCCGCCAGTTTTGTCTGCTCCTTCATGATGTCTAGAAATGTCTGGTTGTACTGGCCACGCACAGGCTCTGCACCGGCCCAGCTGTGGCCTAACCGAACAATGTTCAGACCTAGGTCGTGCAGATTCTGGACATCTTGCTCGCCAAACGATGACACACCGGGCACCCATTCCATCGGCCGATACCACGGGGGCTCTTTCATCACGACATTGGTCCCATGGAAGAACCGCGTACGGTTGAATACATCGACAATTTGATGCGTGGCTTGGTTCACCCGGCTGATGCGCGACATGCCTGGATGGGCCTTGTACCAGCCCTCGGCATCCTGGGCCAGCACACCTGTTGAGTGTGTGCTAAGCACCACTAGCAGCGATGCAGCTGCGGTAAGAGTCGGCAGCATCTCGAATAAAGCGCCAATACAATGTCGAGAAGAATGAACGGAAAGGCGACAGAGTCGAAGAGGGGGTGTTCAGATATGGGACTACAGGGTGATATAAATTCCCAGTACTTTCCTTTACATAAAAAGGGGATGCATATCCCTATTCTCGCTTAATTGCCTGAGCAACTGGTTGTAACGTGCCCCGCAGTACCTACAGTGGAACTAGAACTAGTGATGTACATAAACAAGGCGGATGGACCGGCAAGCCATTTTAATAGATTTATTGATACGCCATCTGAGGAAAGAAGAGATAAAATGTCTGCTGATATACTCTGTATTGAAGAAAATAGTCAGATCTGAAGCTATCCATGCCCGTTGGTCCATTCACACCTGGGGGATGGGCCAAAGGGCATACAAATTATACATTATAGATCCACCTCGGCAACTGCTCCCGAGGATGCTACGCAAACATGTGTCAACCCCACATAGACAGAGTCCATCTCCGAGCGAGCCCCTGTTCGGCGACCTTGCAGATCCCCGCTACCCTTTGCTCCTGTGGGTGTTAGGTACCTACCTAGGTACTAAGTCATTGTGGTTGTAGCAATACAGGCCACTATACCTTCAAAAAGTCACGCGGGGAGACCAGAACTTATACATACATACTGCCGGTCGGGTTACCTATGCTACAAATGATCCTACGAGTCTATTCAGACCTCTTTCTGCTTACCTACAGGTCCTTCTCCGGCGTGGATAGCGATCACATCGAAATAACCTCGTGCCTATGGACGGGCACTGGTTTCGAAAGATGCCTCAGCCGTTCCTAAATAACATTACCGGGTTATTAGCCATGGCCGAGGAATCTCTGACATACTCCAATCGCATTTCCTGAAGGGACGAGACGCGATGAACCCATCATGCAAGATCGGAAACAGTCTGAAAGCTATAGATCACCCTTCCAGTAGGCAGAGCCGGAGGGGCCACCAGAAATAAAATGGCGGATATGTCGACCTGTCACATCCAGCGACATACAGGGTCATTCATCGACCAATTGGGCAAACATATCATACTCTGAAACCAATATTTTCTCCGACTTGATACAGTAGGATGCTGCTATACTTGTTCGGCGTTGTCAAATTAGATTTTCAGCTTGCCAGAACTGACTCGCACCGAACTGCCCTTCAAAGTCAGAAGGGGTAGATCAATTAATCAATCAAGATTCTGTTAACCTGTTGAGGCCTATCTATTGAAGCAACTAGCGATTACCTATGCAGGCGCTGCAGCAAATGAAGCTGGAGTCTGGTATCCGAACGCCTATTCTATATAGCCCACAAATGCAGAAAAGACATAGAAAACTAGCGTATAGCCACGTTAAAAGCAGAAATCATAACTAAACTGGCCTGCTGCCGTTTCTAATCCTGCTCCATATCCTCTATATCAATATAGTCCGACTACTGTAGCAAGTCTGTTTAACATATATATTCAGCGATATAGCGAATTGCCTGAAGCGTATTATGGTCAATACTTTTCTTCGGAGATCCTCTATAGCCTAGAGCTTTGCTATCATTATCGCACATGCTTTCTAATACAACAAACACTATAAAAAATATATTTCAAGATCTACGAGCCGTCTCCGTAGCTATACCGGTCCGAGTCAGAAGCCTTGATGTTGTAAAGTGCTGTAGGCTAACACATCTTGTGTACCAATATTTAGATGGTAGTTGATTAACTAACTAGATTTTTTTTTTTTTAATCTGCGATTAGCTGCCGTATTAGCTTCGATCTTTTTCTATTTTACTGTTTCTGCCAATGCTGTTTAATTTATTATATTAGCAGATTGTCTGGTTCGCCGTTGGAGTGAGCCGGATAATCTTCGGGTCGGCAGCCTTACTAAACTTAATTTAATTTCCCTTTGTGTAGACTAGCCGCTTTCTCCGAGAGATCTATACGTTTTCCGGAAGCAGTTCGCGCGCCCCGAGGACCCGCATATATTGATAAATCACAGTTAGGACGTGCTAGCCGGAGGGGCAGGGCGGGTTTCGCACGGCCTAGATCGCGGCCCAGCTATTAATACAAATCGTGAGCGAGCGGGGACTCACTACAGAGGCAGGGAGGTAGGAAGTTAATATAGCGATAGGGCGGGGTGTTAAATCGATTCCTAGCGCTATACAAATCCCATCTAGTCTAGCTATGTGTGTGGTTGAATCCTTAACTGTGCATAGATGGTTCCGTCGCATACGCTTCTCGTCTAAGCAGACAGCGGAGGCGCTTTAGCGAAGGGATAAATCCGCTCTGCCGGGATGAGACCAAGTCCCGCAAGGTGTACCCTGCTGCGTATGGCCCGTGAAAAGCAGAGTATATGCAGCTTCACGGGACTGGAATCCAGGAGCGCTAAGGAGCAATCGGGACAGAATAAATGGACGTTTGCTTCAATATCTACCAGATACATCCGTGCGGACAGAGTCCCCTTGCCCGTAAATCGGTACAATCCGCTCCTGACTCTCTGGTCGAACCAATTCATCCACCCTGGTGTGCAGCTCGGACGTTTTCATGATGCCACGGTCCTTCCAAGGGGCCTTCTTCCGTAGTTCGTAGTTGCCACTAGCGAGCTTCGAATCGGGGCCGGTCGATCGCTCGTGGCTGCTGAAAATCGACCTGATCTTAAACAACTGGCGGACAGAGGACAGGGATCCGGCGAGCAATCCGATATTGAACTCAATCTCCATCCAGATCAGAGATGTCGAGGCAGAATCTGTATCGAAATTGGATCATCAGGATCTATTACCGGCATGCAAGGGAGATGGGGGAGAGAATGAGAATACGTACAGGTGATGTCAACGCTGTCCTTCGTGTAGGCGAGTGTGCTGAATCGGACCAAGGCAGCCGCAGATGCCAGGATGCCAAAACTGAATAGAAACACCACCGACAGCCGCCTTTTCACAGGCATCTGCAGCCCCCAAATAGGAAGGATAGGGAGTCCGACGATAATTACGTCGCACACGAACATCACAACCCCTTGGTACATGGTAATGCCAAACATGGTGTCGGTGGAGAAACAGGTAGCGGTGGTGATTGTCTTGTCCCAGAATGCGCGGATGGGCTTACACTGAAACGCCAGCGCCAGTTCGCCCGAAATGGTAAAGAGAGTCATGAAGCCGATGAGGGCGAGGCCGCCCTTCCTCACGTAGTCCTGGGGGAATACCCGCATGATGAAGGTGACCAGGCTCACCTTGACCGCGAAGGCCACAACCAGATAGCTACACAGCGCAGCGTAGTAGATCTCAACTGTTGTTAGCTTCAGATGAGCAAGCCGGGCTTTGAATTCCAACCTTGAGCCATGTCACCAAATGCACATTCGGAACGTCCCACGTATGTCTTCCTAGGCCGTAGTATGTGATAGTGTAGGCAAGGGCAGAAAAACCATTGACAAAGACCTATTCCAACCACTTAGTTAGTCCAGTGCCATACTACCCTTTAATGGAGAAGGCGTACCAGCGCTACCATCACCAGGTAGTCATCAATTCCGAATGATTTGATGACGAACCGCCGCATGTACAGCTGAAATCCGGAGTATTAGCCGACAAGCGAGAAATCAAAATGAGTGAATCAGGAGCCCACCCGAAGACAGCAAACCGCTGTACAGAGAATCGCCACGGTCAAGGTCACAGCCCTCACGGAGATGACCATGGAGGGAGTTCCTGAGCTCTGTGGTTCGGCCATGGTGACTCTTTTCATATGTCACAGAATCGAGATTTCAGCAGCAGAAACAATCCATGGACGGCATAGGAGAAAAGAAAAGCGAGTTCAATCGAGAAGGATTCATCGTATTTAGCTAGCTCCGCCCCATACTCCGTACAAAAGTACGAAGGACCCTAGCAGGGATGTGTGACTAGCGTATGGAGCAGTGTGCAGAGATCCCGCGCGAAGTCATACCGGTCTTCTTCTTCACGCGGGCTATCATCGCCTCTTAAGAAGAGCAGGCAGACCTGTCACCCACCCCACCTGTGCGAGGTTGGTCTACCGTCTACCACGGCTCAACGATTGATCTCAGCCCAACAATAGAAAGAGCTCCGCAGTGATTACGGAGTAGGTATAGACTTCGAAGCGTCGAGATGTATCCATAACTTGATGATTATACTGTGTACAGAAAGAAACAATAGAATTTTCAATCACCTAATACTTTTATATAATCAAAGAGTATGTAGCTATTTTTCTATTACTACATCTTTTCTAAGAGTATATATCAGGCAATCCTCAACTATCGCCGTTATCCCACCGTTACTCATACAGTCGGCTGCCTACTAACCTATATAGGCAGTACGTAGGTAAGTAGCTCGCCGTGCCTTCGAGATACGGAGGAATAGGGTGCGAGGAGGATGGTCACTCCATTCTTTTAGGTTCGCTCTATCCTTCGGGGCGACTTACCCTTTTGATTACGCGTCATGCCATCGTCCCGGCATTCCTTCGCAGCCTACGGAGATGGTCCGGCGCGGAATTAGCGCTCCTGTCTTCTCTCGGGCTGTTCGGGCAGGAAAACTCCACGAAGACACATCTAGATGCAGTGATAGGCGTTGGTTAGGTTATTAGTGATACCTCCGTCGCTATTAGACTTCGCGCTACCAATCGTTCCGCCCCGTTGTCCCACTAGAAAATCTTGCTAGTAAACCGGAGCCGAAGTCCGCCGAGTCAGGAAGCATAGCATTAAAGTATTCCCGCTGACATGTCGATTCAGGGGCAGTTATGTACGGAGTAGTAAATGAGGCCATACTTTGTACTCCCGTACTCCCGAGTAATAATGTTTCGCTACTATAATAATCCTGGGTCCCACGCCCAAGCAGCAGTCCACATGGTAGCTACTTGAGAACCGTTTCTCTTTAATATCCCAGCCCATTATGAGTCCCTCTATGTCCGTCCCCGGTCAACTAAGCTTCCCCCAACTGTCCGCTGCGCAACAGAGCGAGGTGGAGGGCCTGCTCGGCTCGTTCGCCGCGCTGTCGGACCCCGAGAAAGACTCGGCCCGTGCTTCGACAACCGAGAAGGTCTTTACTGCCGTATTTGGAGAGTCGGCTGTAGTGGAAGGGTCTGCCGCGTATGAAGCGCATCATACGCAACCATGGTGCGTGGTGGATCGATCATCGAGACTCTCAACGTTGACTAACCGAAACCCTCGGACAGGTCCACCAACTGCTGGCTCTCTCCAAGAGTGATTCTGAACCCGTGTTCGTCCGTGGAGGTTGCCCAAGCCCTGGCGCTTTGTCGATCGCTCGGCACCAAATTCTCCATTCGCGGTGGAGGACATCTCCAGAACCCCGGGTTCACCAGTAACGATGGCGGTGTTGTCATTTCTATGAGCAGGTTTACCCAGCTGGTCGTATCCGAGGACAAGTCGACGGTCGATGTTGGGCTGGGCCTGCGCTGGTTGGATGTCTATAAAGGGCTGGACCCCTATGGTATCACGGTTGCGGGCGGTCGAGTTCCTCCTGTTGGGGTCCCAGGCTTGTTGCTTGGAGGAGGTCTTTCTTTCCAGAATAGCGAATATGGGCTGGGGTGCACCAACGTCGTTGAATATGAGGTGAGCTCGTTCCGACCAGCGAAGCAGTCCCGTCTAATGACTGTTGGGAGTAGGTCGTGCTGGCAGATTCGTCCATCGTGCGCGCCACTCGCGACACAAACCCCGACTTATTCTGGGCGCTTAAAGGAGGCGGCTCCAATTATGGTCAGTGAACTCGTTCTCCTTCGCGTCTACCCTTCTGACTTATGTTGCAGGCGTGGTGACTAAAATGATCATGCGAGCGATTCCTAACAAAGTCTGGGCGGAGGCGCGCGTCTACGCGACAGCACAGAACGCCCAGCTCATGGAAGCATTGATGGAATACCACAAGATCATTGAGACCGACAATAAAGCGACTCTGGTATGGCATACGCTGAATCATGCGACCCTCCTGGTTTTTTTCTATTGCGCCCCAGTCGAGAACCCCGACGCGTTCAAACCCTTCTACGACGTTCCCTTCCTGCAGACCGTCATTCCAGGAGGATGCCGCACGGTTTACGGCATGGTCCAGGCCACTGCCAATATTTTGGCTGCCGAGCAGCAGTGGTTCGTACTCTACAATCTTACACATGGTGGCATTATGCTGACGAATAAAGTCATGACATGAGAACGATGTCTAGTTTGCCATCTTTGGAGGTTTACCAGGCTGCTGAAAAGGCCCGCCTCGAGCAGGTCGAGGCTCTCAAAGACACAGGAGCCGATCTCACCATGGTCATACAGCCAATGGCGTCCAGCTGCATCCGCGTTGGGGAAGCGATGGGAGGCAACCCGATGGGTTTGAAGGAAGAAAACCATCAGTGTAGGCTCAGGCATTCTCTTCCGACCCGATTGGTTCACGACTGACATTTGAAAGGGTTCCTTGTCATGGCGGATTATAAGCAGGTCGAGCATGAGGAGCGGGTTCGGGAGGGAGTGCGAAAGATTGTCGATGCTGCTGAGACGACGGCGAAGAAAAATGGCACCTATCTGCCCTACCAATACGCGAATTATGCGTCCCGAGATCAAGATCCCTTGGCTAGCTACGGCCCTGAAAATCTTCAGAAGCTCAAGAACATTGCGCTCAAGTACGACCCGGAGGGTATTTTCCAGACTCTGCAGCATGGTGGATGGTTGGTCTCGAAGGCAGGGAAGCAGTGAGCCATGTCAGCACGTATTGTTCAAATGAACGAATGCATCATGCAGTGTCCATCACTAGTGGTTGACTTCTGACATATATCACCTTTCATTCTAGGAATCGGTGCCGAATGGATTCATAGTGGCGAGATTCATACACATCCATATGTCCGAAGCAAATAGGTTCTCTTTTCTTAATATCTAACGTGATTGCGACAGGACAATGCTTCTATACATCTTCGCCGTTGTCTATTAGATTCTCAACTCGCCAGAGCTGAATTGCACAGAACTCCCCTTCAGCGTCAGCGTCTCGATCTTCCGCTCCCCGTCCCCACTAAGCCTGACAGAAAGTCCAATATCGCTCCGACGGCCCATCTCCACTCCCTGCACGACATGGTAGTCGAAGACGGTCTTCGAGGGGTCCGACGAAGTCAAACTCAGATAAGCCACCAACCCGCTGGCCGCACTGCCAGTGGCGGGGTCTTCTTCGTTTCGCAGGACCATGCGCGACCGGATCACCGTCTTCCCGGTCACCTCATCCTGAACATTGGGAACATGGAAATAGAGCAGCAGGAGGCCGGGTCCTTCCCAGCCGTCATCGAGATAGCCCCCCTTGGACGCGGCGTTACATGGCACATCCTCGCCGCCCACGGGAGGCTCAACGGCCGCCAACGCTTCCAGGCTGGGCAGCTGGACGTGCACCTGGCTCATGCCCTTGACCACGGAAATAATGGGGAAATCCCCGTCGGTGGGCAGGAACTTCGCGAGCGATGGATGCAGCCGCACAAGCTCGGACAGCGGGAATCGCGCGGCGTGGATATGCACGTTATGGGCGATATCGGCCGCCACCACGCCCGGAGAGGAAGGAACCTGCGATATGGCGATCGGTCCGGACTTGGTGATGAGGGTGGTTACATTGCGATCCTGCTCGTCGGGCGATAGTCCCAGGAACCACGACACGGCGCCGATGGTCGGGTGGCCCGCAAAGGGAAGCTCTTCGTCCGTGGTGAAAATGTCGATTGCGCGTTGCGTGGAGCCGGCCTCGTGCGGGTGCACGAAGATGGTTTCCGAGTAGTTAAATTCGCGCGCAATCAACTGCTTCTCCTCCTGGGTGAGAGGCTTCTCGGATTGCGGCGGGAGAAAGACGACGCCGAGCGGATTGCCGGAATACCGCTGGGTGGTGAAGACATCCACAGTGGCGAAGCGCAGCGTGCGGCTCATGATGGAGTTGGTAAAGGGATTTAAACAGAGGAATTGTCTATGAAACTGTGCATTGATATGAGAGTGAGAGTGCGGAAGATATAGGCTGCCGTGAGTCATCCGGGGCATTGTGGAGATGGTTAGGGCTAGACGGATACGATCCATGGTCCTTTCATTGTCTGCAGACCCCGACGGCTGTCAAAGCCAGACCCACTAGACCCTGATGATTGATAATCCTCTTGTCAGGGTGAGTCTTCGACGTCATGTGAGAGTCTGTTTGCTGGTATAAGACCATTGTCCGTCTGAACCACGAGTAGCCCTATTGTCATCCAGATGCCACAATGGATACTAATATCGCTTCGGAGATCCCTCTCGCGTGTAGTCCTGGCGAAGGGGAGCGTTGCGAACACGCCAAGTTCTCGGGGGATGGGCTGCAGACAGATGCCCATGTCACTGGTACGCGATTGCATCCCCCATTCTGGTCCTGACCACCTCTTACCGGTATCCAGAGTATGGACGGCTAGACATCGACATCCGCGAGGATATCCCCGGGACGTCGGAGCTCGTTGAGGCGTTGGAAAACCAACCAGCCTTGGAAGTGAGCCCGCCGTCCGACGAGAAAGCCCCTATCCACTTCCCCCTTCGCATGAACATAGTGATTCACGTCGTCGGATCCCGAGGCGACGTTCAGCCGTTCATTGCAATCGGCCAGGCGCTGCAGAGACACGGCCATCGCGTGCGACTCGCGACCCATCTGGTGTTCCGCGACTTTGTGCGGCAGCATGGCCTGGAGTTCTTCAACATCGGCGGCGATCCCGCCCAGCTCATGTCGTTTATGGTGCAGAACCCGAAGCTGATCCCCAAGATGGACACGCTGCTGCACGGCGCAATCGGCCGCCGGCGGAAGGAGATCCGCACAATGATCGGCGGGTGTTGGCGGGCCTGCCTCGAGGCCGGAGAAGGCATCGACTTGACCAGTGATGCCCCGTTGAAGGCGGACCCCTTCGTGGCGGATGCCATTATTGCGAATCCGCCCAGCTTTGCTCATATCCACTGCGCAGAGAAGATGGGGATTCCCCTGCACATGATGTTTACGTTCGTCTAGCAATGCGGATCGTGTGCGTAGCTAATATGTACAGTATGCCATGGTCCCCGACGCAGGCCTTCCCTCACCCCTTGGCCAATATCCGCGCGTCAAACGTTAAGCCGTCGGCCGCCAAATTCGCCTCGTATGCCATTACCGAAGCCTTGATCTGGCAGGGCTTGGGCGATCTGCAGAATGATTTCCGCCGGTTCGAACTGGGGCTAGAGACCCTAGATGCGATGCGCGCTCCTAGCATCATGCACCGACTGCAGATCCCGTTCTCTTACTACTGGTGCGCCCATAGCTAATGTCCATATGCCAGTCAACTAATCATGCCAGGTCACCCTCGCTGCTCCCAAAACCCGACGACTGGAAGTCACACATTGACGTGTGCGGCTTCAGCTTCCTCCCGCCCGATAACAAATACAAACCCTCAGCAGATCTGGTTCGATTCCTCGAAGTCGGGCCCCCGCCGATTTACATCGGATTCGGCTCAATCGTAGTAGACGACCCGAACGCATTGACCAAGACGGTGCTGGACGCCGTCCGACTCACGGGCCAACGCGCGCTCATCTCAAAAGGCTGGGGCGGCCTCGGCGCGGACAACCTCGACGCCCCCGACGTCTTTTTCCTAGGAAACTGTCCCCACGACTGGCTGTTCTCGCGCGTATCCTGCGTCGTCCATCACGGCGGCGCCGGCACCACAGCGACTGGATTGGCTCTGGGCCGACCAACCACCATCGTCCCCTTTTTCGGCGACCAGCCGTTCTGGGGCCAGCTGGTCGCGCTGAACAAGGCCGGCCCGTCCCCGATTCCATACACGAAGCTCACGGCCGAGCGACTCGCCGAGGCGATCCGGTTCTGTCTCGAGCCCGCTACGATCGCGCAGGCAGAGGCGTTGAGCGCCAAGATCCGCGCGGAAGACGGCGCCCAGGCCGGCGTCGAGAGCTTTCATCGCCACTTGAAGCTGCGCAAGCTGCAGTGCTCGCTGTGCCCGGACCGGCCCGCGGCATGGCGCGTCCGCCGGACGAAGGTGCTATTGAGTCCGTTCGCGGCCACGGTCCTCGTCCAGGAGAACCGGCTGCAGCCGGAGGATATCAAGCTGTGCGTTACCACCGAGTCCATGCATTACTACCCCCTAACGCAAGGTGTAGATACCACCCGTATCACTACGACGTGAATCACGATCTCCGCAACCCCGGTTGTCAGGGTGCGGAGGGCATCGCCGGCCCCCTCACCAGCTTCCTATCGTCTATCGTCGAGGTACCGGTGAACATGGTGCAGAACTTCGCCCAGCCGCCCTCCGCGCGGTTTGCCGAGGACTTCGGCCTGCCGTCGTGCGATGCGCGCGCCTCCATGATCACCAACTCCACCGACGCTACTAGCACCACTGCGGTGGAGGAGCCCGCCAACGGCTCTACGACGACGTCCATCAGCGACCAGTCCACCATTGCTGCCAGCACGACCAGCTCCGATAGCCAGGATGTGCCGACGATGAAGAATAAACATGGCTTTGGCAGTACGGTTCTCGCGAATACCAGCTATACCGGCCGGCGGTTCGTGAATTGGATTGTGCAGGTGCCCATGGGCGTGACGTTGGGGCTGTCGCAGGGGTTCCACGAGGCTCCGCGCTGGTATGGGGACCGGATGGTGCGGGAGTTTCCCAAGGTCAAGGGGCTGCGATCGGGGTTCGTGGCAGCAGGGAAGGTGAGTGCATGGAGGGTTGTTTTGTCTGAAGCGTGCTTATGATGGTAGGAATTTGGGTATTCCCTGTACGATGGGGTTACTGGGATCGTGACGCAGCCGCGCAGAGGCATGGATGATGCTGGCGTCCCTGGTCTTGCGAAAGGCATTGGTAAAGGGGTTGGCGGGCTGCTCTTGAAGCCCCAAGCTGGTGAGTTGATCGACATGATGGAGGTACATGACTAACGTGGGCCAGGACTCTGGGGCTTATTTGGGTATCCACTGAACGGGATATACCGTGGCATTGAACGGTCGTATGGGGAAGATCGTCAAGGGTATGTGGTCAGGTCGCGCATCCGTCAAGGGTATCAGGAATGGGAGGCGGCGTCAGAGGAGGCGCGGGATGCGGTGTTGGAGAAGTGGGAGATTTACGAAAAGGGGGTGCGAATTAAGCAGAGCACAGGACGACGTTCGGGGAAGAAATCGAATGGATGAGATGTACTGATAGACATGTTTGTATAGCTCATTATGGGCGGTTGCATCTTCAATGGCCCCTTACAATACAATCTTCGAGGCAACGGCCGGTTCCGTATATCCCCATCATTGAGCAAGGTGTAACGCAATAAAGGATTGGGCATGATAGTATCGACTGTTGTAGTAGTATACTCCTCATTCCATGCAATCAATTGTGCCTCTCATCAAGTAAAGAATGTCTTTCCGAATCCGGCAACCAATATATGCTGACATAATCAAGCCGTGCTTAGTCACTTTTGAAAAATCTGCGCAACCAATCACATCCTAGAATTAATACGAATTGACTGCTCAAATCGGCAAAATTCATTTCCATCTAGAATGACGGGTTCATAGAGAGCCATTCTGTGGAAATTCCAACGAGCGTTGTACCCAGGTACTGTACTCCAAACAACGGAACGCCACGCAATCGGGAGAAAACTCTGAAATTCTATCGAGACCGCAATGATCTCACGAGTCTATATTTTCTCGCCATGACGTCGGCCCATCTGGCCGATTTCCCGTTGCGGCGGTTGCATTGTGGCCAGAATGTGGCAGTGGTAGGGTACCTACAGTAACAAGGCATTGTCACACCCGCTGCACAATGCTAGGATTCTACGGAGTAGATGTTCAGGATTACCGATCAACATGATTGTCTCCAAGCACTTTTCATTCTCATTCTACCTTGCGCCAGAAGATATACATTGGAAGACAGAAACGAGCGGATTAATCAGTTGATCAAAGTCTAGTGTAACACCAACCCAGTAGACCCCAACTTAAGCAGCAATAACCATCATCAAAGCGAGCAGCACCACATGCACAACAGGCGCCGACACGCTGGTCGCAGCACCAGTGAACATGGTCGTCGACGACGGAGACGCCGCGCCGCTGCTCTTGCTCGGACCGACATTGCCCACAGACGACGGAGACGCCCCCATGCTGGTCGCAGCGCCAGTGAACAGGGCGCTGCTGCTCTTGCTCGGGCTGACGTTGCTCACAGACGTCGGACGCGTCGGGACCGTCACGTTCGAGCCATGTCCGCTGGTGGAGTTCGAGCCCGAGCCCGAGCCCGAGGTGCCGTTGGTGTTGGCTGATCCGGAGGTTCCCGAGGTTTCACGGTCGGCGGCACCGACTGCGCCAGAAGCTGCGCCGGTGTTGGAGTTGGAGCCAGAGCCAGAGCTAGAGCCAGTGCCGGTGCTAGAGCCAGAGGCAGAACCGGTGCTACCGCCGGCAACACCACCAGCGGCAGCGGCGGTGCTGGTCGGGCTGGCGATGGCAGACGAGGAAGTCGTATTGGACTTGGAGCAGCTCAGGTCGAACAGGGGCTGAGTGGTCAGGGTGCTGCCGACGATACCGAAGCTGGGGTTGGGAACGGAGGCGCCGAACGCATCCTGGAGGGTGTACCACCAGGTGTTGGTGTTGTCGAAGAGCGGGCAGCCGACCTCATCCCAGAAGCGCTTGGCGTTGGGGATGGAAGCGACGGCGAGGTTCTCGGTCTTACCGCTGACGGGCCAACCGGTCTCGGTGATCCAGACCTCCTTGTTGCCGGCGGCGGACTTGGTCTTGGCGACGGCCTCGTTGAAGAGGGCCTTGGCGTCGTCGATGGAGTTGGCCATGGTGTTCTGGAAGTACGGGTAGCCATCGAAGCCGACCCAGTCGACGGCGTCGATGACGGCCGCGTTGGAGCCGTTCACCCAGTCGTTCCAGGTGTCGACGTGGCCGAGGGGGGCGCCGCTGAGCGGCGTGCCGGAGATGGTCGAGCGCACCTCTTCGATGTACGAGGCCAGCACGTGCGGGTCGACGCCCACGCCGGCGTTGACCTTCTGGCCCAGCACCGAGTTGCGGTACAGGTCCTCGCTGCCGACGGAGATGCCGACCACCAGCTTGCTGAGGTCCTCGCCGTACTGGCTGATGGCCGCCTTGAGGGCGGTCAGCTCGTTGTTCATGTTGTTGCCCGAGGCCCACAGGCCCAGCAAGAGAGAGGTGTTCTGGGCGATGGCGGCGGGGATCGCAGAGATGGGATCGTTGGCCGTGCCGGCTTGCTGTATAGGGTCAGTCCAAGGCGCCAGGATCACCTGAAGGACACTGGAGACATACAATCATCGTGTAGAGACGAGCACTGGTAAAGCCCGGGGCGCCAACCAGGTTCTGGGCGGTCTCAAACTCGGAGGCAAAGTCGGCCTGATACTTGCTGCTGCCATCGGGCTTCTTGTCGCCATAGTTGAAGCCCTTGTAGGCAGCCTCGGAGGTAGCGAGCGACAGCGCAAGAGCGAGGAGCTGTGTCAGCTGCATGATAGCGAGAGAATGAAAGACAGCGGATACAGAAAGATAGGGGAAACGTTCTGAAGGCAGAAGTATGACGAGGAGGAGAGACAGGAGAAGCAGGGTTTAAGTAGAGGCCGTCAGGAGGCAACCGGCAATCGGAGCAAGAGGGAATTCTAGAATGGCACTGCAGAGGCCCAGTGGAGCCGGGCAACAGTGGCCAGATCCATCAAGAGCCGAAGCCTTAAAGATAGAATCGTTGGATCATACTGGGGCCCCCTGTTCGGATGCGCTATGAGTTAGGGTTGAGGCCAAGCAATGCGATCCATCACGCCAATGCGGTCGATCGCCCGTCTTTACTCCATAGTCGGCAGCACAGCACATCCAGCAATGCACAATTTCATTGTCTCTACGGATTGTCCATCTTGTCTGAATGCCACGGTGCAGTCGTACCCTCGCATTGATTGTGCGGGCATGTGGGAATGCTACCCCGAACAAGGCCCCGTCTGCTGCTGTGGTACCGGTGGGCAACAATGGCGTCCCCTCCCACGGGTCTTCCATTAACGGTGCTCTGGCAGTGGCATGATTGGCCTCGGATGCAGGGAAGACTGGACCCAAGAGTTTTCGTCGTCGTCTTCACTTCTTATAGGGGTTCCATCAGCTCGCTTGTGGGCCTCGGAGGTGGCCGGATGGGGAGGCGAGAGCATAACTTATGCGCTGATGTAAGCAGTTCATGATCACCCTTTTCCGCCCACTATGATTGGACAGTGAGAATGAAGTGAAATAATGCATAATGCAGTGGTCAGTGCCTAACTATACTATAGGTAGAGAGTGATTCAATTGACATTAACATAACCTAAGGATTCATCCAATACACACTCATCACACCCCTGTTTCAACACATCACAAATCATAAATCATCGCATCTCACAATCCATTAGATTATAAATCATAAACATTACTAAAGCCAGCAAACAGTCACCTATACTAGGCCACGCACGGCACCTAGAACACAATCGCAGCAACTCCGAGAGCCATCAAAGCAGCCAAGCTCGAGTCCAAGCTCTGCACGCTGGCAGCACCAGTGAAGATCGGCGCAGGGGGCACGGTAGTCGTGTGGCTCTGAGAGGGCGCGGGGCTTGTGGGAACCGGCTGCACTCCGGTGGACGTATGGGTCTCCACCGGGGGATTGGGCACGGTCGTGCTGGTGGTCGGGACGGAGGTGGGCGGCGAGGGCGGCACCGTGGTCGTAGTATGGGGCTTGCTGGTGGTGGTAGGGGTAGTGGTAGGGATCGTCATGGTCGTCAAGGTCGTCTTGGTCGTGGTTGCGGTAGTCGGAGGAGGGACCGTTGTGGTCGTCTCACAGGGAGTAGTGGTGGTTGCGGTAGTCGGGGGAGGGACCGTTGTGGTTGTCTCACAGGGGGTGGTGGTGGTAGTAGTAGTTGGGGTTGGGGTGGTCTCGCAAGGAGTGGTCGTAGTAGGCTTCGTCGGAGAAGGAGTGGTAGTAGTTGGCTTCGTCGGAGAAGGAGCGGTCGTAGTCGTCGTTTCACAGGGAGTGGTGGTGGTGGTCGTCTTGCTGGTGGTAGTCGTGGGAGTTGTCTCGCAAGGAGTGGTTGTGGTTGGCTTGGTCAGAGAAGCAGAAGTGGTGGTAGTGGTTGTCTCGCATGGAGTGGTCGTAGTTGTAGTCGTTGGAGTGGTCTCACAAGGAGTGGTAGTTGTAGTTGGCGTGGTGGTGGTTTCGCAGGGAGTGGTCGTTGTAGTTGGGGTTGGAGTAGTCGTAGTTGGTTTAGTTGGAGAAACAGTTGTGGTGGTCGTCTCGCAGGGAGTGGTCGTTGTAGTCGGCGTTGTAGTGGTCTCACAGGGCGTCGTGGTGGTTGTAGTAGGAGTTGGAGTCGTCTCACATGGAGTAGTAGTAGTCGTAGTCGTAGTAGTGGTTGGGGTCGTCTCGCACGGGGTAGTCGTGCTAGTTGTCGTTGTAGTAGTTTCACACGGCGTAGTAGTTGTCGTGGGAGTGGGGGTCGTTGTAGTAGTCTCACATGGAGTAGTCGTGGTCGTCGGAGTCGGAGTAGTGGTAGTGGTCTCGCACGGCGTAGTAGT